GGTTCTGACGAGGGGGTTGGAGCTGGCGTCTAGGAGCACCAGCAGTCGCAGATGACGTAGCAGCAGCAATCGCAACCGCAGCAGCAGAAGCAGCCGCAGCAGCTGCAGCCGTGGGACCGCCTCCCGCCGGGGCGGCCAGGAGCCCCTGGAGGTGGTGGCCGTGGTGGCGGCCCTCGTAGCTCGGCGTCTACCGGCGGCTTCGGTGCTGTGAGCTGCCAGTACCAGCTCTAGACCGGGCCCCTCCATGGCACGGTGTGCCGCCGCCCGCACACGAGCGCCCGCTACTTCCGACGCCTCGACGACCTCTTCCTGTCGTTGCTCGCAGCTACACTACCCTTCCCTGTCCAGCAATCCCCACGGAGTCCCATACTGGCCTCCACATCCCTTCGTTCTCCAGGAACTTAGTGGTGTCGGCTGTCTTCATGACCTCGGCGTCACCACTACGTTCCATGGTCACGAGCGGTACGCTGTCTATACCGAAGCCGCCTCAGGTGCCCCCCTTGCGACGTTCCCTTGGGACCCGGTATCTGGCCTGTTTACGATAGACACTGCTCCCCCCCCGGCGGGCGCGTCCTCCCCGGGTCCTGCGTCTAAACAGGTTGTTGCGGCTTGCTCGTGTCGGTCGCTCACTCACCCATCACTCCTGTGGCACCACTGCCTAGGTCACCCTGCACTCCCGCGTCTGCGTCACATGTCTCAGCACAGTCTCGTCCTAGGTCTCCCTGCGTCGCTTCTTGCCCTCCCTCCCTCGCCTTCGCCGTCATGTACGCCCTGCGTTGAGGGTCGGCTATGCCGTGCTCCTCACTCCTCTTCGCTTCGCCCTGCCACTGCATCCCTCCGGACCCTGCACTTGGACGTCTTGGACCCAGCCCCCGTCCCTCGACCGCATCGCGAGCGCTACTTTCTCGTGCTCGTCGTCCGGTTTCCCCTCCCCAGTTTCTGGTTCCCACTCCCCCGGTAGCCCCTGCTCCTCTCCCTCCCCGTCCTACTCTGTCTGGTGTGTCTCACGTCACTCCCCTCCCGTCGGTTGTCCCGGTCGAGGAGTCGGCTGACTCTGGTGGCCCCGTGGCGCCATTCTCGCCACTTGCCTCTCCCCTGGTGTCTCCTCCTCTATCGTCGCAGTCATCGCCGTTGCAGCCACCGCAGCCGTCGTCGCAACCGCAGCAGCAGCAGCCGCCACCACCGCAGCAGTCGCCGCTGCCGCCGCCGCAGCAGCAGCCGTTTGTGGACTCTGGGGGTGCTGGCGTTGAAGAAGGTGCTAGTCCTGGGGTTTCGGTCGTGGCTTCTCCCGGCGGGCCTGGGGTTGGCACCGGTGCTGGAGAGAGTTCTGGCGCTGGGGGTGCTCGTTCTGGGGGTGCTGGTGTGGAGTGTTCCGGAGGTAGCCATAGTGCAGCTGGTGGTCCAGGTGTCGGCGTCAAGCAGCAGCAGCAGCAGTCGCCGCTGGTGTTCGCCCTTCGCCTGCTCGGCCTTCCCTCCCTTGGCCGCTTGCCTGCGCCTTCCCTGCTACCTCCTCCTCTTCCTGTCTACAGCCCTGTGTTCCCTCCGCCGGACTAGTCTCCGTCTCGTCTCCCCTCTCATCCCCCTCTTGTATCTCCTCCTCTATCTCCTGACCCAACGCCTCCGTCTCACGTCTGGTTTCGCCATCCCGCTCATGCTCGTCTTGTCTCTCCTATTCAGCATTCGCACCCTATGTTGCTTTGTTCCCACGCATCTCGTCCTCCCCTCCACCCTTTGCCTCCTCTGTCATCGCTCGCTGTCGCGCCTCCCCCTCTATCTGACTACCTTCGTGCCGCTCGTCCTCTTGTTCCTCGGGTCCTTGCCTCCCTCGTTACTGAGCCGTCCGTTCCCGTCTCGAGTCTTAATGCTCTTGTCGCTGCTGTAGCTGACTTCGCCTCTACCCGCCGCCTTGACTATGCCACAGCTCTGGTCTCTGACCCTGTCTGTCCTGCGTCCGTCGGGGGTGCGTGCGCCCTTGGGAGTAACGTCCTAGAGGACAGGCAGTACGAGCTTGTTTTCCTGTCTGAGGATGCTCCCCATCTCTGTTCCATGCTGTTAGTCCCTAAGGGTGACCCAGACGCCTTTGACATTCTGACCCCTTGCACCTACGCTGAGGCGACCTCAGAACCCTGTGCCTCTCAGTGGATAGCTGTTATGCAGCAGGAGATGGCATCTTGGAGATCCATCGGCACCTACGTCGACGCAGCTCCCCCACCTGGGGTGAATGTAGTCGATGGCCGATGGCTCTTCAAGGTGAAGCGCCCTCCTGGAGAGCTGCCTGTGTTCAAGGCGCGCTACGTGGCTAGAGGCTTCAGTCAGCGTGAAGGGTGGACTTCTTTCAGACCTTCGCTCCGACCCCGAAGATGACTACTCTTCGGGCGCTGCTACACGTAGTAGCACAGCATGACTACGAGTTACACTCGCTCGAATTCTTCACAACGTTTCTCCACGGCAGCCTACACGAGCAGGTCAACCTTCGCTGGGCTTCACTGGTACCTTCTCTCTTGGAACCCAGTGGCTCCTCTGACGCCTGGTCTACGGCCTGCGACAGGCGCCCCATGATTGGCACGATACGCTGCGTGCTACGCTAGCTGACCTGCAGTTCTTTCCGTCCTCTGCAGATCCCTCGCTCTTCGTTCGTGCTGGCTAGACTCCGTTCTACATCCTTGTCTACATAGACGACTTGTTCTTCGCTATTGCATACAGAGACACATTGGCCTCCATGAAGTCTGAGGTTCTAAGGAGACACATCTGCACTAACCTAGGAGAGTTGCGTCCCTACCTTGGCCTGCAAATCTCCAGGGACAGAGCAGCGCGCACCATCACTCTTACACAGTCACACTTGGTGCGCCAGGTCCTTCAGAGGTTCGAATTTCAGTTCTCCTCCGCACAGCCCACACCTCTGCCAATAGATCACAAGCTCTCGGCTCCAGTCCCTGAGCAGTCTGTAGAGCCTAGTGGTTCTTACGCTAAGCTGGTGGGTTGCCTCATGTACCTGATGACTTGCACTCGTCTAGATCTCGCATACCCTCTCAGCATCCTGTCTCGCTTTGTGGCCACTGGCAAACACCAAAAATAGCACTGGTCGGGCGCTAAGAGAGTTTTGCGTTATCTAGCAAGTGCATTGGGCATGGGGATAGTGCTGGGAGGACGCAGGCCAGTGGTTCTTTCAAAGGCACACAGACGCTTCTTGGGCAGACGACGCTGGGACCCTCTGTCCTCTCACGGTTACTGCTTTAGCCTTGGTTCGCGTACCATCTTGTGGAGGTCCACTCGCTCCTCGTTTGTTGCCCAGTCTAGCTGTGAGCTTGAGATCTACGCTGGTGCCATGGCGGCACAGGAGCTCCGTTGGTTGACCTTCTTGCTCGTCGACTTAGGCGAGCAGCCTAGCTCTGCCCCGGTTCTGTACGCCGACAATGCGGCCATGATCCTCCTGTGTCAGGAGCCTCGACTTGAGGGCATAGCGAAGCACATCCAGCTGTGGTACTTCTTCCTGCGCGAGCTATTGCAGCGTCGCCAGGCCCGCGTAGTACACTTGGCCTCCGGTGCCAACACAACTGATATCTTTACGAAGTCGCTTGCGCCTGAAGATCATCAGCGGCACTATTTGCAGCTTTGTCTAGTTCCTATAGATTCTCACTTGCTAGGACCCTTTTTGTGTGCTCCTCTTTATATATACATTTCAGATTGGCCTTGTGGCTTCTCTTCTAGTGGCCGGACTAGTAGTGCCGCCCTGGTTTGCCCCTGTCTTGTTTGTACTGTTGCTGACTGGTCTTCGGACCCCTGTCTCAGAGGTTGGACTGGTAGTGACACCCCGCGCTGCCGCAACGGCGTCGATGCGTCAGCGCACGGGCGACAGCGGGCCGCGCACTACGTTAGGCACCAGCCAGCTCGCCCGCTCGACAGCCAACGCGCCAGCCAGGGTGCCTCGCTGAAGCCACGCCCCCTCTCATGCGCCACCCCTCATTCTAGCCGCAGCTGATGAGTCTCTTCCCGGTCATTGCTGGGCAGTGTCATGCCACCGGTCTCCGCGAGCTTCGCAGTCGCCGCCGCCGTCGTCGACACTGCCGCGGCCACCGCCCCCGCCGCTGTCGTCGTCGTAGGAGCCGCCGTTGACACCATTGCCGCCACTCGCCGGGGGTGTCACCGCTTCGCGCGATGGGTAGCAGCCCCACCTGCTTCAGGACATGGGGAGTGCATGGGGTTGGAGGTGTTTCGAGTTGGGTGGGCTTGCCACTGCCAAGGCTAAGGGGTGTGTCGAATTATATATTTTTTGTATTATTTGTTTAGGCTTGGTAGTTGCTATATTGCTGAATCCTACTGTATAGGGGACAACCCCACCTTCTTGTATCTCGTCTTTCCTAGTGACACTCTTTTCTCTCGTAACTCTTGCCCCCTAGCTAAACCTCTCGTCCTTTTCATGGCTGCCTACCTAGCCACCTAGCCTACTTTTAACACGTTGCGAAGCCATACATGGGGCAGGGCGCTTATGCACGAACTTCCGTAACTGTAACATTGTGCTTCCGTTGGCTATCATGGAGCTTTCCCACAAAGGCACATGCGCTGAATTGGTACCATGGTGGGTACCCTCTCTTCTGCCGGTATGTAGCTGGCATTGTTGGTGGCCATGCGCAAAAATGCCGTTGCTATGCTAGTCAATGAGATTATTGAACCAAATAAGAGTCTCTTTTTACATAGGGTCATAATTAACTGTACCTTCAGTGGCTCCATGATAATTCAAACCAGCCTCGAAGTGTCCGCGCCAGTCTTCGAACCACGCGACTCCCCGCACCTGCGCATTCATCTGCGGTACCACTAGCGCGTCTCCTCCCGCAAGCCTTCCACACCTCCCCCTTATCCGAGACCGACCTGGCCACCTGGTGTATTGCGCTCCCCGTCATTCCGCCAATTTCCCCCTTCCCCCAAATCTCCGCCAGGCAATGCCAGCTCCAAACCCTACTGCTATAAATGCTTCCAAATATGAACCTTTTCAAATAGGCCACCAAACGCCAGTCGTCCAGCAGGCTTCAAGTTTAGAAGGGGAGAGCTTTGATTAGGAGACCTGGGGTGAAAAGCCTCCAGTGGTGGCTGTGGCTCAAAGGACGAGCTAATTAGCTCAAAGATTAGGGAGGAGATTAACGACCCTCTTGACGAACACTTGCCGCCAGCGAATTCGCTGGCGGTTTAGCCTCCTAACTTGTCTGACGGTCGTGAAGTCTCTGTAGGTTTTAGACAGCTGAGCGATTAGTGGCACGATCATTGCCTTTTTCCTGTGTACTTTCGTCGCGTAGCCTACCCTTCCTAGTTCGTTACGTTGCTTTTGACGGCTGATAGGACAGTTTAAGTCGTTAGCTCGGAGTCGTGTCCTTCAGTTCGGATAGGCAACGTGGATTCGCCTAGGTTCTGACAGCTGACTTTGCCGGAAAATAAAGACGAGAAATTCTATGGACGCATTATGCTAAGGATATCGATCATGGTGCTGAATATGGCGACGTAGTCGTATCGCGATGGTCAGGCCAATTTTCCGTCGTCGTCACATCAGGTAGGCCGTCGTCCTTTTGTTATCAGAGTAGATTGTCAAGATCACCTTATTCATGATTTACTTTATCATTTTCACTATATCCGGACAAATTGATTAGTACGTTAGGACGACTTCTGCCGTTCCCATCACCTCATTCTGCGCTTTTCGCGAGTTCTCAACAAACCCTCATCTCAATCTGGCCGCGCGCGATCTGCATTTCCGCTTTTTTTTCTTGCGAATCATCTGTCTCACTTCTATTCGTCGATCACCCCGGTCACGGTTCATTAAGCTACAACAAGCTACAACAAGCGTCATCGCTTGACGGTCCCGTGCGCAATCCCATCCATCCTCTCCCCTCGCATCCACCAGGGGCATTTCGTGCCGTCGCCATCCATTTATAACAGGAAAATAAAACATCTTCCCGAAAATCGCGAAGTTCGGGTGGTGAAGGTGGAAGGAAATTCGAGTGGTGAAAGCCTGTTTGGTTTGAGATTTCCCCGTTTGGTTGTTGAATCGCGAAGTGCTACCTCGATAGCTCCCGTTGACAGCATTTCTGGAACCTCCTAACATTGATCGGCCATAGCAGCACCGACAACTGACAATCTGATTAGACCAGCGTAGCGTTTGGTTTCAATAGCCATTCAGTTGATAAGACAGTCCCTGTCGCACTAGCAGAATCATTCGATCTGAGCAGCGGAAGTGCGGTCAGCTGGTCAGGGCAGCTTAAAAAGTGTCGGCAGGTCACCGCTGGTTGGTCAGGGTCCGCTGGTGAGGGTCGGCTGGTCGGAGCGACAGAGCAGCGGTATCGCTCTCCGCTAGTAAAATAAGATCCGCAGATTGGATAAGATCAGCTGATAAGATAAGTTCAAATCAACGGACAGCAGCGTAGATCGATAAGCCCGAGCCACAGCATCGCACAGCAGCTTATAGCACCGCACAGCGGCGCAGAGCGGCGTGGATCGGTAAGGCGGAGCCATGGATCTGAGCCAGCTCCTCGAGGAGGACGAGCCTCTCTCCCCCAATCGCATGCCTCCCTCCATGGTCGAAGCCATGGCGGCTTCCCTCAGCCGCGACCTCACCACCCCCTCCGCCGCCGCCGCTGCTGCTGCTGCCGCTGCCGCAGCTGCAGGGGGAGGCGCGGGGTTCCCCCCGCTTCACCCCGCGCGCCCGCCGTTTCCCCCCGCAGCCGGCTCCCCAGGCGCGGCCATGCTGGCCTCCGCGCTCCCCCCTGGCGCTGGTATGCGCGTGCATTCCCCCATGCCCATGCCTGGCGCAGCAGGGGGGGCTATGTCCCCCGCAGGCGCAGGTATGGGCATGCCCAGGCCTCAGATGGTGCCTGGGATGCGACCCATGGGTTCTGGACCCGGGATTTCCGCTGGGATTCCGACTGGTCCCGGAATACCCGCGGGAATGGCCGGTGCTGCTCTCGTTACTAGCTCTCCCGTTAGTGGCCCAGGTCCGGGTCAGGCGTACGGGGTTCCTATGAGTGTGCCTGCTGCCGCCAATGGCGTGCCGCCACGTGGCAGTATGCCTGGTCCTGGGGCGGGAGCTAGTGGCGCGGTAGTTGGGGGGACTGGGGGAGGGATGGGGGGAATGGGGGGTGGCGGACCAGGAGCAGGTGCAGGAGGGGGAGGTATGGCTGGGGGTGGCATGGCTGGGGGTGGCATGGCTGGGGGAGGTTTTGCTGGGGGAGGTATAGCTGGCGGTGCAGCAGGGGCCGGACAGGGGGCTATGCGTCCTGGAACGGCTGCTGGTTCCGTTGGTGGTATCCCAGTGCCCCCTTCTTTGGCCAACGACCCCAGATGGCAGAAGCTGACTCCCGAGCAACAGGTCTTGTACTTGCAAAAGCTGCGGCACCAGCAGCAGCAGCGACTGCTGCAGCAACGACAGCAGCAGCAGCAGCAGCAGCAGCAGCAACAGCAGGCGCAGCAGCAGAATCAGCAGCAGCAGCAGCAGCAGCAGCAACAACAACAACCAATACAGTCCCCTCAGCAGCATCAGCAAATGATGGGACAGCAACAGCGAACCGGTACGGTCTACTACTTATCACAAACGTGTATCCTTAACCGATAGCCTCATTCCCATCGTAACACTGAGCTTTATTCATCTCCATGTGGGAGATTTTTTTAGAATTCTAAAAAAACTTTCACAAGGACTGTTTGCATCTCCATGTGTTTCTTGCTACCCGTTCACCTCTCCCTCTTTCCTTCCATCCCCGTTTCTTTCCAGCAGCAGCAGCAGGGGTGGGGGAAGGAGGAGGAGGAGTGGGGGGAGGAGTTGGGGGAGGAGGTGCAGCGGCTATGCGGAGGCCTGGGGGTGTTCAGCCGCCCGCAGTGACCTTCCCTGAGCTGCTTCCCCGGCTGCGGGCGCACTTGAATGAAGCGCAGCTGGCGCAGCTGCAGCAGATACAGAACGCCTGGCGGGTGGGTGAAAGGATGGGCGGGGGGGCGGTTCATTTGTATTTTGTTCTGGATCATTGTTCACTCGATTGTTACCATCCTTCTTCGTTGCCCACCCTTCTTCATTCCTTTGCTACAATGCTATCCCATCGTTCCCATCCCTTTCCATCCCATTGTTCCCATTCCTTGGATCCCCAGGAGCAAAAGATCACCAAGGAGAAGTGCATCAACGCCATCCGATCTGGGGTCTGTGTGGCAGCAACCACATCTTCATCCTTGTTTTATTGCCCATCCTTCTTCATCCACTTCCCATCATGTTCGTTCAATCCCCAGCAGCAGAAGATCAACAAGGAGAAGTGCATCAACGCCATCCGATCTGGGGTCTGTGTGGCAGCAACCACATCTTCATCCTTGTTTTATTGCCCATCCTTCTTCATCCACTTCCCATCATGTTCGTTCAATCCCCAGCAGCAGAAGATCAACAAGGAGAAGTGCATCAACGCCATCCGGTCCGGGGTACCCTTTCCATCCCTTTTCATCCCTTTCCATCCCTTTCCATCCCTTTCCATCGCTTTCCATCCCTTTCCATCCCACTGTTCCCATCCCTTGGATCCCCAGGAGCAAAAGATCAACAAGGAGAAGTTCATCAACGCCATCCGGGGTCTGTGCGGCGACCACATCTTCAAGCACCTCATGCAGCAGCTGCAGGTGAAAATCATGAGGAAGGGGGGGGCGGGGGAGGGCATTCGTGCAGGTGAGCGGGGCAGTGGTGCAGGTGAGCGGGGCAGTGGTGCAGGTGAGCGGGGCAGTGGTGCAGGTGAGCGGGGCAGTGGTGCAGGTGAGCGGGGCAGTGGTGCAGGTGAGCGGGGCAGTGGTGCAGGTGAGCGGGGCAGTGGTGCAGGTGAGCGGGGCAGTGGTGCAGGTGAGCGGGGCAGTGGTGCAGGTGAGCGGGGCAGTGGTGCAGGTGAGCGGGGCAGTGGTGCGGGTGAGCGGGGCAGTGGTGCAGGTGAGCGGGGCAGTGGTGCAGGTGAGCGGGGCAGTGGTGCAGGTGAGCGGGGCAGTGGTGCAGGTGAGCGGGGCAGTGGTGCAGGTGAGCGGGGCAGTGGTGCAGGTGAGCGGGGCAGTGGTGCAGGTGAGCGGGGCAGTGGTGCAGGTGAGCGGGGCAGTGGTTCAGGTGAGCGGGGCAGTGGTTCAGGTGTGCGGGGCAGTGGTTCAGGTGTGCGGGGCAGTGCTGCAGGTGAGCGGGGCAGTGGTTCAGGTGTGCGGGGCAGTGGTTCAGGTGTGCGGGGCAGTGGTTCAGGTGTGCGGGGCAGTGCTGCAGGTGAGCGAGGCAACGGGGGATGAAAGTGCTTTTGTCATGCGGTGTTTGACTGTTGCAAGGTTCGAAATACATCTGCAGCGGGTGCAGGTGAGAGGGTCAGCAGCACGCAACTACTGGCAATGGCGAGACATCTCCAGGAGATTCAGTTAGGAGAGACAGTGAAGCCTCTTTCCCTCCTCCCTCCTCCCCCCCACCTCCTCCCTCCTCCCTCTCACACTCTCTGCCCTCGTCTACCTTCCCTTTGTCCCTCTCTCCCTTGCAGCGAGAGAAGCTTGCTCAACTGTCAAAGGAGCGTCAGGAGCAAATGACAGCAGCAGCAGCAGCTGCTGCAACCAACAACCGAGCAGCACCGTTTTCCACTCCTGCAGCGCCCCTTGCAGCTCCTGCTACAGCCGGGGCTTCCAGCAGCACGCAGCCAGGCACAGCTGTAGCAGGGCCGGCTGCAGCTGGAGCAGCAGCCTCAGGATTGGAAGCAGGCTTGGGAGCAGGCTCGGGTGGGCCTGCGTCTGTGCTGCAGGGTGGTTTGGGAACAGGGACGCCCGGTGGTGTGGCAAGGGAAGGGGGGGGGTTGGTAGGTGGGACTGGGGTAGGTGGGACTGGGGCCGGGGTAGTTGATGGTGCTGCTGGGTTAGTGAATGGGACAGGCGCAGGGGGGCTGGTTGATAATCAGGGAAAGGGGGTGTTGCAACAGCAGCAGCAGTTGCAGCGGCAGCAGCAGCAGCAGATGCTTCAGCAACAGTCGCCAGGAATGAAGCTTGAACCAGGCCTTAGCTCCCAGCAGCAGCAACAGCGACAGCTGCAACAGCAACAGCAGCAACAGCAGCAGCAGCAGCAGCAGCAGCAGCAGCAGCAGCAGCAGCAGCAGCAGCAGCAGCAGCAGCAGCAGCAGCAGCAGCAGCAGCAGCAGCAGCAACAACAGCAAACAGGAGCAGATTCCGTCCCTTCTCCCAATGCTCCCTTTACCCCTAACAGACCAGGATCAGCAGTAGCCATGTCAATGGGCCAGCCTCAACCATACCACGCCATGCAATCCCCTCCCCTCCGACCAACCATGCCCCCCCATCCCCCCCATCCCTCCCATCCCTCCCATCCCTCCCACCCCTCCCATCCCTCCCATCCCTCCCACCCCCCCCAAGCCTTCCAACCCTCTCCCTATCCCATTCCTCGTCCTCCCGTATCTCCTATTCCTCCGAAGCTAGAGCCTGGGCTCGGATACCCTGCCGGACCTGCAGCAATGCCGCACCCATCCCTGGCCCAACCGGTTTATGGGTCAGGTTCGGCACAGGGCCAGGTAGGCTCGGCACCGGCCGGGGTTCCAGGCTCACAAATGGGGTCGGCAGGGTTGGGAGTAGGTATGGATGGTAAGGGGGAGGCGCTATCTGCGGGTATTGCTGGGAAAATCACACCTGGCGCAGGTGCTGCTGCTGCAGCAGTGATGGGAGAAGAAGCTTCTGCAGGCGTGGCTGCTACACCAGCAGCAGCAGTGGCAGCAACAGCAGCAGCAGCTACAGCAGCAGCAGCCACAGCAGCAGCAGCCACAGCAGCAGCAGCCACAGCAGCAGCAGGATCAGCAGCAGCAGCAGCAGCAGGAGCAGGAGCAGTGACTGGTGTGGGTCCTGCTAAGAAGTCAGCAGAAGGGGTAGCAGCAGGGCCTGGGAAAGGGGCAGAAGCAGCAGGAAACGATGGAGGTGCTTCTAGTACAGCAGGAGCAAAGACGCCTGGGGGAAAACCAGGGGTAGGTGCAGGAGCAAAGGCGAATGCTGCTGGGAAAGCAGCAGGTGCTGCTGCCGGTGGTGCGGCTGCAGGGGCAGCTGCAGCAGGGGGTGCTGCTGGGACGCCGGGTCGGCCTTTAACTAAGTATGAGAAGGCTAAGCTTCGGAAAGAGGCGAAGAAGAGAGAGGAGGAGGCGAAAAAGAAGGCGGAGGAGGAGGAGAGGAAGCGGGCTGCTGCTGCTGCTGCAGCCGGGGGAGGTGCTGATGCTGCTTCTTCTGGTGCTGCTGCTGCTGCTGCTGCCGCTGGTGGGGGTGCTGCTGCTACTCCTGCTGCTCCTCCTGGCCCCGCTGCTGCTGGAGCAGCAGTCAAATCGGAGGATGGGTCTTCAGCAGTAGGAGCCGCGGGAGGGAAGGCTTCTGCAGGTTCAGCAGCAGCAGGAGGATCAACAGGAGCAGTGGGAGCAGCAGCAGCAGCAGCAGCAGCAGCAGGGGCAGCAAAGGCACCAGGAGCAGCAGGGGTGCCAGGAGCCCGAGGTCCCCCTTCCCTTCCCCAGAGTGCTGCGTTGAGAAGAGACTCAGAGGAGCCTGAAGTGAAACGATTGAGGCTCACAGAGAGTGAGGGGGCTGCTCTGCCTTCGTCCAGCGCAGGGCCTGCTACCACTCCCTCCAAGCCCACCCCTGGTGCTGCCACTCCCGCCAAGGCTGCCCCTGCTGCTGCTGGCTCTGCTGCGGGTGCTACTGCTGCTGCTACAGCGCCCCAACCAGGCAAACCAGCAGCAGCGGCAGGGTCGGCAACATCGGCCAAGCCTTCCGCAGCAGCTGGACCACAAGTAGGACCCCTCCTCTCTCCCTCCTCCTCTCCCTTTCCTCCTCCCTACTCCCTCCTCTCTCCTCCCTCTTCTCTCCCCCCACCCCATTCTCCCCCCACCCCCCCCTCCCCGCCGCATCCCCCTTCCCCCCCCCCCCCCCAGCCCCTCTCTTTTCTGCTCTCCTTCCCAGTGCTTCATAATGTCAAGGCGCCTTACAGCATGCTCATGAAACAAAAGCAGCAATCAAGTATCGGCTCATTCACTCTTCTGCAGCAGCATCCATCTCGTTTCGTTCATCCTTGCCTTTCCTTTCCTAAACGAGTCCCTCCCCCCACCCACCCCACCTCTCTCTTCCCCACCCCTCGCCTCCCCCCCCCCTAACAACTGTTCAAAACTTACCTCTCTCTCTTTGTTTTCCCCCGCCGTTTCTTCCCTATGTCGTTTCTTGACCCTGTCGTTTCTTGACCCTGTCGTTTCGTCCTGTTGGCGTTCCCCTCTCATCAACCTGCTCCACAGCTGCCGGGCGCTCACCCCTCTGACCCTGCCACGGCCAGCAAGCACCCAGCTGAAGGGTCAGCCCCAGGCCAACCCCCTGTGTGAGTAACTAGATCAGTACACGTGGCCAACCCCCTGTATGAGTAACTAGATCAGTACACGTGGCCAACCCCCTGTGCGAGTAACTAGATCAGTACACGTGGCCAACCCCCTGTGTGAGTAACTTGATCTGTACACGTGGCCGGTGTGAGTAACTTGATCTGTACACGTGGCCGGTGTGAGTAACTTGATCTGTACACGTGGCCGGTGTGAGTAACTTGATCTGTACTCGTGGCCGGTGTGAGTAACTTGATCTGTACACATGGCCGGTGTGAGTAACTTGATCTGTACACGTGGCCGGTGTGAGTAACTTGATCTGTACACGTCGTGAGGGTAACTCTTTAGGCGCCCACAGCCCCACCCACAGCTGCCAGACTCTCACTCCTCTGAGCCAGCTACTCCCAGCAAGCACCCACCCAGCAGAGGCATTAGCCCCAGGACATGAGCCGCAATGCTTTGTTGGGTGCTTGCTCGGATCTGATTGGTTCGAGCAGTCGTATCGTATGCCATTCTCTCTCCCTCTCTATTTCTACTCCATCCATCCCCCCTATTTCTATTCCCTCCTCCCCCGCCCATACCCCCACTGTTACTCCTCCCTCCTCTCCCTCATACCCCCACACGCCCCTTTCCGCACTCCCCTGTCCCTGACACCTCCCGTTGCTGCCAGCAAGAAGCCCAAGCCTGATAACGACGGGATCGAGCAGCTGAATGACGTCACTGCAGTCAGCGGCGTGAATCTGAGGGTGAGTGTGTGTGCTGGCTGTGTGGTAGTCCCTCGCTATGGCACATACCAAGGAGGACCATTCGCCTCCTCCTTGACGAGTAGGAGCTTTTGGCGATGGCATGTGCAGTTCTCCGATTGTGGCTTTGTCTGACGCGGTCAATTCGGAGCCAAATGGTCACTCGCTCCTCCGCTCCCTGCTCACTCTGGTCGGATACTGCTTTTGAGTCGACTCAAAAACAGGGCAGAGCCAAATGGTCACTCATACCTCCGTTCCCTGCTCACTCTGGTCGGATACTGCTTTTGAGTCGACTCAAAAACAAGGCAGAGCCAAATGGTCACTCACACCTCCGCTCCCTGCTCACTCTGGTCGGATACTGCTTTTGAGTCGACTCAAAAACAAGGCAGAGCCAAATGGTCACTCACACCTCCGCTCCCTGCTCACTCTGGTCGGATACTGCTTTTTAGTCGACTCAAAAACAAGGCAGAGCCAAATGGTCACTCACACCTCCGCTCCCTGCTCACTCTGGTCGGATACTGCTTTTGAGTCGACTCAAAAACAAGGCAGAGCCAAATGGTCACTCACACCTCCGCTCCCTGCTCACTCTGGTCGGATACTGCTTTTGAGTCGACTCAAAAACAAGGCAGAGCCAAATGGTCACTCACACCTCCGCTCCCTGCTCACTCTGGTCGGATACTGCTTTTGAGTCGACTCAAAAACAAGGCAGAGCCAAATGGTCACTCACACCTCCGCTCCCTGCTCACTCTGGTCGGATACTGCTTTTGAGTCGACTCAAAAACAAGGCAGAGCCAAATGGTCACTCACACCTCCGCTCCCTGCTCACTCTGGTCGGATACTGCTTTTGAGTCGACTCAAAAACAAGGCAGAGCCAAATGGTCACTCACACCTCCGCTCCCTGCTCACTCTGGTCGGATACTGCTTTTGAGTCGACTCAAAAACAAGGCAGAGCCAAATGGTCACTCACACCTCCGCTCCCTGCTCACTCTGGTCGGATACTGCTTTTGAGTCGACTCAAAAACAAGGCAGAGCCAAATGGTCACTCACACCTCCGCTCCCTGCTCACTCTGGTCCTCATTCTGCTCATATAGAGGCCTCATTGCCATCGTCCTCCCCTTCTGTCCCTGTGCCTCTCTCCCTCGCACGTCTCTGGTCGGATACACGCTCTCTTCTCCCCCTGCAGGAGGAGGAGGAGCAGCTGCTGGCGATGGCAGTGGCGGGGGATGCTCGGCAGAAGGTGCAGGCGGAGGCATGGAGGCGCATGGCCAAGAGACGAAGGCGTCCCTAATTCCCTCGACCCTGTCACTCCTCCCCCCTGTCTCTCTCTCCCTCTCTCTCTCTCTCTCTCTCTCTCTCTCTCTCTCTCTCTCTCTCTCTCTCTCTCACACACACACACACACACACACACACACACACACACACACACACACACACACACACACACACACACACACGCATATGCTTCCGCCCCCCACTGCAGGAAGAGGAGGAGCAGCTGTTGGCGATGGCAGTGGCGGGGGATGCTTAGCAGAAGGTGCAGGCGGAGGCTTAGAGGCGAATTGCCTCGAGACTTGCTGCTTGTGTGAGAATTCAACTTGCTTCTTACCCCCCTTCTCCACCCCTCCCCCTTCCCCCCTCCCCCGCACAGGAAGAGGAGGAGCAGCTGCTGGCGATGGCAGTGGCGGGGGACGCTCAGCAGAAGGTGCAGGCGGAGGCTTGGAGGCGCATGGCAAAGGAGGAGGAGCAGAAGCTTCTCATGGACCGACCGCTGCTGCGCGCCGTGGTTGGGAGAATAGGTGAGGTGTTGGGGGAATAGGTGAGCATGGAGTGGAGGTGAAACTGCTGCGCGCCATAGTTCCTGCCGGTGCGATGCATGGGTCTGTTGGTCTGTCAGACAGAAGGTGCAGGCGGAGGCATGGAGGCGCATGGCAAAGGAGGAGCGGAAACTGCTCCTGGACCGACGTGACTTTTGAGTCGACTCAAAAGTCAATTGCTCATGGAGCGACCGCTGCTGCGAGCCATGGTTGGGAGAATAGGTGAGATGCTGTTGGGAGCACAGATAAGCTGTTGTTGGGCGACTGGGTGAGTAGCTGTTGGGAAAGCGCATGAGTTCAGTGGTCAGAAGGTAGGTGGTGATTGAGAAGCTGGTGGGTGCGTCAGCTGGCCAGAAGGTAGGTGCAGGCGGAGGCATGCAGGCGCTGCCAAGGAGCAGGAGCAGCATCTGCTCCTGGACCGACCCCTGCTGCGAGCCGTTGTTGGGAGAATAGGTGAGGTGCCTGGGAGAAATGGTGTAAAATGGACCAGCCAGTATCGGCAGCGTGTGGGGGTCTCTGGTGTGAGTTGAAAAGGCTGCGTGTGAGCGTCTCTGGTGTGAGTCTTATATTGAAGGCGAACGACAAGGGAGGAGGGGCAGCAGGGACTGCTTATGGACCAACAAATCTTCTAACCTTCATCTTGCAGGGTGTTTATGGACCAACTGCTTATGGACCAACAAATCTTCTAACCCTCTATCCCTTCTAACCGTCTATCACTTCTAACCCTCTATCACTTCTAACCCTCTATCACTTCTAACCCTCTATCACTTCTAACCCTCTATCACTTCTAACCCTCTATCCCTTTCTTCATCTCCCCATTCACCTCTCCCTCTTCGCTCCCCATCTTGCAGGGTGTTTTTGAGAATTCTCAATAACACCCTTTTTGAGAGTTCTCAAAAACACCCTTTTTGAGAGTTCTCAAAAACACCCTTTTTGAGAGTTCTCAAAAACACTCTATCACTTCATTCCTCTCTTCATCTCCCCATTCACCTCTCCCTGTTCGTTCCCCATCCGTCTTCCTCCACCCATCTGTCTTCCTCCACCCATCCGTCTTCCTTCTCCACTCTTCCCTCCCACGCCCTCTCCTCTCTTCAGCTTCCAAGGCGGGCCTTCGCACTGTCAGTGACTCGGTGTATGTGTGCCTCTCCAGGGTAAGACCGCCTGTCACCTCTCTCTGTGTATCTTTTTGAGTCGTCTCTGCCGGGCCTCCGCACTGTCAGCGACTCGGTCCATGTCTGACTCTCAAGGGTATGTCCTCCTGTTACCTGTGTATCTGCTGTCAAATTTATGTTTCTGTTACTGACATAATTTAGCATTTTCGTCTCTCGTTCTCTGGTTATCGCTTCCATTTCTCTGGTTATCGCTTCCATTTCTCTCGTGTCATCACCTTTTGACCCGCGGCACGGCCTGAAACAATGCGTGTACCGAATTTTGCGTCTCTCTCTCTCTCACACACACACACACTCTTCTCTCTTTGCTTCTCACTCTGGCAGGCACTAGAGGAGCGAATGCACACACTACTGGCAGCACTCTCCAGACTGTCAGCTCATGTGAGTGCCGCCCCGGTTGTGACTCAGTTACGGTTAGGTCATCCCTCGCAAGAAGCTCTTGTCGCATAACCTCTTCTTCACTCAGCACCTCTCCTCTGTGATGCCTAAATTTTGCAGGGTGTTTTTGAGAATTCTCAATTTTGCAGGGTGTTTTTGAGAATTCTCAAAAACACCCTGCATAACCTCTTCTTCACTCAGCACCTCTCCTCTATGATGCCTAACCTGGTTCCTTAGTGGCTTTGCCCATCCTGCGTTTGTACGTAATGAGACCCAACTTCCCTGACTCTTACGAAAAAGCCCGAAACTAAATCTCGCACCCTGATTCTCTCTACTGCACCTCTGCCCGGCCTCCCTACATGGATCTAGCGATGCTCAAAAGTAATTCCACTAGTAAGAGGGCATACAAGCTTTCCCATGGTAACGAGAGAACAAACAGAGTAGCAACAACCACCCTCTCTAGCTGGTTTTGTGCTGCTCCTCCTAGCAGTCCCACTCCAGAGCCAAACCCAACCCTCCCAGGTGCTTCCGCCGCGCACCTTTTCAGGATTTTCGCCATCCTATGATGGCCCCGTAACTCCTGCCATCGACTCACCTCCCTCCTTTGCTGCATGTCACAACCTGCATGTCACAACCTGCATGTCACTGTCCGAACCGCTCCACCAGCTCGCTTACGTGTCATGTCCCAACCTGCTGCCCTCCCAGCTGGCCAACCGCTCCCTCCTCCCAACTCGCCCATCACTGTACCTTTATCAACAAGGTGTTGTCGGCTATGTACACTATATACACTTGCTTGCACCCTTCTTCGCTCCTTTACATTCTTCACCCGCCCCTCCCGCGCTGTCCCATGAAACTCGGTAATGTGTACAACGAGATTCATGCGACACTCTCTACAACTCAATTAATGCCTCTGTTTTCGACAAGGACGCACTCCTTCTAACCAACGGCCAAGAGCTTCGACCTAGCAGTCGTCAACTACCCTGCACCATCTGCCCCGGAGCTCACCTAACTCACGCTCCGTTCCTGTCTCGCTTTCCCAGTGCTACCATGTACTCACCTATGGATCTCGTTTTCAGCGACATACTCTTCATGCCACAGGAAGCAGAAGATATCAGCGGCAACGACTACCGCTATATAATTACCTTCATCGACGGTGCTACTCGATACGTCTGGCACAAGAACATCTCTCACAAGTCTGAAGCTCTCGACGCCTTCAAGCTATGGCTGAAAATCGCGTAGCGGCACGTCTCACAGCGCTCGCAACAGCAACAGCAGCATCTGCCTTCCTAGTCTGTTCTCCCATCCCTTCCACCCACCCTCCCCCCCGCCCCCGCCCCCGCCCCTGTCCCGTCTTTCTCATTCAAAGCACCCCTGGATGGATCAGCATCGGCACTAGCTGCTGCGTTATAATAATCGAGTCCCCCCCGTCCCCCCCGTCTCTTCCAACCTCCCCATGTCTTTCCCAAAAACAGCGTCTCGACCAGCATCGTCACCAGCTGCTGCGGCGGCAACAACAAGAGCAACAGCAGCAGCAACAAATACCGCAGCAGCACATCCCTGCGATGCAGGTCATGTCGAACCCGCTGCAGCAGCTGCGGCAGATGCAGCGGGTGGAGCGAGAGGCGGAGGAGCGGCGAGCAGCGGAGGAGCGAGAGAGGCTCAGACGACTGGGGGAGGTGAGTGAGTGGTGGGGGGAGGTAAGTGGTGGGGGGAGGTAAGTGGTGGGGGGAGGTAAGTGGTGGGGGGAGGTAGGTGGTGGGGGGAGGTAAGTGGTGGGGGGAGGTAGGTGGTGGGGGAGGTAAGTGGTGGGGGGAGGTAAGTGGTGGGGGGAGGTAAGTGGTGGGGGGAGGTAGGTGGTGGGGGGAGGTAAGTGGTGGGGGGAGGTAGGTGGTGGGGGGAGGTAAGTGGTGGGGGGAGGTAAGTGGTGGGGGGAGGTAAGTGGTGGGGGAGGTAGGTGGTGGGGGGAGGTAAGTGGTGGGGGGAGGTAGGTGGTGGGGGGAGGTAAGTGGTGGGGGGAGGTGGGTGCTGGGAACGGTGAGTGGCTAGAAGGGTGAGGAAACATGCACAGTGTATCCAGTCACTTCCTTGCACCTTCCTTGCACCTTCCTTGCGTGCGGGTGACATTGGATGAAATAGAGAGGCTTTATAGTTAAACTTTTGAGTCGACTCAAAAGTCAGCTTAATCATTGGCGTTATCCTGTCACTTCCTTGCACCTTCCTTTGTCTGCTATTTTATCCTCTCTTCCTCCTCATACCTTCCTCGTTCTCCCCTCGTTCTGAGGTGACTTTTGAGTCGGCTCAAAAGTCACTTCCTCGTTCTCCCCTCGTTCTGTCCTCCTCTCACCTACCGCCTTCCCTTCCCTTCCCGTCCATTCCACCTTCCCGTGTTCCCCCAAGCGGCGCCATGAGAAGGAGAGCAAGGAGGCGGAGAAGGCAAACATCTCTTGTACACTGTTTTCTCCCATCCCCCTCCGTTCTGTCCTCCTCTCATCGACCCCCTTCCCTTCCCTTCCCTTCCTGCCTTCCCCCCTGTGGTGACATCAGAAGGAGAGCAAGGAGAAGGAGAAGGCAAACATGTCGGAGAAAGAGAAGGAGGAGCACCGACTCAAGGCGCAGAAGGTAAGGCTCTTGAGCTTAAGACATAGAGGCATGGAGTGTAAGAGTCAAGGGGCACAAGGTAAGACATTCTGAATGTTAAGCATAGAGTGTAAGTGTCAAGGGGCACAAGGTAAGGCTTTTGTTTCCCTCTCCTCACGCGCGCCAACAAAGCGGCAAGGGTTGCGGTGGGAGAGCAACCCCTCCTTCCTACACTGATCTTTTGTTCCCCTCCCTCTCATGTACCCATCCCTGCAGGCCAAGGAGATGGAGGAGGAGAAGGCAACGTGTGTCAACGAGGCAGTGAGGGTGGTGGTAGGAATAGACCCGCTTCCTTTTTCTCCCCTCCCACACTTCGATTCCTCTCCTTCTGCCCCTTCCTTATGTGTTTCTTTCATCAGGCCAAGGAGATGGAGGAGGAGAAGGAGAAGGCCACTAGGGCCAACGAGGCGGCAAGGGTGGCAGTGGGAGTGGACCCGCGCTTTGCTAAGTGGTTCCGCGACGCCCAGCTGAGGAAGATGCAAGCCGCAGGTGGAGCAGCAGCTGGGGGGGGAGCAGGGGGAGGAGCAGCAGGGGGAGGAGGAGCAGGGGGAGCGGCAGCAGCAGGAGCACAGGCTAGCAAGGAAGGCACAGGCGCAGAGGGATCTGCCTCGGCTCCAGGTGGCGGTGCTGCCAACGCGGGCCAATCAGGAGCTGCCTCGTCAGCAGCTGGAGGGGGGGTATCCGGGGTAGGAGGGGCCGGTGCTGGTGCTGGTGGTGGGGTTGGTGGCAGAGAGGGAGGTTTATCTGGTGCAGGTACACCTGATGGCAAGGTCGTTGGTGCCAGGGCGGGAGGCTCGGCAGCCGGAGCAGCAGGTTCGGGGGCAGGCTCGGCAGCAGCAGGCACAGCAGGGGGAGCAGGGGCAGGAGGGCTGGTGAAGCAGCAGCAAGGGCCGAGGATTGTGATACTAAAGGATGTGATTGCAGCGCTGGAACGAGAGCCCCAAATGGCTAAGTCTGTGCTGATGTTCAGAGTGCACGAGAGAGAAGGGAGGGCGAAAGAAGGGAAGGGCAGAGAAGCAGTGGTAGGAAGAGGAGGAATGAAGGGCGCTGCAGCCGGTGCAGCAGCGAAGGGAGCAGCAGCAGGAGGAACAGCAGGAGGAGGAGTAGGAGGGGCAGGAGGAGCAGGAGCAAGAGCAGGAGGAGGGGCAGGAGGGGGTAAAGGAACGGCAGCAGCAGCAGCAGGGGGCGTTCAGGGAGGAGCAGCAAGAGCAGGGGGGGCAAAGGGGCCCTCTGGAGGAGTGGGCGGGCCGAAAGCAGCAGCAGGGGGAGGAGCAGCGGCAGGGGGAGGGGGAGTGAGTGGGGTGGTGAGAGGTGGAGTGGGAGGCACAGGGGTGAAATCGCCAACAGCAGTCGTCAAAGCAAGCCCTGGCGGTGGGGCCGTGGCTGCCAAAGGGATGGGAAATGGAACACCTGCAACAAGCATTAGGAAGTAGATTGGCTCTAGTTATGATGATAGGGTTTCAGTATTAGGGGGCCGTAATTAGGTAGGAATAGCAGAGCATCCTGCATTCTTACCGCTATTATGAACGGCATTGTGGTCCCCCGGATAGAATCCTTTAAATTTGCTGGTAAAGCTCAAGTTTTAGTGTTCAAGTTTTGACAACGTGAATTGTAAGTTTAGTTTAGAGTAAATTATATCCGCGGCCAGTTTCAGCAAGAACCGCTCTATAGCGCCATCAAATCCAACTTCGGGAATATAGCCACGAGTGCTTTTCGTCCGTTTTCCCAGGCTCTAAGATGTAACGCGACTCGCACTAGTGACAAGCTGCAATTGGCTCCTGGTGCTTTGTAGACTCGGAACTTTTCTAGAACCGCCCGCGCGCCAAACATAGGGTGTGTTCAAAACACCTGAAGGAACCTTTCTAGAACCGCCCGCGCCCCCAAGCCGCACAGCCGCTCGCGCATCATACGCGACATAGCCGGATTCGCTCCTGACGCCGTGTTCTGAGGCTCCTACATTCACTGTGCCTCTTAGCTACTTAGACTAATATTCGCGTTTTTGTTTATCCCATGGCGGACGCCCCTGGCGCAGCTGGCGCAGCTGGTGCTGGCGGAAGAGCTCCGGGGAGAGGACGCGGGCGCGGAAGGGGAAGGGGAAGGGCGCGCGGGGCCGCGGCGGAGGGGGGAGCGCAAGCGGGGAGAGGCGCAGACGCGGGGAGAGGCGCAGAAGCAGGGAGAGGCGCGGGGACGGCGCGATTGGGCAGCGTATCTGATCCGATCGGACGGCTGCAAGCAGCCGGGGGGGCGCAAGGGTTGAGGGTTCAGGATTTGGGCGCAGCAGGTGGCGCAGTCTCCGCTTCCCCTTCCGCCAGGGCCGCCGTTTCCGCTTCCGCCGGTGCAGCTTCCGCCCCCAAGGCTGAGGCTCGGGATGGTGGTTCGGCTTCTGCACCAGTAGGTTCGGCAGCTGCAGGTTCGGCGGCGGCAGCAGCAGCAGGAACGGTGGAAGGGGCAGCAGGTTTGCGGAAGGTACGGCAATTCTAGCAGTCTACTAACGGGTTTTGCACTAACAGGGTTTTGCACTAACGGGGTTATTGCTAGAGTCTACTTTTGAGGCGCCTCAAATAGAGAATGCAGCAGCCGGACGTTATTGCAATAACGGGGTTGGTGTTGGAGGAGCGTGGACTTGCACAGAATGTGTTGGGGGATGTAGCTCTTTCCCCGCCTCCTCCCCCCCCCCCTTCCTCCCCTCATTGTTTTTCTCCCCCCCCCCCAACCCCCCTCATGGCAGCAGTCACACACAGCATATTGTGTCAACTCTTATCCTCATCCTGCCCTCCCATCTCCATCAACTTCCCCCCCCCCCCCCCACCCCACCCTCCAACCCCTTCCCTCCCCTCCTCTCCTCACCCATCCCCTCCTCTCTTCCCACATCCCCTTCACATTTCGTCCTCCCCGCCACCCCTCCCCCCTTCACATGCATATGAGTGCAGCCCAAGTTCCTCCTCCCCGCCACCCCTCCCCCCTTCCCCTGGCACGTGCATGTGACGACGGTGTATGAGGGCAGCCCAAGTTCGTCCCCAAGGTGCCGGCGAGGAGAGCGCACATGAAGGACTGCTGCTGTTGTCTTGACATGTGTATCGAGGACTTCACATGCGTGTGCGTGCTGTTGTCTTCCCTCGACGGCTGCTTCAGTTCGGGCCCTTCAGGCCCTTCAGGCCCTTGTTTTCTCCCCTTCCCTCTCTCCCCCCTCCCCCCCCCCCCCCCCACCCATTTCCCCTGGCACGTCCATGTGACGGTGTATGAGGGTAGCCCAAGTTCGTCCCCAAGGTGCCGGCGAGGCGAGCACAGAAGAAGATCCACCTCATTCCACCTCATTCCACCTCATTCCACCTCATTCCACCTCATTCCACCTCATTCCACCTCATTCCACCTCATTCCACCTCATTCCACCTCATTCCACCTCATTCCACCTCATTCCACCTCACCTCCCCCCTTCCCCTGGCACATGCATGTGACGGTGTATGAGGGCAGCCCAAGTTCGTCCCCAAGGTGCCGGCGAGGCGAGCACAGAAGAAGGCAGTGAAGTCGTGAGTCACTCCCTCCCTATGCTCTGCCGTGCTTCGGCTATGCTGAATTGAGTCGCGTTGAGTCGAGCACAGGAAGCAGCCGAGCGGCTTTTGACTCGACTCAAAAGCAATCCGTGAGTCACTCACTCCCTATGTTCTGCCGTGCTTCGGCTATGCTCAAGTGAGTCGCGTTGAGTTGAGCACAGGAAGCAGCCGAGCGGCAGAAGGTACCTGTGTGTCTTGTCTTTTAACGCCCATCGCTCGACCTCAAACCCATGGATGGCATAGCAGACAGAAAACCGTTTTGAGACGTCTCAAAACTGAACTAGTCACACACAGCCGAGCAGCAGAAGCTGCCTGTGTGTGTTGTTGTTTAACCCCCATCGCTCGATCGCGAACGCATGGATGGCATAGCAGAGAGGAAGCAGCTTTGAGACGTCACAGTTCTTCTGAGGCGTCTCAAAACTGAACTACTCGCACACAGCCGAGCCGCAGGAGGTACGTGGGTGTCTTGTCTTCTAATGCCCATCGTTCGGCCCCAGGATCGCAGAGAGCAAGCAGTTTTGAGACGTCACAGTTTTGAGTCGTTCCAGTTTTGAGACGGCTAAAAAATATACTGAGGTGCCTCAAAAATATACTGAGGTGTCTACTTACATACAGCCGAGCAGCAAGAGGCACCGGTCGCCCATCACTCAACCCCATCTGTGGCAGCGCAGACAGGAAGCAGTTTTGAGACGTTTCAAAACTAAACTACTTGCACACTGCCAAGTAGCAGGAGGTAGCTGTGTGTCTTGCCCTTACACGCCCATTGCTCGACTCGACCCCATCTGTGGCAGACAGCAGAACAGGAGCCACCGGAGGGGCTAGCCGTTCTAATTTCTACTTGAAGTCTAATTAGTTTGAATCTGTTCGTCCCACCCCACACCCCACCACCACTCAGAGAGGAAGCAGCCGAGCAGGAGCTACCAGACGAGCCACCGATGTCTAGTTGTCTATAGGTGATTTTTGAGTCGACTCAAAAATCGAGCCACCGTTGTCTAGCTATCTAGTGTCTAGCTGTCTAGTTGTCTGTTTGTCAGTTTTCCCGCCCCGAACATGCCACCCCCCACACCCCACCACCACTCAGCGAGGAAGCAGCCGAGCAGGAGCTACCAGACGAGCTGCGAAAAATACTGCTGGTGCGTCTCACAGTCCCACACACCTGCGTTTCCTCGCACCTTCCTCACCCCTTCCTCGCATCGCTCGATTGCTTTTTCTTTCGGCATCCCTCCCTTCTTTTGAGTCGACTCAACAGTCTTGTCGAATCACATCACACACCACTGCTTGTCCTCCTCACATCGCCCAATTGCTTTCTTCTTCCTTCTTCAGCATTTTAAGACTCCTCAACTCAAAAAGTTCTGCTTTTGAGGCGCCTCAAAACTCAGAAAGTTCTGCTGTCTTTCGTTCCCAACTTCACCGCCTCTTTCCTTTCCTTCTCCCCTCCCCCCTCACTCTAGCAATTCAAGCTGATGCCTCAATGCCCCCAAACGTCTGCTTTTTTAGGTGCCTCAAAAATAGGCTCCTGCCCCCCCCCCCCCTCCCCCTTGCCTTGCCCCCCTCGATCTGCAGCAATCTCAAGCTGATGCGTCCAATGCCCCCAAACGAGCCTTCCAGGGTATGTTGGTGTATCCACATGCCGTAGTTTATGTGAAGCGCCTTTATGTCGTGTTTATGTCCCCCAAACGTTTCAGCAGTAGTGGTGGTAGTGGTGGTAGTGGTGGTAGTGGTGCTATCTGCATCCTACCATCTATTCATCAAAAGTTTTGTTCTCCACCTCTCCTTACTCTCCCCATCACGTGCTGCTGCTGGTGCTGCTGCTGCTGCTGGTGCTGCTGCTGCTGCTGCTGCTGCTGCTGCTGCTGCTGCTGCTGCTGCTGCTGCTGCTGCTGCTGCTGCTGCTGCTGCTGCTGGTGATGCTGCTGGTGCTGGTGGTGGTGCTGCTGCTGGTGCTGGTGCTGGTGGTGCTGGTGCTGCTGCTGCTGGTGCTGCTGGTGCTACTGGTGCTGCTGCTGCTGCTGCTGGTGCTGGTGCTGCTGCTGCTGCTGGTGCTGCTGCTGGTGCTGGTGGTGGTGCTGCTGCTGGTGCTGGTGCTGGTGCTGCTGCTGGTGCTGGCGGAGGTGCTGCTGCTGGTGCTGGTGGTGCTGCTGCTGCTGGTGCTGGCGGAGGTGCTGCTGCTGGTGCTGGTGGTGGTGCTGCTGCTGGTGCTTGTGCTGCCGCTAGGGTGGTGGTGCTGCTGCTGGTGCTTGTGCTGCCGCTAGGGTGGTGCCGGTGCTGGTGCCGGTGCCGGTGCTGGTGCTGGTGTGGTGATGACGGCCTCTGGTCTCCCCCTCTCCTCACTCTCCCCCGCAGGTGCGGCTGTGTGTGTTGCCTTTGGGTTCGGCGCCTCAGCAGCAGCAGCAACAGCTGGGGTCGTGGGCCCGTCCTCTCTCTACAGCATAGGGGGCAGCAGCAGCAAGCTGTTTGGTGATGGTGCTTTTGCCATACCATCCAACACCAAGGAGAATTTGCTCTTCTTCTCTCCCCCATCTCCCCCCCGCAGGTGCGGCCGTGCGTGGTGCCTTTGGCTTCGGCGCCTCAGCAGGAGCAGCAGGGGTCGTGGGGCCGTCCTCTATGGGCAAAGGAGTTAGCAGCGGGGTCATGGGGCCATCTCTATGGGCGAAGGAGTATGCAGCGGGGTCATGGGGCCATCTCTATGGGCGAAGGAGTATGCAGCGGGGTCATGGGGCCGTCCTCTATGGGCAAAGGAGTTAGCAGCGGGGTCATGGGGCCGTCCTCTATGGGCGAAGGAGTTAGCAGCGGGGTCATGGGGCCGTCCTCTATGGGCAAAGGAGTTAGCAGCGGCAGCAAGCTGTTTGGCGATGGTGCTCCCCCTCTCCTTAATCCCCCCCGCAGGTGCGGCCGTGCGTGTTGCCTTTGGGTTCGGCGCCTCAGGAGTCTATTTTTGAGGCGCCTCAAAAATTTGCTCTTCTTCTCTCCCCCATCTCCCCCCCGCAGGTGCGGCCGTGCGTGTTGCCTTTGGCTTCGGCGCCTCAGCAGCAGCAGCAGGAATCATGGGCCCGTCCTCTATGGGCAAAGGGGGCGGCGGTGGTGGTTGGGGAGGGGAAGGAGGGGGAGGAGGAGGGGGTGGGGGGGGAGGGGGAGGCGGAGGGGGAGGGGGTGGCGGAGGGGGAGGGGGCGGCGGAGGGGGAGGGGGTGGGGGAGGAGGAGGGGGAATGAAGGAGGAGGGAGGGGTGCGAGTGAAAGCGGAAGGGGGGACTGTGGATGGTGGCGGGATGGGCGACTTTTTTGCTCCAGGTAAGCTGGGTGGTTGGTTCGCGGTTCACCTGTGCAATTCCGTTGATTCGACTCAAAAGTTTGCTCCAGGTGAGCTGGTTGCTTGGTTCAGGTGAGGTTGATTGGTCAAGGAAAGCTGGTTTTGCTGCGCGCATGCGCCCTGCTTCGCCCATACGCCCTGCTTCGCCCATGCGCCCTGCACAACAGCAGGTGACTTCGCTGCATACTAGCTTCCTCGTTCACAACACTTCTGTTTCGTACATCCACTTCTCCTTCTGCCGCTGACGGTTCTTCGAGTCAACGCTCGAGTTGACCTCTGATGACTTGAGAGTCAACTCATCTCATCTCCCCCCTCCCCCGCTCGTCCCCATTCCGGCTGCCCCTGCTCCTCTTCCCTTCCCTGCCCAAATTCTTGCCAGGTGGCTCTTTCCAATTGGACGAAAAGAAGGCGAAGAAAAGAGACTCCATGGTGGGTGAGGTGGATTGCTTGAGAACGGGTGATGTGGAGTCCAATTGAAAGGAACCTTCCTGGATGTTTCAGTAACCGCCCCCTGTGCTCAGAATCAGTATCGCTCTGTGCTCTCCTTTGCATGAGGCGTGCGTGAGACGATTTTTGAGGCGCCTCAAAAATCCTTTGCATGAGGCGTGCGTGCGACGATTTTTGAGGCGCCTCAAAAATCCTTTGCATGAGGCGTGCGTGAGACAATTTTTGAGGCGCCTCAAAAATCCTTTGCATGAGGCGTGCGTGAGACGATTTTTGAGGCGCCTCAAAAATCCTTTGCATGAGGCGTGCGTGAGACGATTTTTGAGGCGCCTCAAAAATCCTTTGCATGAGGCGTGCGTGAGACGATTTTTGAGGCGCCTCAAAAATCCTTTGCATGAGGCGTGCGTGAGACGATTTTTGAGGTGCCTCAAAAATCCTTTGCATGAGGCGTGCGTGAGTTTCCGGATGTTTCAGTAACCGCCCACTCAAATCAGTTGCATGATGCGTGCTGCTGATGCAACTGAATGATGCGACTCGGTCATATAGGTGGCATAGAGTTGTGCAACGTCAGCTCTTTGCGAACTTTCTTTAGGTCTTTCCTTAGAAATCTTTACAGAGAAGTACATCTGTCCATTTTTGCGTGTGTGTGCATGCCTTGTACTTACCTGTGTGCGTGCATGTGTGCGTGTGTGCGTGCGTGCGTGTGTGCGTACGTGCGTGCGTGCGTGCGTGCATGCGTGCGTGCGTGCGTGCATGTGTGCATGTGTGCCTGGGTACTTACCTACATGTCCACCTGAAAACAGGACTACAACCGGTACTACCCCACAACGCTGCCTCTGCGCCCCCCAAACACCGGACCACCAGGTACGATTTTCAGACGCACAGGCATGGGTCTTCGCCCAACTTGCATGGGTCTTCGCCCAACAGGCATGAGTCTTCGCCCAACAGGCATGGGTCTTCGCCCAACAGGCATGGGTCTTCGCCCAACAGGCATGGGCCTTCGCCCAACAGGTATGGGTCTTCACCCAGCAGGTATGGGTCTTCGCCCAACAGGCATGAGTCTTCGCCCAACAGGCACGGGTCTTCGCCCAACAGGCATGGGTCTTCGCCCAACAGGCACGGGTCTTCGCCCAACAGGCACGGGTCTTCTCCCAACAGGCATGGGTCTTCGCCCAACAGGCACGGGTCTTCGCCCAACAGGCATGGGTCTTCGCCCAACAGGCACGGGTCTTCGCCCAACAGGCATGGGTCTTCGCCCAACAGGCATGGGTCTTCGCCCAACAGGTATGGGTCTTCGCCCAACAGGGATGGGTCTTCGCCCAAAGGGTATTTACCTGGTGTGTTCTGCCCCACAACGCTTCCTCTGCGCCCTCCGAACACCAGACCACCGGACCACCAGGTATCAGCTTCAGACCAGCGGGTTTGCATCTCAAGCATTCAAGTGCTAGATATGCCGATCTAGCACTGCTGCTGCTGCTGCCGCCGCCGCCGCCGCCGCCGCCGCCGCCGCTGCTGCTGCTGCCGCCGCCGCCGCTGCTGCTGCCGTCGCTGCTGCTACTGCTGCTGCTGCTGCTGCTGCCGCCACCGCCGCCGCCGCTGCTGCTGCTGCTGCTGCTGCTTCTCCTTCTCATTCCCCCCCCTCTCTTCCTCCTCTCTGGCCCGCCTCTCTCCAGATCTCCTAAACGAGGCTGAGTTTGGGGAGGAGGCTTTGGCACGGCCTTTCAACGAGGCCGCTGTGCCTTCAGCCACCGAACTAGGCCTAACCGCTCGTTCTGCTGCTGCTGGCGACTCTTCCGCTGATGACCGGATGATTTTCTTCCAGCTGCCCGCCGCGCTGCCCGTGGTCCGGGAGCGGGCTGAGCCAGCGCCGGGTGAACCCGGGCCGTTGGATGAGCTTTCTTCGCTGCCCGCCGGGCGGATCGGAAAGATCCTGGTTTATGATGATGGGAGCGTGAAAATGAAGCTTGGAGAAACATTATTTGATGTGAGTGACTTGTTTGATTTATGAGTACCTTTTGTTCCCAACAACTTCAAGTGTATGTGTCAAACTTTTATTAACTCGCAACCCGTTTCCTCCTCCCCACCTGCCTCCCCCCCATACCACAGAGCTCCTAACCGGTTCGCCCTGCTTTTCCACCAGGAGCTAGCGGCTGTGAATGCATCCCCTGCTGAGTTTCACTCCCTCGTGCCTGACTCTCGTCTTCCTTCCCCCTCCCCCCCTTTTCCGCCCCCCAATACATAGTTTCTAGCCGCGGTACACCTATTCTACTGCTGAGTGCCACTATTTCGTGCCCACTCTCGTTTGCCCTCCCCCTTCCCCCTACCCCCTGCCGCCTTCCCCCTCCCCCCTTCCGCCTTCCCCCTTCCCCTTCCACCTCCCCTCTTCCCCACCCCCTCAATGCCACAGCTGCTAGCGGGTTCGCCCTGCATTTTCCACCAGGAGCTAGCAGCTGTGAATGCATCCCCTGCTGAGATCTGCTTTCTCGTGCCTCGCTCCCATCTGCCTCCCCGCTTTCCCTGTTTCCCCCCCCCCCCCATACCACAGTTACTAGCAGGCTCGCCCTGCATTTTCCACCAGGAGCTAGCCGCTGTGAATGCCTCAACTGCGGAGTGCCATTTCCTGGGGGATGTGAGGCAGAGGGCAGTTGTGGTGCCGGATATAGACTCGCTGCTCTGATGATGTTGATGATGATGCTTTGTCCACCCATGGTTGGAATTATGGCTGTAGCAGTACAACCTTCAACAATTGCCTCAACTGCAGAGTGTCATTCCCTGGGGGATGTCAGGCAGAGGCCTGTTGTACCGGATATAGACTCCTAACAGAAAGAAAATGATTGTACTAGAATGTGTGTGTACAAGGATATATAGACTAAGGTGTTGTACCCTCTAAGGCACAATCCGGTATAGTCTACAGTAACAACCTAAGTTACGTTTGACACACCCCCTAGACTATATAGGGGCAGTGCCTAACAAGGGAAGAAGCAGCTCAGGGCGGCACTACTAGTCCAGCCTCTGAGACAAGGGTCTAAAGACCAGTCAAAAGGACTACAGACAAGGCAAGAGCAAGCCCAGTGCAGCACTACTAGTCCAGCCACTGGGAGAGGCCACAAGGCCAGTCAGGGTAAAATATATATATAAAGGACAGTACAAAGTCAAGGCCCTAGAAAGTGAGAGGATACAAGAACGAGACCCAGCTGTACACAGTGCCGCTGATGATCTTTAGGCGCAACCGCCTTCGTAAAGATATCAGCTGTGTTGGCACCGGAGGCCAAGTGTGCTACGCGCGCCTGGCGACGCTGCTGAAGCTCACGCAGGAGGAAGTACGCAGCTGAATGTGCTTCGCTGTGCCCTCGAGTCGAGGCTCCTGACGCAGGAGGATCATGGCCACGTTGTCAGCGTACAGGACCGGGGCAGAGCTAGCCCGCTCACCTAAGTCAGTGAGCAAGAAGGTGAGCCAGCGGAGCTCCTGTGCCGCCATGGCACCGGCTTAGATCTCGGCCTCACAGCTCGACTGGGCAACAGACGAGGAGCGGGTAGCTCTCCACGAGACGGCACCTAAACCAAGGCTGAAGCAGTAGCCCTGTGAGGACCTGAGGGTCTCGGCGTCGTCTACCCAAGAAGCGTCTGTGTGTCCTGTAAGGACCACTGGCCTACGTCCTCCTACCGTAATCCCCCGGCTACTGGACCCTATGGATTTCTTAGAATTACAGAAAAAAGTGTCTAGGTGGACATTAACGCGGACGTAAATTATTAGGACCCATGTTCACGTATTTTACACTTGAGTGTCTATTGTTCTGGATGTACAACCTTTCTACATAGGGAGTTATATTTGTACCGCGGAAACAGAATGCTCTTATCGTCATCTTTTCCGTGCCACCTGAATGACACGCGTCAAATTTCCAGCAGCGACGGCTGCAAATTTTCGCGCGCTGACGTGACGCGATGGCATTTTGACTGCCATCACCCCTGCTGCAAGAACGAGGGTCCAGTTATAGTGAATCTGCCATCCCTGATTTCATGTACCGCTTCATTTCAGTGAAACTTGCAGTGCAAAACCAACACGAAAACAAAGCTGGGGGTTAGTACTACCGTATTCCCTCGGGGCTCTGGTATGGTGCAGGTATGGTACTAACCAGGGTACTAACCGCAAGTACTAACGCAAAACCCTCTTAGCGGCAGACCAGTGCTGAGGTCGGTGTCTGCCTGTAGCCACAAAGCGAGCCAGGATGCTGAGAGGGTATGCGAGATCTAGGCACGTGCAAGTCATCAGGTACATGAGGCAACCCACCAGCTCTGCGTAAGGACCACTGGGCTCTGCTGACTCCTCAGGAACTGGAGCAGAGAGCTTGTGGTCAAGAGCCAGAGAAGTAGGCTGTGCGAAGGAGAACTGAAGGCCGAACCTCTGAAGAACTTGGCGCACCAAGTGTGACTAAGTCGAAGTGATGGTGCGGGCTGCTCTGTCCCTGGAGATCTGCAAGCCAAGGTAGTGGAGCAGTTCTCCAAGGTCAGTGCAGGTGTGTCTCTTCAGCAGCTCTGCCTTCATGGAGGCCAATGCGTCCCTGTCTGCCGTGGCGAAGACCAGGTCGTCTACGTAAACAAGGATGTAGAACGGAGTCTGGCCAGCACGAACGAAGAGCGAGGGGTCTGCAGAGGACGAAAAAGAACTGCAGGTCAGCAAGCGTAGCACGCAGGGTGTCGTGCCACTCACGGGGAGCCTGCCGCAGGCCGTAGACGGGGCGCCGGAGGAGCCACCGGGTCCCAGGAGGGAAGGTACCAGTGAAGCCCTGAGGGCGACGCAGGTAGACCTGCTCGTGTAGACTGCCCTGAAGAAACGCAGTGGAGAAGTCGAGGGAGTGAAGCTCGTACTCACGCTGTGCTGCTACGTGTAGTAGCACCCGAAGAATAGTCATCTTCGGGGTCAGAGCGAAGGTCTGGAAGAAGTCCACCCCCTCACGCTGACTGAAACCTCTAGCCACGTAGCGCGCCTTGAACACAGGCGGCTCTCCAGGAGGGCGCTTCACCTTGAAGAGCCAGCGGCCATCAACAACGTTCACCCCAGGTGGGGGAACTGCGTCGACGTAGGAGCCGGTGGATCTCCAAGATGCCATCTCCTGCTCCATGGCAGCTATCCACTGAGAGGCCTAGGGCCTCGAGACCGCCTCAGCGTAAGTGCGAGGGGTCGGGATGTCGAAAGCGTCGGGGTCACCCTCAGGGACTAGAAGCATGGAACAGAGATGGGGAGCAGACTCGGACAGGAAAGCAAGCTCGTACTGGCGGTCCTCCAGGACGTCACTGCCAAGGGCAGGAGCACCCCCGACAGACAGGGTCAGAGACCAGAGCGGTGGCATAGTCAAGGCGGCGGGTAGAGGCGAAGTCAGGGACCGCAGCGACAAGGGCGTCAAGGCTCGAAACCGGAACAGACGGGTCGGTAACGAGAGAGGCAAGGACCCGAGGAACAAGAGGGCGGGCGGCACGCAGGTAGTCAGACAGAGGGGGGAAAGCAACGACAAGGGAGGACGGAGGGGGCGACGGGAGAAGGGGAGGACGAGACGCGTGGGAACGAAGCAACATAGGATGAGAGCGCCAGACAGGGGAGACAGGTCGAGCACGGGAGGGACGGCGAGACCAGACGTGAGACGGGGGAGTCGGGTCAGGAGACAGAGAAGGGGACACAGGAGGGGAACGAGGGGGGAAACGGGTCAAAGACACGTCCGGATGAGGGAACACAGGGCCGGAGACAGGAGGAGGAGGAGGAGGCACGTGCACGGGGTCAGGGGACGGAAGGCCGAGCAAGCGAAGAGCGGACACCGGTGGGGACTGTTGTGATGGCGGTGTGACGCCGACACCGAGACCGCAAGCTACTAGGCGGCTACCTCCAGAAGACTCCACACCAGCACCCCCAGAAGAAACACCCCCAGAGCTCAGAACCCCTCGAGCACCGGTACCACCCCCAGGCCCGCCGGGACAAGCCATGACAGGAGTCCCAGGACTAGTACCCACCCCAACTCCAGCACCCCTAGAGGCAACCAAATGCTGCGGCGATGGCTGCGGCGGCGGCGGTCGCAACGATGGCTGCGGCGGCGGCGGTCGCAACGACGGCTACGGCGACGACGGTGACGACGGCTGCGACAGCGGTGGCGACTGCGGCTGCGGAGGCGGCGGAGGAGGGGACACCTGAGAAGGGGCAGGCGGCGAGGACTGCGACGCAGGTCTACCAGAGTCAGTAGACTCCTCAACCGGTACAACCGACGTAAGTGGGGTGACGTGGGACACACCAGAGGGGGCAGGTTGGGGACGGCAGGAAGCGGCCGCGACAGCGGCTAGAAACAGCCGCGACGGCTAGGGGCGGGCTCAAACGGCCAGGGGGCATGCTAGGAGCTGGCGCGAAACGGCCAGGGCGCCGGCTAGGAGGGGCGCGAACGGCCAGGGGGCCGGCTAGGGACGGGCGCAAACGGCCAGGGGGCCGGCTAGGGGCAAGCGTGACGGTCAGGGGGGCCGGCTAGGAGGGATCGCGACGGCCAGGGGGCCGGCTAGGGGCGAGCGCGACGGTCAGGGGCCGGCTAGGAGCGATCGCGACGGCCAGGGGGCCGGCTAGGAGCGGGTGCGACCACCAGGGGGCCAGCTAGAGACGGGCGCGACGGCTAGGGGGCCGGCAAAGGGCGAGCGCGACAGCCAGGGGGCCAGCTAGGGGCGGGCGCGAACGGTCAGAGGTCGGCTAGGGACGGGCGCGACGGCCAGGGGGCCAGCTAGGGACGAGCGCGACTGCCAGGGGCCGGCTAGGGACAGGCGCGAAAGACCAGGGGGGCGGCTAGGGACGAGCGCGAACGGCCAGGGGGCCGGCTAGGGACGGGCGCGAACGGCCAGGGGGCCGGCTAGGGACGAGCGCGACGGCCAGGGGGCCGGCTAGGAACGAGGGTGGAAGCGTGAGCGGGCTAGGGGGGGATCTAACCTACTATGATACCATAACATAAAGAAAATGATTGTACTAAAATGTGTGTGTACAAGGATATATAGACTAGGGTGTTGTACCCTCTAAGGCACAATCCAGTATAGCCTACAGTAACAACCTAAGTTACATTTGACAACTCCTTGCTATGATGATGTTGACTAGGGGGGTGCTTGCTCAATGGCCAATCCATTGCTGTTAACAATCAATCCCCGGACTCACCTCGCCATTTGTGGACTGTACTGCACTTTGACATAGACTTTGTGCCTAACGTTTGTTCCACAAGGTGTACTGTGGTTGTTACATAGCAGCAGGTTCCTTAGCATGCATCAACTGCAGTCAACCAAGTGCTTGGTTGGACTCTTGGACTCTCTTGACTCACAAGCAAAGCAAACCACAAAAGCGAAATTCACTGGTGCATATCTTGCTGCACCATATAACGCCTACCACGATACACCTAACCCAACCACTGCAAAGCGCCCACATTTTGAAACTATACTCTACTGTTCGAAGGGCTGGTGATTTGCCAGTCAACTCATTTTGCATCGTTTCAACCTGCCCTCGGCACCTGCCCAGCTGAAGCCTTTTTATCGGCCCTTTTCCCAAGGCCACTTGAGGCGGCACTTGGTGACCATGCCGCTGCTTCTGCTCTTAACGGGTACAAGTGGCCACTTGCACTCGCATATGTACCCCAGGCATGATAGGCGGGCCTTGCATGTAGACATGGGGGGGCAGTGGTGGTTGCTGGGACACCCAGTCTTCTTCTCACACTCTGGATATGGGGGAAGGTAGGGAGAGAAGGAAAGAGGGGGGAGAAGCGAGGGGAGGGGAGAGAAGGGGGGGGAGGGGAGAGAAGGGGGGGAGGGGCGAGAAGGAAAGAGGGGCGAGAAGGAAAGAGAGGGGCGAGAAGGAAAGAGAGGGGAGAGAAGGTAAGAGAGGGGAGAGAAGGGTTGGGAGGGGAGGTAGCACCAGAAGGCACGAGAGAAGGGGACCGTCAATCACCTTTTTGCACTGAAAGAACAGAATTACTATGGTGGGAGGCACCATGATACATCTACCTACCCATACATCACAAACTACCAATGCATAGATACCTACCTACCCACCCATATATAGATACCTACCGTGCCACTCACCACAAACGTCCGTGTCAGTTAAAAACGCCCCAGTGCTGCACATGCAGCTCCATTCAGTGGCGCTGGCGATGCTGGCCGTGGCGTCGCAGGGCGAGAGGAGTGCAGCAGAGACCCCTTGGACTCACAGCCAGCATTGACAGTGACCTTGGCTACTCTTTCACTCACCGCACGTTGTCCGTGTCGGCCAAAAAAGCCCCAGCCCAGACAGTGGCACACATGCAGCTCCATTCCGTAGCACTAGCAATGCTGGCCGTGGCGTCGCGGGGCGAGTCGTCCACGCTGGGCTGGCACCGGCTGTACCCGCCGCAGCGGGCCGGTAAAGGCTTGGGAAGACGCAGGAAGGTTAGGAAGGGTTAGGAAGGGTTAGGAAGGGTTAGGAAGGGCCATAGGACGACTCACTGCAAACGTCTGGGTCTGCGAGAAACGCCCCAGTGCTGCACATGCAGCTCCATTGAGTGGCGCTGGCGACGCTGGCCGTGGCGTCGCGCGGCGAGTCGTCCACGCTGGGCTGGCAGCGGCCGAATCCGCCACAGGGACTCAGGAAAGGCGCAGCAGAGTAGACTGATGCAGCAGAGGTGAGATGGAAGGCGGGAGAGGAGGAGGAAGAGGAGGAGGAAAGCGAGGTGGTGGTGTTGGAAGAAGGTGCAAGCGCTTGGGCTCCTGCTCGCATCACCGCTGCGGTGGTTTTAATGCTGCTGCTGCTGCTGCTGGTGGCGGTTTTGAGAGGGGTTGAAGAGGCAGAGGCAGCAGTGGCAGAAGTGGCTATCAGAGCAGCTGGGTCCCTTGCAGTAGAAGGACCAGCAGCAGCAGCAGCACCAGCAGCAGCAGCAGCAGGAGAAGCCACGAGCCCCCCGTACTGGGCCTGTACCTCCGCGCCCCCACACTGCGCCACACAGCGTGACGGCGTGCGCTGAGGGTAACTAGCACACCTGCTCCCGGGGTTGGAGAAGCAATTGCCCACGGTTTGGCAGTCCATGGCGAAGGGGAAGCGGCCTCGGAGGAAGTTGTGGGAGACTGAGAGGGTGGTCAGGGACTTGGATTTCTTGACGGGGATAGCACCGGTGAGGAAGTTGCGGGAGAGAAGACTGCTCGGTGGGGTGGGTTGGAGGGGGGGGGGGGGGGGGGATTGGGGCAAAGTACATGAGCGTAGAGCTGTGACTGAGAGCACTGAGAGAGAGGGACTTGGACTTCTTGGTGGGGATAACACCCGTGAGGAGTTGCGGGACGGGAGCCTGCTTGGCGGGTTGGGGGGGAGGGGGGGTTGGGGCAAAGAACATGAGGGTAGAGCTGGGGAAAGGTTGTGGCTGACTGAGAGCACAGAGATTTTTTAGTCGACTCAAAAGGTGATTTTTGAGTGATTTTTTAGTCGACTCAAAAATCACGGGAGGGGGGGTTGGGGCAAAGAGCATGAGGGAAGAGCTGGGGAAAGGTTGTGGCTGACTGAGAGCACGGAGAGGGCTTTGGACTTCTTGACGGGGGATCACACGTGAAGTTGCGGGAGAGAAGACTGAACTGGGAGGGGGGAGGGGGAGGGGGGGGAGGGGGGAGATGGAGGGGGGGAGAGAGAGGGAGGGGAAAATAGGGAGGAGGGGGGGCAGGGGAGAGGGTTGGAGGAAGAATGTGAAAAGAGGAAGCAACCGCGCAGAAATCTGTGGCTCACTTAGAGAACGTTAGGAGCTTGGATTCTGAGTCGACTCAAAAGAGCTGTGAGGAGCTTGGATTTCTTGGAAGGGAGTGAGGTGTTCTGGTCAGGAAGATGCAGCACGTAGGGAGGCGCATAGCATTGTTGTGGGATTGAGAGAGGGGGGTTCGGGTGGGTGGGGGGGAGGGGGAGGGGGAGAGGCGAGGGGGAAGGGGGCGGGTAAGGGTAACGGAATGGGACTCACAGCTTTTGCAGTTTGGGCATCTGCAGCAGGTAGCTAGGCACGGAGCCCCAGAGCTTGTTGTTGCTCAGACTCCTGTAGAGGGCAAAAGGAGGAGGTTGGGGGGGTGGGGGGGTTGTGGAGGGGTTGGGGGGGTTGTGGAGGGGTTGGGGGGGTTGTGGAGGGGGTGAGCATGGAGCAGCAAGCGGGCGCTCGAGTCGACTCAAGAGCCAGTTGCAGCGGGCAGCTGTCATGTAGCTTGGCCAAGACAGGGGCAAGAAACTCACACGACGCGCAGATTCCGTAGGCGCAGCAGGGGGCGGGCTGCTGTAACTTTGAGCAGAGAGGACAAGAGACAGACAGGGGCTAGGGGCGAGGGAAGAGGGAAGAGGAACTCACAGGACGCGCAGATTGGGTAGGCGCAACAAGGGGCGGGCGAACTGGTCGAGAGACGCGTTGAGGCAGTTAGACGAGAGGTCTCTGGGGGGGCCAAGGTATGGGGGAGGGGAAGGGGGGGGGGGGGGGGGGGCGCAATATGGGAGGGCAAGGAGGCAAGACAGGGGGAAAGAGTGGGTAGGCGCAGCAAGGGGCGGGCTAACTGGTAAAATGATGCGTTAAGGTGGTTGGACGAGAGATCGTCGTGGGGGAAGGGGGAGGGGAGGGGGGGAGAGAGGGGAAGCCATTGGGGTCACGACAGGAGGAGATTGTGCAGAGCCGCGGTGGTGCTGCAGGGCGTGAAGCTGCGAACTGTCTCATGTGTGTCGTAGGGGCGAGGTTGCGTAGGGGCTAGAGTGCATAAGGGCGAGATGGTGCGAGTGCAGCTGCAGCACGTACAGATATGTCAGCGATTTCAACTTGGTGAAGTTCGCTGTGAGGAGGCCCGGCTTGGTGATCACGTTGTACGCCGTGCTGTGAAGGGGTAGCACATGACACGCAGCGAGGGGAGGGGAGAACAGGGGAGAGGAGGGGAGAAGGGGCGACAGTTGCGGTACAGGCACACAAGTCCCCAGAAAGGTGGCCCGGCTTGGTGGTCACATTACCCGCGCTGACGCACTCAACGCCTATCCACGTGCCGCAAATGAGCTTCCCATTGGTGCGCCACCAAGTAAAGTGCGCCAACAAAGCCCCAAAACCTACGTCGAGGCACAATATACCCGCTAAAAGACTACAATGTCCGTTATAAGCTTCTCACATAGAAACGACGTTGCCCGCGCTGTCGCACTCGACGCCTATCCACGCGCCGCCAACGACCTTCCCGTTAGTGCGCCACCATTGCTCCGCTCCCAAAAAAGCATGTACACCAGGACATGTTATCCCCGTTATAAGCCTTACATGGAAACAACGTTGCCCGCACTGTCGCACTCCACGCCTATCCACGCGCCGCAAACGACCTTCCCGTTGGTGCGCCACCACTGCAGCCCCGATATTCCCAGCGCCACGCGCAGATCTATCAGCGCCATCACTAGCGGAGGGGGGAGGGGCGGGGGAGCGCACGGGGGGAAGGCGGTGAGACAAGGGGGAAGGGATAGCACAACTTTCCCGTTGTTTTGCCATCAGGGCAGAAAATGTGGGAAAAAAAGAAAAAAAGAAAGAAAAAAAACCGCGCCACGCGCAGCTCTAGCAGCGCCATCCCTGCGGGAGGGGGGAAGGGGGGAGGGCGGAAATGACAGGGGGGAAAGATTTGAGTGGGGTAGCGAACAGGGGGAGGGCGGAGAACTTCGTCGGAAGCGCGTCGGCCTTACACCGTGGCGCTGCGCTGCTGGCGGCTAACATTCCGCGCCGTACGCCTGAGCCTGGTGCCGAGCCTGAGCCCAAACCAGAGCCAAACCTGATCCCGAACCTGGTTCTTACCATGTGGGTCGTTCATATCGACGGCAAGCACGGCGGTAGCCGACGACGCAGCCGGCAGCAGCAGCAGCGGGGCAGACAGGAGAAGGTTCGAGCCGTTTGGAAACGCCGCAGCTCTCCGAACATAATTTCAGCGAGCGGAGTTACCGCCTTCAGTGAGCGCTGTTACCGCCTTCAGTGAGCGCAGTTACCGCCTTCAGTGAGCGCAGTTACCGCCTTCAGTGAGTGGAGTTACCCCCCTTCAGTGAGCGCAGTTACCGCCTTCAGTGAGCGCAGTTACCGCCTTCAGTGAGCGCAGTTACCGCCTTCAGTGAGCGCAGTTACCGCCTTCAGTGAGCGCAGTTACCCCCTTCAGTGAGCGCAGTTACCGCCTTCAGTGAACGCAGTTACCGCCTTCAGTGAGCGCAGTTACCGCCTTCAGTGAGCGCAGTTAGCGCCTTCAGTGAGCGCAGTTACCGCCTTCAGTGAGCGGAGTTACCGCCTTCAGTGAGCGCAGTTACCCCCTCCAGTGAGCGCAGTTACCGCCTCCAGTGAGCGCAGTTACCGCCTTCAGTGAGCGCAGTTACCGCCTTCAGTGAGCGGAGTTACCGCCTTCAGTGAGCGCAGTTACCGCCTTCAGTGAGCGCAGTTACCGCCTTCAGTGAGCGCAGTTACCGCCTTCAGCGAGCGCAGTTACCGCCTTCAGGGAGCGCAGTTACCGCCTTCAGTGAGCGCAGTTACCCCCTTCAGTGAGCGCAGTTACCGCCTTCAGTGAGCGCAGTTACCGCCTTCAGTGAGCGCAGTTACCGCCTTCAGTGAGCGCAGTTAGCGCCTTCAGTGAGCGCAGTTACCGCCTTCAGTGAGCGCAGTTACCGCCTTCAGTGAGCGCAGTTACCGCCTTCAGTGAGCGGAGTTACCGCCTTCAGTGAGCGCAGTTACCGCCTTCAGTGAGCGCAGTTACCGCCTTCAGTGAGCGGAGTTACCGCCTTCAGTGAGCGCAGTTACCCCCTTCAGTGAGCGCAGTTACCCCCTCCAGTGAGCGCAGTTACCGCCTCCAGTGAGCGCAGTTACCGCCTTCAGTGAGCGCAGTTACCGCCTTCAGTGAGCGGAGTTACCGCCTTCAGTGAGCGCAGTTACCGCCTTCAGTGAGCGCAGTTACCGCCTTCAGTGAGCGCAGTTACCGCCTTCAGTGAGCGCAGTTACCGCCTTCAGCGAGCGCAGTTACCGCCTTCAGGGAGCGCAGTTACCGCCTTCAGTGAGCGCAGTTACCCCCTTCAGTGAGCGCAGTTACCGCCTTCAGTGAGCGCAGTTACCGCCTTCAGTGAGCGCAGTTACCGCCTTCAGTGAGCGCAGTTAGCGCCTTCAGTGAGCGCAGTTACCGCCTTCAGTGAGCGCAGTTACCGCCTTCAGTGAGCGCAGTTACCGCCTTCAGTGAGCGGAGTTACCGCCTTCAGTGAGCGCAGTTACCGCCTTCAGTGAGCGCAGTTACCGCCTTCAGTGAGCGGAGTTACCGCCTTCAGTGAGCGCAGTTACCCCCTTCAGTGAGCGCAGTTACCCCCTCCAGTGAGCGCAGTTACCGCCTTCAGTGAGCGCAGTTACCGCCTTCAGTGAGCGGAGTTACCGCCTTCAGTGAGCGCAGTTACCGCCTTCAGTGAGCGGAGTTACCGCCTTCAGTGAGCGCAGTTACCCCCTTCAGTGAGCGCAGTTACCGCCTTCAGTGAGCGCAGTTACCGCCTTCAGTGAGCGCAGTTAGCGCCTTCAGTGAGCGCAGTTACCGCCTTCAGTGAGCGGAGTTACCGCCTTCAGTGAGCGCAGTTACCCCCTCCAGTGAGCGCAGTTACCGCCTCCAGTGAGCGCAGTTACCGCCTTCAGTGAGCGCAGTTACCGCCTTCAGTGAGCGCAGTTACCGCCTTCAGTGAGCGCAGTTACCGCCTCCAGTGAGCGCAGTTACCGCCTTCAGTGAGCGCAGTTACCGCCTTCAGTGAGCGGAGTTACCGCCTTCAGTGAGCGCAGTTACCGCCTTCAGTGAGCGCAGTTACCGCCTTCAGTGAGCGCAGTTACCGCCTTCAGTGAGGGCAGTTACCACCTTCAGTGAGCGCAGTTACCGCCTTCCTAACTGCGCTCACTAGAATTATGTCCGGAGCCGTTTGGAAACGCCGCAGCAGGGCAGACAGGAGCGCGTTGGTTCGAGGCGTCTGAAGTGACGTCGCCTTACCACCATGCACATTTCCCGAGACATGTCTTACCGTGTGCGCTGCTCGTGTCGGCGGCAGCAGCAGCGCAGACAGGTTAAGCAGCAGCAGCGCAGACAGGTTAAGCAGCAGCAGCGCAGACAGGTTAAGCAGCAGCAGCGCAGACAGGTTAAGCAGCAGCAGCGCAGACAGGTTAAGCAGCAGCAGCGCAGACAGGTTAAGCAGCAGCAGCGCAGACAGGTTAGGCAGCAGCAGCGCAGACAGGTTAAGCAGCAGCAGCGCAGACAGGTTAAGCAGCAGCAGCGCAGACAGGTTAAGCAGCAGCAGCGCAGACAGGTTAAGCAGCAGCAGCGCAGACAGGTTAAGCAGCAGCAGCGCAGACAGGTTAAGCAGCAGCAGCGCAGACAGGTTAAGCAGCAGCAGCGCAGACAGGTTAAGCAGCAGCAGCGCAGACAGGTTAGGCAGCAGCAGCGCAGACAGGTTACGTTCTGAAACGCCTGGATTCGCGCACTTTACCATCTATACCTTATTCGCAGCCACCAGCAGCAGCAGCAGCAGCAGAACGGACAGGTTAAGCTCTAAACCCTCGGCGTCACCTTACCATCGACACCTCACTCGCAGCCGTACCTTGCGCGTAATTCATGTCGACGGCAAACACGGCCGGAGCCGACGACGCAGCAAGCAGCAGCACCGCCAGGAGCAGCAGCGCGGAGCACGGCCGGCGAACGTCGAGCACGGACCACGAGCACTGCCGCCGAACGTCGCCTGTAGCTCCGTGCCGAGCGGCCGAGCCTGATTCCAGGCCTGTATCCATGCCTAAACCCGGGCCTACTCCCGAGCGTGAGTCCGGGCCTACGCGTATCCCCGAACCCGACGCTGAGGAGCGTGGAGGCAGTACGGCAGCCGTCGCTTGCGAGTCGGGGGCTCTGCTCTGTTGAGCGGCGCCCTTCGCCGTCGCATCGCGGATGTCGGAAAAGTCGCGGGCGTACGAAGAGCCGTGAGCCGTCGTGTCGCGGGCGGAAGAGTCGTGAGAGTTGCCTGCTGTACCAAGCCTGCAGCTGGTGGTGTCGCGAACTGGTCTTAATTCGCACGCTTCGCCGCTGGTTACCACCGACAATCTCGTACTGTCGTCAACGGTCATTTCGTAAAACGGACTAGACACCTTGATAGGGGGATAGTAAGGGCGAGCCCAGTCGACCAGGGTGTGGCACGATTTCTCGCTATTGCACGATTTCTCAATTACGCGACGGTTACACAACGGGCCTTCGCCAAAGGGCCACAATCAGTGGTCGACTAAGGAAAGAAATGGCGATGACGTGCGGTTTGGAGCTGAGAGCGAGCTGGTCTAGTCTAGACTCTAGACTCCAGATACCCTCGAGCAGGTCAACGCTGGTCTGTACTGTATGTGTAAGGATAGGTATCAGCTAGTGAAGCTGGTTCCTGGTTAGCGACGCACCACCGCACATTTACTTGGTCATACGCGACTGTACTCGAGCGTAAACCATTGGTTCCTGATTAGCGTAGGTAGCAGCAGCACCTAGAGAACAACCCTGCTTTTCGGAGGCTATGTGTCGGTCTTGCATTGCATTGCATCCCGCCAATGACATGGCGCGGGCGGCCAATCGGGAGATGAGAATAGCGACGGCACTTGGACGACATTCTAGGAACAAGCAAGATGTAGCGCAGTGCTCTGGCCCAGTGCCCAGTGCCCAGTGCCCTGCCCACCCCTCTCTGCCTAGATACTGTATTCTCGAACGCGCATCCCTCTTGGGTTGCACCAGTTGAGGCCAGGCGTGTCACAACAAAAGTTCGTGTTGTTGCGGTTCGGTGAGGTGCTTTACGTTCTTGAGTTTCAGATCTAGTTTTTGAGATGGTTGGGTAGGATTCTGTAGACGGGAAACGTAACTCTGGCGGCATGCTCTGGAGATGTGGTCAGCGACCTTTTTTGGGAATCGGATAATCTGAGCCGTTCGATTTCTGTCGCAAAACCAGCCAGAGACAGGCCACAAGGTGTCGTGGTCGCACAAGCCGTTAATTGTGGCACAGACCTGCCGATGACCGACAGAAAATTTTTCGTGAAGGGTCAGAATTCGTGTCAGACCTGTCGGTCTACATGTTCGTCGTGGTTCTTGACCACTGCCTTGTCGACACAGCTGACGGAGACAGCCAATATCAACGACGGACCAGAGAGGACCTTGATTCAACGACCGCCGGGTGCCGTGCGGGTGGGGGGGAGGTGGGGGGCAATTGGCGGGGGGAAATTGGGCCGACCACCTGGGGAAATGATCAGAAAGGATCCTTGCTCTGCCAGGCTTGTGAGCAAAAAAGGTCCGTCTACCTCCGAGCCTAAAATACACTCTGTTATATTTCGAGTATTTTCCAGTAAACGTCTCTACAAAAATGCAGAAACATAAACCCATTGGGGACCGAATTCCGTTCGAGATGGAATTAACCCTAAACACGCAGCTCTTTTGCGATTTTAGGATTGGTGCCACCCCGAGTCGCATGTGAGGGCCCTTCGGGTTTTTCTTTTTTGCCCTAAAACATTGCTCTTATAAATGTCCCACCTCATAGGCCACAAGACGACGGGCCCCACAAACCTGAGCTGTCTTGCGAACAGAAAACATTTACGTGTTGTAAAACGAACTCGGTGTATTGCAGGCTCGGAGACTAGGTCTCGAGGCAGAAAGCTGCCGGACCTTTTTTTTCTCACGCCTCTGGGCGAATTGGTGGGAAGCGGCGAGGGGAAGCGGGCTCTAGCCCAGCGGAATGTTTCGCGATGGTTCTCATTTGTCGGTGGAAGACGGTGGCGCCCTCTTAGGGTTTTGCGGGTTGGCTGGGCGTGCGACTTGCTCCCAGGGGGATGGAGAGCGGCGGACGTGCTTCTTCCGAGGCGACTCGATCAACCGAAGTCGCCACTCACGGCGGTGATTGCAGGACAGTGAAGGTCAGGGCGAATTTCGCTCTCAGGGAAACTTCGTGGCAGAAATCGGGGCATCAGCTACACGCCCTGATGGTCCAAATTCACATTGAGGGACCTCGAACAGAGCTCTGACTCGAAGTTTTCCCAAGCGCTGAAACACCCTTGTTCATAACACTGTAGAACACTACACAGCGTGTTTTCCGTTGGCTGAGCTGGCCTGGCGCGGCAAATCAGGTCAACTTGCTCGAGATGAGGAAGCAGGCCGCTTTTCCCAACGCACACCTGCAATCAAGTCTTAGGGCGTGCAAGCAACCTACGGAACGAACAGGGCTTGTCCGAACCATGACCACGCTGAACCGTGCTTGTATAAAACAGCAGCGGTTTTCACCGATTTAAACCTCTCAAAAAGTTTGAACTTTAGTGGTATTCGTTCCAGAGGTTCCGCGCTGGCACAGACAAGGCATAATAACAAGGATACGTGGGTTGTATCAAGGTTATACTTTCACATATTCCTCAATAATACATATTCAGGGTACAAATGTGATGTACTGTGTGTTGATTGAATTATCCCAGATATATCATAAATTTGGATTATTTAGGGCACCAATATTCTATGCAACCTTGAATCCAAACGTTTTTTCTTGGTCTTTTACTACCTAGTGGTGATGGAAACTAGGCCAGTTTCCTGAAAACGGGTGCATTGTAGCAGTGAGAAAAGGCGTTCAGCCAATTGCTAGTAACGGGAATGAAACTAGCATTATGTAGCGTTTTCGAGGAAAGGAAGCCCTGACGCGCGATGACTGGTCTTAGGCCTGATTACCGTATTAGTTTTCAAAGAGGGAAGGGACAGCACTGAGGGATGGCTTCTTATCCGCTTCAGCTTCCATCCACCGCGATTGACGGTCGCAGTCTGAAGCCGACTAGAGCACCGAAAACATGTCGTTCCTTCAGAGCAGCAGGATCGAGGAATTTACTAACATTGCGAAACGCATCGCGGTTTCCGGTAAGACTGATTATATCCCGGTTACAATCTCCAGCCAAGGTGAACTCGTCAACCTTTCGTATCTCCGCGTCATCATCGTCCAGTTCGGATAATATCATTCCTTCACAAGACGCCACGTCATCAGAAACTGACACGTCAGCATGGCCGGAACCGCCTGCTCTGGGATTCGACTACCGGAAAGCCACGGCGGATGCGACATACCGCATCGTCGGTCAGCGATACCCGGAGCTGATGGATCTGGTCCGAAAGGGAGTGCTGGTAGTGGTTCAGCAACCAGCAGACGATCACGATGACAGTGCAGCCGCCGTTAACGAATTTGCTGAAAACGAGTCAGCTCGTATCAGGGATGGAATCTCCGAGCAGCAGGGATCATCGGTTGGTACAATGTCGAATCAGCCTGGTTCGGCTGGTAGAAGCAGCCTGTTGCCTCGCGAGATCTTTATTCTCGGCACGACGCATGTCTCAGAAACGGCTGCTGAGGATGCTAGGAGGGTGGTGCAAAGCGTTCAGCCGCAGAACGTGGTGGTGGAGCTCTGCAAGAGCAGGTACTGTAGCATTGTTTCTCTAGTTTTGAGGCGCCTTGAAACGAGGATGCCATGAGTGCGGTGCAACGTGGTGGTGGAGCTGAGCAAGAGCACTTAAATGTTCCTTGTTTTCCAACTCTCCTCTACTCGCTTCCTTTCTCCGTCCAACTCCATCACCCCCCCCCCCCCCCCGCGGTTGCATCCTTTCCTCTAGCGGCTCTCCCTTAGCTGGTATGTATAACTCCCCTTGCCTTTGCCGCTCTCCACCGTGCTGCACTCCCTGAATTTACCGCTCTCCACCCCCTCCTGGTACAGAGCACCACCAGCATGTCCAACCTCTTTTGTAGCGTCTCATCCCCTCCCCTGACATCTGAGAAGTTAGTGTAGTTGGTTTCGGTAACTTCTCAGAGACACAAACTTCCCTCCCCCCGTGTGCTGCAGAGCACCCATAATGTACGATCCTGCACCCGAGCCCAATCAGCCCTTGGCGCCGGGCTCTGCTGCCAGTGGTAGTGCCGGAACTGGCAGTGCTTCTGCCAGCAGTAGTAGCAGTGCTGCCGCTGGTCCTGCCCGCGATCTATTTCTCATGGGAGGGGCCAGCCTTCCCCAGGCGCTCATGCGCAGCATTCAGCTCGGTTGGTACTGGTCTATTCTGGTTTAGCATTCAGCATTCAGCTCATGCGCCATTCCAGGTGTCCAGTCCAGTCCACTCTGCTGTCCCATCCCATCTGATTCCACTCTGCTGTCCCATCCCATCTGCTCCTCTCCTTTGTTTCTCTCGACCCCTCGTCTTTTCCAACCATTTGCCTTCTCTCTTCTCTACCCCTTCTCCTTCTATTCATTAAGCCTGCAAACAAATAGCACTGGTTTCGGATTCGTATTCGGTATTCGACAAATATCAAATACAAAACGAATCTGACATCCTGAAGCTATTCGGCAGTATTCGACTCTCAAATATTCGCAAGTTCCAAATATTCGATATTCGGGAAAAAAATCGTATTCGTGTGAGCCTACCATTCATCTCCCCGACTCCCCTTACCTCTCAAAATCAGCAGCGCAGTATAAGCAAAATCGGTGAAATCTGAGGGTCGCGCAATTGGCTGATTGCGGCCTCCATAAAACCAATCAATCGTGGAAAAAAACGAAAACAGGATTCTTGAGGGTGACATGTTGTTCCATAAATAACCTACCAAAATCACAGCTACTTCGACAATATGCCAGGAGTGGAAGTGATTGGGGAGGGGGGTAATAGACTATCAAGGTTAGAGGGGCTATTTCTATCTCGGTCTTTGGTGGGAAGCCCTAGAAGACACCCGAAACCCTGTTCTGACCACCTATTCGTATTCGATTCCGTATTCGTCGCAAAACCGAATATTCAAACCGTATTTGTATTCGAATAGGAAGTGGTATTCGATCAAATACGAAAACACACAAGTATTCGACAAATACTATTTTTTTCCTGCCGTATTTGATACCGTATTCGTTTTTGCAGGCTTCATCTCCCCCCCCGCCCCCCCATACTCCCCCTTTCCCCCTTTCCCCATTTACCCACACGTCAGGAGGTCAGTCCAGTCTGTTGCTCCGTCTGCTTCTCTCATTTGTGTCTCGCCGGTCCGGCCAAGCAGCAGGCGTGCAGCCAGGCCATGAGGTGAGGAGAGCACTTGTGCTTGTAATAGGTTGGGTTGTGGTTGATTGAATGTCAAGGCTTGACAACAAAGGCTGATTGACTCACTCAAGCAGCCAGCGTGAAACCAGGGTTTGAAGTGAGGCGAACATTTGCGGTCTTTCGAGCCTTGACAAATAAAGGCTGATTTATTCTAGTAGAAGTCGTTCTAGCAGGTTATGAGGAGAGGAGAGCAGGTATTATAAAAGGGGGGGCGTGGGGTGAGCCAAGCAGGTGTGATTATAGGAAGAGGGGAGGAGGTGATTAAAGCAGTTGTGGTGACTGATAATCACAGTAAGCTGGGGCATGAATTGAGCAATTGTGATTATAGATGAGTCCTAGGATGTATCGTGCAACAAGACATGGTTAACTGGCTGCGATAGCGATTAATATCGCACGATATTATATCGCACCGCTGCGATATAAATTTTGGAAACCCGATATCGCATATCGCAATTGTGATCATAGATGAGTCCTAGGATGTATCGTGCAACTGGTCCTGAAGGAATATTTACTCTCACTTCAACCCTTCCGGTCAACCCTTCCCTTCCACCTCCACTTCTCTCATTTCCGAGCAAGCACGAGAGGCCGCCGATGCTATTGGTGCATTTTAACAAAACTCCTCCTTACCACTCTTCTTCTCCTCTATACCCTTCAACCCTTTCCGTCTGCACTTCCCTTCCACACTCCCCTTCTCCCAGTTCCGAGCAGCAAGAGAGGCGGCAGATGCTATTGGTGCATTTTAACAGAACTCCTCCTTACCACTCTTCTTCTCCTCTATACCCTTCAACCCTTTCCGTCTGCACTTCCCTTCCACACTCCCCTTTTCGCCTCCCTCTCTCCCCCAGTTCCGAGCAGCAAGAGAGGCGGCAGATGCTATTGGTGCACAGCTGGTGCTAGGAGACCGACCCATAGAGATCACTGTAAGTGATTTTGCTTATTTCGTTTGTTCTTTACACCATGAAGCAAAAAAGGGGGTCATCTTTACCAGCATCGGGATCTTAGTAAGGTGCTCTTCCCTACTACTCATCCACCCACCACTGGACTCTTAATGCGTTTTGAGTCGACTCAAAATACAACTGCTCTTAATGTGTATTACTGCTGATTCCTATTCCTCCCCTCTCCCCCACCCTTCCCCCCTCCCCCCCCCCCCCCAGGTAACTCGATTAACACCCTCCATCCTCTACCTAGTACCTTGCTCCCATTCCTCCGATCCCCCTCTCCACTCCACCCCTCCCCACAGCAATCCCTTCTCACCGGCTACAGCGTGCTTGGCATGCCCTCCCTCTTCTCGATCGCCCTCGCCTCGCCTCTGCGCTCCTGCAAGGCGGGTTGGCAGGAGGAGGGCTGAATGGTCACCTGGCCTATCAGCATGCTCCCTTCCCGCGGTATTCCCTGTGTTCCTCCCTAGCTACAGCATGCTTGGCACGCCCTCTATCTTCTCGATCGTGCCTGCCTCGCCTCCGCGCTCCTGCAAGATGGTTGGGGAAGAGCAGGGCTGAAAGGGGCTTGACACACCCGCCTCGCCTCCCCTCCCCTCCGCTCCTGCAACATGCCCTCCTCCTCCCCTCTCCTTTTCCCCGCATTCCCTGCTCACCAGCTCCGGCGTGCGTGGAAGGCCCACTCTCTTCTCGATCGCACCCGCCTCGCCTCCGCTCTCTTCCAAGGCGGACTGAAAGGTCTTGAGGCGTGTTAACATACCTGCCCTCCTCCCCTTTCCAATTGCCCGCATTCCCTTCTTCTCAGTTGCGCCGTGCGTGGAAGGCACTCTCTCCAATAGATCGCACCCGCCTCGCCTCCGCTCTCTTCCAAGGCGGACTGAAGGGGGGCAAAATGGAGCAGGGCGAGTTGAAAGGCGCCCTCCTAAAAGGGCGTGATTCAAGTGTTAAGCGGATGGGGGGGGACGGAACGGAGGGGGGAGATGAGGAGGTGGAGTTTCTGTCGGCCGTTTTCCAGGAAGTTGCACGGCAGTTTCCGACGGTCATCGGGCCATTGGTGCATGAGAGAGATGCGGTGAGTTGGTCGTTCAGAACTACCCAAAATTGCCTTACAGAAATTCCATTTCAGCATGGCTTTTCGGTTCTGCATTTGGCACAAAAGTGGAAGGAATTGCTGGCCTTTTCTGTGATTTTCCCCTCCATCCTAACCCCCAACTTGTCCCCTCTACAGTATCTAGCGTGGGCCTTAAAGCGGAGCAAGGCTGTAAGAGGCTGTGACAGGGTTGTCGGTGTGGTGGGTAGAGGGCACTTGCCAGGCGTCGTGCATTATCTGCAGCAAGATAATCAGCAAAGAACACTGCGATTCAAGCAGCTTGTGGGAGCAAGTGCATCCGACGAAAAGGATACAGGAAAAGGGGGCATGGCTGTGCGTGTAGCTAGAAGGGTGGGAATAGAAGTCGCTGTTGGTCTTGGGCTTTGGTGGGCGTTTTCATTAATTTCATAAGTTCATTCTTGAAGTAGGGATAGTGGGGGTAGTTGGCTTTTTACCTCCCATTCTCCGTCAGTGGATGGCTCTCTATGTACTAGTTGCTCATTATCGCACCAGCCAATATCGATTCATTGATGTTTATCCCGATTCCCGAATCCTGATGATCTTGCCTGATCCGACGTCACCCTTTCCCTTGAGATCACCCTGATGCCTAATTCTCAACTTCACAGTTTTCCCGCCAATTCGCGAATGCTCTCTCTGACACCATGCCGCATATCCGTTTCATGAATCAATCCTGTTGACGAACGAACTTTCGCCAGCGTTTTCGCACCCGCTCATTTCGTCCCAACCATATTTCGCCATCCTCATTTCCGCTCCCCATTTCGCCAGCGTTTTCCTCTTGCTGCCGCAATTGTCGCTTGAGACAGCCGCCCTGACATTTAGTAGTCAGTACGCGTTAGAGAGCTCGCATCAATGGCAGTTCGGTGCTCAGTCTCAGCATTCAATACCTCTTTAACCTCCGCGTCAGAACATGCCCTCTCCTCGCACGTTGCCGGAAATCGCGGGCCGTCTCGCGTCTCCTTCTCACCAATCCTCTCGTGCCACGTGTCTCGGTCGCAAATACGGCCGTCTCGTACCTCTCGCTTAATCGTTTCTGCAAACGCCCGTCGCAAAGAGTGTGAAGGCGAGGAGGCCTATATCGAGGCTGCTTCTAATGAGGATCGCGAAAACGCGAATGGTTTCCAGGTGGCAGGAAATGATTGGACGCGACGGGGGGTGATTGCTGGTACCAGCGGGGGGCTAGCGGCTGTAGCCCTCGGTATAGTCACATCGGGTGCTGTCACTGCTCCATTCGCCAATGCAGGTAATGTCACATTGCGCTAGCATAGGTTATGGTACCGGTAGTGGAATAGTACGAATAGGTACCTGCAGTGGATCAGCAGCGGCTGTAGCCCCTCGTTACAATCACGTTAATGTTACTTCCTTCCATTCTCGAATGCAGGCAAACCAACCGAATTCAGGCTATAGTGCTCATGTCCTTTCAGATAATACCAATTTTTGAGGCGCCTCAATAACCGAATTCAGGCTCAACTGCTCATGTCCTCTCAGATAATACCTGCTCTGGCTCAGTCTAAGCACCTCAAAGTCTCCCCCCGCTCCCCCCAGCCACCACAGCAGCAGCACCTGCACCAAATAGTGCCTCCACTGGCGCATTCAATACCCCTCAAAATGTTTCTCCCCTCTCCCCCCCTTCCCCCCACCTGGCCACCGCAGCAGCTCCTGCACCAGATAGTGCCTCCATTGGCGCATCCAATGCCCCTCAAAAAGCCCCCCCGCTCCCCCCACTGTTTTTCCCCCACCTTGCTCCCCCAGCCACCACACCAGCAGCACCTGCACCAGATAGTCCCTCCAGTGGCGCATTCAATGCCCTTTACCCCCGCCCCACCCCCCCCCCCCCCTTTTCCCCTCTATTTTCCCCTCTTTTTGCCCCCCCCAGCCACCAGACCAGCAGCACCTGCACCAGATAGTCCCTCCAGTGGCGCATTCGATGCCCTTTACCCCCACCCCACCCCACCCCCCCCCCCTTTCCCCTCTATTTTCCCCTCCTTTTTTGCCCCTCCCAGCCACCACACCAGCAGCACCTGCATCATCGGCAGCAGTGGACACTGCTTCCTGGAAGCTTCTGGAGAGCGCGTTCGGGTTCTCGTTCCTGTACCCGTCCTCCTATATAGTCACAATCGTGAGTAACTGCAGTCCTATGTAGTCACAATCCTGAGTAACTTCAGTCCTATGTAGTCACAATCGGAAGTAACTGCAGTCCTATATAGACACAATCGTGAGTAACTGCAGTCCTATGTAGTCACAATCGGAAGTAACTGCAGTCCTATGTAGTCACAATCGTGAGTAACTGCAGTCCTATGTAATCACAATCGTGAGTAACTGCAGTCCTATGTAGTCACAATCGTGAGTAACTGCAGTCCTATATAGTCACAATCGTGAGTAACTGCAGTCCTATGTAGTCACAATCGGGAGTACCTGCAGTCCAATGTAGCCACAATCGTGAGTAACTGCAGTCCTATGTAGTCACAATCCTGAGTAACTTCAGTCCTATGTAGTCACAATCGGAAGTAACTGCAGTCCTATATAGACACAATCGTGAGTAACTGCAGTCCTATGTAGTCACAATCGGAAGTAACTGCAGTCCTATGTAGTCACAATCGTGAGTAACTGCAGTCCTATGTAATCACAATCGTGAGTAACTGCAGTCCTATGTAGTCACAATCGTGAGTAACTGCAGTCCTATATAGTCACAATCGTGAGTAACTGCAGTCCTATGTAGTCACAATCGGGAGTACCTGCAGTCCAATGTAGCCACAATCGTGAGTAACTGCAGTCCTATGTAGTCACAATCGTGAGTAACTGCAGTCCTATATAGTCACAATCGTGAGTAACTGCAGTCCTATGTAGTCACAATCGGGAGTAACTGCAGTCCTATATAGACACAATCGTAACTATCTGCAGTCCTATATAGTCACAATCGTGAGTAACTGCAGTTCTATATAGTCACAATCGGGAGAAACTGCAATCCTGTACAGACACAATCGTAACTAACTGCAGTCCTATATAGTCACAATCGTGAGTAGCTGCAGTCCTATATAGGCACACTCGTGAGTAACTGCAGTCCTATATAGTCACAATCGGGAGAAACTGCAATCCTATACAGACACAATCGGGAGTAACTGCAGTCCTATATAGTCACTATCGTGAGTAACTGCAGTCCTATATAGTCACTATCGTGAGTAACTGCAGTCCTATGTAGTCACAATCGTGAATAACTGCAGTCCTATGTAGTCACAATCGTGAGTAACTGCAGTCCTATATAGACACAATCGTAACTATCTGCAGTCCTATATAGGCACAATCGTGAGTAACTGCAGTTCTATATAGTCACAATCGGGAGAAACTGCAATCCTGTACAGACACAATCGTAACTAACTGCAGTCCTATATAGTCACAATCGTGAGTAGCTGCAGTCCTATATAGTCACAATCGTGAGTAACTGCAGTCCTATGTAGTCACAACCGGGAGTAACTGCAGTCCTATATAGACACAATCGTAACTATCTGCAGTCCTCTATAGTCACAATCGTGAGTAACTGCAGTCCTATATAGGCACAATCGTGAGGAACTGCAGTCCTAAATAGACACAATCGTGAGTAACTGCAGTCCTATATAGTCACAATCGTGAGTAACTGCAGTCCTATGTAGTCACAATCGTGAGTAACTGCAGTCCTATATAGTCACTATCGTGAGTAACTGCAGTCCTATGTAGTCACAATCGTGAATAACTGCAGTCCTATGTAGTCACAATCGTGAGTAACTGCAGTCCTATATAGACACAATCGTAACTATCTGCAGTCCTCTATAGTCACAATCGTGAGTAACTGCAGTCCTATATAGTCACAATCGTGAGTAACTGCAGTCCTATGTAGTCACAATCGGGAGTAACTGCAGTCCTATATAGTCACAATCGTAACTATCTGCAGTCCTCTATAGTCACAATCGTGAGTACCTGCAGTCCTATATAGTCACAATCGGGAGAAACTGCAATCCTATACAGACACAATCGTAACTAACTGCAGTCCTATATAGTCACAATCGTGAGTAGCTGCAGTCCTATATAGTCACAATCGTGAGTAACTGCAGTCCTATGTAGTCACAATCGGGAGTAACTGCAGTCCTATATAGTCACAATCGGGAGAAATTGCAATCCTATACAGACACAATCGTAACCAACTGCAGTCCTATATAGTCACAATCGTGAGTAGCTGCAGTCCTATATAGTCACAATCGTGAGTAACTGCAGTCCTATGTAGTCACAATCGGGAGTAACTGCAGTCCTATATAGACACAATCGTAACTATCTGCAGTCCTCTATAGTCACAATCGTGAGTAACTGCAGTCCTATATAGTCACAATCGTGAGTAACTGCAGTCCTATGTAGTCACAATCGGGAGTAACTGCAGTCCTATATAGACACAATCGTAACTATCTGCAGTCCTCTATAGTCACAATCGTGAGTAACTGCAGTCCTATATAGGCACAACAATCGTGAGGAACTGCAGTCCTATATAGTCACAATCGTGAGTAACTGCAGTCCTATGTAGTCACAATCGTGAGTAACTGCAGTCCTATGTAGTCACAATCGGGAGTAACTGCAGTCCTATATAGACACAATCGTAACTATCTGCAGTCCTCTATAGTCACAATCGTGAGCAACTGCAGTCCTATATAGTCACAATCGTGAGCAACTGCAGTCCTATGTAGTCACAATCGGGAGTAACTGCAGTCCTATATAGTCACAATCGGGAGAAATTGCAATCCTATACAGACACAATCGTAACCAACTGCAGTCCTATATAGTCACAATCGTGAGTAGCTGCAGTCCTATATAGTCACAATCGTGAGTAACTGCAGTCCTATGTAGTCACAATCGGGAGTAACTGCAGTCCTATATAGACACAATCGTAACTATCTGCAGTCCTCTATAGTCACAATCGTGAGTAACTGCAGTCCTATATAGTCACAATCGTGAGTAACTGCAGTCCTATGTAGTCACAATCGTGAGTAACTGCAGTCCTATATAGACACAATCGTAACTATCTGCAGTCCTCTATAGTCACAATCGTGAGTAACTGCAGTCCTATATAGGCACAACAATCGTGAGGAACTGCTGTCCTATATAGTCACAATCGTGAGTAACTGCAGTCCTATATAGTCACAATCGTGAGTAACTGCAGTCCTATGTAGTCACAATCGTGAGTAACTGCAGTCCTATATAGACACAATCGTAACTATCTGCAGTCCTCTATAGTCACAATCGTGAGTAACAGCAGTCCTATATAGGCACAATCGTGAGGAACTGCAGTCCTATATAGTCACAATCGTGAGTAACTGCAGTCCTATATAGTCACAATCGTGAGTAGCTGCAGTCCTATATAGTCACAATCGTGAGTAACTGCAGTCCTATGTAGTCACAACCGGGAGTAACTGCAGTCCTATATAGACACAATCGTAACTATCTGCAGTCCTCTATAGTCACAATCGTGAGTAACTGCAGTCCTATATAGGCACAATCGTGAGGAACTGCAGTCCTAAATAGACACAATCGTGAGTAACTGCAGTCCTATATAGTCACAATCGTGAGTAACTGCAGTCCTATGTAGTCACAATCGTGAGTAACTGCAGTCCTATATAGTCACTATCGTGAGTAACTGCAGTCCTATGTAGTCACAATCGTGAATAACTGCAGTCCTATGTAGTCACAATCGTGAGTAACTGCAGTCCTATATAGACACAATCGTAACTATCTGCAGTCCTCTATAGTCACAATCGTGAGTAACTGCAGTCCTATATAGTCACAATCGTGAGTAACTGCAGTCCTATGTAGTCACAATCGGGAGTAACTGCAGTCCTATATAGACACAATCGTAACTATCTGCAGTCCTCTATAGTCACAATCGTGAGTACCTGCAGTCCTATATAGTCACAATCGGGAGAAACTGCAATCCTATACAGACACAATCGTAACTAACTGCAGTCCTATATAGTCACAATCGTGAGTAGCTGCAGTCCTATATAGTCACAATCGTGAGTAACTGCAGTCCTATGTAGTCACAATCGGGAGTAACTGCAGTCCTATATAGTCACAATCGGGAGAAATTGCAATCCTATACAGACACAATCGTAACCAACTGCAGTCCTATATAGTCACAATCGTGAGTAGCTGCAGTCCTATATAGTCACAATCGTGAGTAACTGCAGTCCTATGTAGTCACAATCGGGAGTAACTGCAGTCCTATATAGACACAATCGTAACTATCTGCAGTCCTCTATAGTCACAATCGTGAGTAACTGCAGTCCTATATAGTCACAATCGTGAGTAACTGCAGTCCTATGTAGTCACAATCGGGAGTAACTGCAGTCCTATATAGACACAATCGTAACTATCTGCAGTCCTCTATAGTCACAATCGTGAGTAACTGCAGTCCTATATAGGCACAACAATCGTGAGGAACTGCAGTCCTATATAGTCACAATCGTGAGTAACTGCAGTCCTATGTAGTCACAATCGGGAGTAACTGCAGTCCTATATAGACACAATCGTAACTATCTGCAGTCCTCTATAGTCACAATCGTGAGCAACTGCAGTCCTATATAGTCACAATCGTGAGCAACTGCAGTCCTATGTAGTCACAATCGGGAGTAACTGCAGTCCTATATAGTCACAATCGGGAGAAATTGCAATCCTATACAGACACAATCGTAACCAACTGCAGTCCTATATAGTCACAATCGTGAGTAGCTGCAGTCCTATATAGTCACAATCGTGAGTAACTGCAGTCCTATGTAGTCACAATCGGGAGTAACTGCAGTCCTATATAGACACAATCGTAACTATCTGCAGTCCTCTATAGTCACAATCGTGAGTAACTGCAGTCCTATATAGTCACAATCGTGAGTAACTGCAGTCCTATGTAGTCACAATCGTGAGTAACTGCAGTCCTATATAGACACAATCGTAACTATCTGCAGTCCTCTATAGTCACAATCGTGAGTAACTGCAGTCCTATATAGGCACAACAATCGTGAGGAACTGCAGTCCTATATAGTCACAATCGTGAGTAACTGCAGTCCTATATAGTCACAATCGTGAGTAACTGCAGTCCTATGTAGTCACAATCGTGAGTAACTGCAGTCCTATATAGACACAATCGTAACTATCTGCAGTCCTCTATAGTCACAATCGTGAGTAACAGCAGTCCTATATAGGCACAATCGTGAGGAACTGCAGTCCTATATAGTCACAATCGTGAGTAACTGCAGTCCTATATAGTCACAATCGTGAGTAACTGCAGTCCTATGTAGTCACAATCGGGAGTAACTGCAGTCCTATATAGACACAATCGTAACTATCTGCAGTCCTCTATAGTCACAATCGTGAGCAACTGCAGTCCTATATAGTCACAATCGTGAGTAACTGCAGTCCTATGTAGTCACAATCGGGAGTAACTGCAGTCCTATGTAGACACAATCGTAACTATCTGCAGTCCTCTATAGTCACAATCGTGAGTAACTGCAGTCCTATATAGTCACAATCGTGAGCAACTGCAGTCCTATGTAGTCACAATCGTGAGTAACTGCAGTCCTATGTAGACACAATCGTAACTATCTGCAGTCCTCTATAGTCACAATCGTGAGTAACTGCAGTCCTATATAGTCACAATCGTGAGCAACTGCAGTCCTATATAGTCACAATCTGAGCTTACTGGCTTTTCCGGAAGCCAAACATGCAAGGATAAATGCGTAGCTCACCCATGTGTTCCATCACGGGTGTTTGAGGTCCAGCCCAACGGGCTTAACCCATGAAATCCCATGCTTTGAGACGTCTCAAAGCTATATTAATATCACGAGGACAATCATATAGGTCTTAGGGCACATTCCTGGCCTGCGGCAGACTACTTTGTGGCAAGGTTTTGTATGGTCACGATCACCAGAAAGGAGCTTTTGGATGAGCCTACACGTTGTAGGCGCCTCAAAACCAGACTCCTCACCTGCCATGCACAACCAGAGCCGCAAGAAGAGTCTATTTTTCAGGCGCCTCAAAAAAGACTCCTCACCTGCCCCCATCACATTCACAACCAGAGCCGCAAGAACGACCCCGCAGATGCACCCCTGACAGCCGACGGTGCTCAATCAAGCTCGGGCCTTTGCCCCATGTTGCCGCATGTCTCCCTCCTTTGTCCCCTGCCTAATGTTCCAATCAGAACCGCAAGAACGACCCCTCAGATGCGCCTCTAACAGCCGATGGCGCTCTTGCTGTTGTCGGCAATTTCGTCACCTTCGACACGGTAGGTCCCCCCTTGCTCCCAGTGGTATTTTGAGTCGACTCAAAATACAATTGCACCCAGTGTTTCCGGCTGGTATACAGCAATGGCGCTCAGGCTCTGGCTGACCTTCGACACGGTAGGTCCATTCTGGCGGCAGGTTCAAGTTTGTAAGAGTTTTTCTTGGTAGCTAGGCTGGTTCAAGTTTGTAAGAGTTCTTCTTGGTAGCTAGGCTGGTTCAAGTTTGTATGAGTTTTTCTTGCTAGCTAGGCTGGTTCAAGTTTGTAAGAGTTTTTCTTGCTAGCTAGGCTGGTTCAAGTTTGTAAGAGTTTTTCTTGCTAGCTAGGCTGGTTCAAGTTTGTAAGAGTTTTTCTTGCTAGCTAGGCTGGTTCAAGTTTGTAAGAGTTTTTCTTGGTAGCTAGGCTGGTTCAAGTTTGTATGAGTTTTTCTTGCTAGCTAGGCTGGTTCAAGTTTGTAAGAGTTTTTCTTGCTAGCTAGGCTGGTTCAAGTTTGTAAGAGTTTTTCTTGGTAGCTAGGCTGGTTCAAGTTTGTATGAGTTTTTCTTGCTAGCTAGGCTGGTTCAAGTTTGTAAGAGTTTTTCTTGCTAGCTAGGCTGGTTCAAGTTTGTAAGAGTTTTTCTTGCTAGCTAGGCTGGTTCAAGTTTGTAAGAGTTTTTCTTGCTAGCTAGGCTGGTTCAAGTTTGTATGAGTTTTTCTTGCTAGCTAGGCTGGTTCAAGTTTGTAAGAGTTTTTCTTGCTAGCTAGGCTGGTTCAAGTTTGTAAGAGTTTTTCTTGGTAGCTAGGCTGGTTCAAGTTTGTAAGAGTTTTTCTTGCTAGCTAGGCTGGTTCAAGTTTGTAAGAGTTTTTCTTGCTAGCTAGGCTGGTTCAAGTTTGTATGAGTTTTTCTTGCTAGCTAGGCTGGTTCAAGTTTGTAAGAGTTTTTCTTGCTAGCTAGGCTGGTTCAAGTTTGTATGAGTTTTTCTTGCTAGCTAGGCTGGTTCAAGTTTGTAAGAGTTTTTCTTGCTAGCTAGGCTGGTTCAAGTTTGTAAGAGTTTTTCTTGGTAGCTAGGCTGGTTCAAGTTTGTAAGAGTTTTTCTTGCTAGCTAGGCTGGTTCAAGTTTGTAAGAGTTTTTCTTGCTAGCTAGGCTGGTTCAAGTTTGTAAGAGTTTTTCTTGCTAGCTAGGCTGGTTCAAGTTTGTAAGAGTTTTTCTTGCTAGCTAGGCTGGTTCAAGTTTGTAAGAGTTTTTCTTGGTAACCAAGTTCTCTTCTGAGCCGACTTAAAAGCCACCTCCATTCCTGCAGCTGGCTGGTTTAAGCTTGTAAGAGTCTTTTCTTGCTAACCAGGTTGTCTTCTCTCTGGACTACGCGATCTCGAGCATGTAACTTGTCAGTTAGTGCAGTGATTCGTATTGTTGCACTGCACTAACTGACAAGATCCATGCCACCTATCTCCCCCCCACCAGTCAGAGGAGTGTCATTCATTCCGCATCTTCTCTCTCCATTCCCTACGTGACGAGTCTATTTCTTAGGCGCCTCAAAAATAGACTCCTGTTGCACAACTCACAAAATCCATGCTACCTCTCTCCCCCCCACCAATCAGAGGAGCGGCATTCCTTCCGCGTCTTCTCTCTCCAGACCCTAAAAAGCTTGGTTCCTCCCAAGACGCGTTCCTTCCGGACCGTTCCTCTATGCCTCCGCTCCTCCCTCCCTCTATCCCGCCCTTCCACCCCCCTTGCCAGATGAGTGTCAATCGTTCCGCGTCTTCACTCTCCCGACCCTAAAAAGCTTGGTTCCTCCCGGGACCGGTCCTCTATGCCTCCGTTCCTCCCTCTATCCCGCCCTTCCACCACCCTTGTCAGATGAGTGTAATCCGTTACGCCTTCACTGTAAACCCTGACAAACTCGCCCCTCTGATCCAACGCATCCTGCCCACAGGGGTGAGTCTCCTTCAGAGCTCCGCTCCTGCTGGTGCGTCTCCTTCAGAGTTTTTCTGCTATTGAGTCTGCTTTTGAGTCGACTTTTGAGTCTGCTTTTGAGTCGACTTTTGAGTCTGCTTTTGAGTCTGCTTTTGAGTCGACTTTTGAGTCTGCTTTTGAGTCGACTTTTGAGTCTGCTTTTGAGTCGACTTTTGAGTCTTCTTTTGAGTCGACTTCTGAGTCTGCTTTTGAGTCGACTTTGAGTCTGCTTTTGAGTCTGCTTTTGAGTCGACTTTTGAGTCTGCTTTTGAGTCGACTAAAAAGCCTCCTGCTGGTGCGTCTCCTTCAGTGGTCTTCTGCTGTAGAGCACTGACGAAGGCCCTGTGCCGAAACGCGCGTACGCTCAGAAATTGATGGACTATCACGTCCTTTTTCGCCCAATCCCTGCTAGTCACTCACTCTCTTGTAAATTTTTTTTCGGAGCTAAGATTCGTTGGCAGTCACGGTCGAATCTACCCTTTCCTTCCTTCAAAGCTCCCCTCCTGCTGGTGAGTCTACTTCAGAGGGTTTCTGCTCTTTCTTTCATCCTCCCAGTCTCGTTTTGTTTCTTTCTCTTGCACTGCCGTCAATATCTTGGAACGTTATTGGCCCTGTCCCCTGTTATCTCTTCCTTAGTTTGCTAGCCTTTTCTTTGTTTGTGTGTGGCTTGTTAGAGACACACATATCTGTTTCTCTGTTAGAGTACTGCTTTACTCGTAATGTGTTAGAGAACTGTTTCATCTCGATCATGGCTAATGACACTTTTTTTGTGTGTGGCTTGTTAGAGACACACATCTCTCTTTCACTAGAGACCGTGTCTCCTTTTATCAATATCTACAGAATTCTGTTAAAGCCTGTGACTCACATCTCTATTTCGCTTGTGTGCTGCTTATCAAAGCCTGTGAATCGCATCTCGATTTCACTTGTGTGTGCCTTGCGCTGTTATCACTCACTCACCCTTGCGACGTTATCACTCACTCACCCTTGCGACGTTATCTGGGATTTCTTCCCATCCTAGAGTCTGAGCACCGCATTGGAAGGAGCACCACTTGGTGGTGGTTTTAGCCATACGTGGCTGCTGGCTGGTAGAACACTGTTTTTAGTTAGAAAATAAATCTTGCTCAAAGAAAACTCTCGTGAGTTTGTAGGGTAAAGTTGATGGTAACTAGTTTCGGCAGGTGGCTGCCTGAATCTCGATTTCACTCGTGTGTGCCTTGCGCCGCTATCACTCACTCACCCTTGATTTCTGAGGCGCCTCAAAAATAGACTCATCTCTATTTCACTTGTGTGTGCCTTGCGCCGCTATCACTCACTCACCCTTGATTTCTGAGGCGCCTCAAAAATAGACTCATCTCTATTTCACTTGTGTGTGCCTTGCGCCGCTATCACTCACTCACCCTTGATTTCTGAGGCGCCTCAAAAATAGACTCATCTCTATTTCACTTGTGTGTGCCTTGCGCCGCTATCACTCACTCACCCTTGATTTCTGAGGCGCCTCAAAAATAGACTCATCTCTATTTCACTTGTGTGTGCCTTGCGCCGCTATCACTCACTCACCCTTGATTTCTGAGGCGCCTCAAAAATAGACTCATCTCTATTTCACTTGTGTGTGCCTTGCGCCGCTATCACTCACTCACCCTTGATTTCTGAGGCGCCTCAAAAATAGACTCATCTCTATTTCACTTGTGTGTGCCTTGCGCCGCTATCACTCACTCACCCTTGATTTCTGAGGCGCCTCAAAAATAGACTCATCTCTATTTCACTTGTGTGTGCCTTGCGCCGCTATCACTCACTCACCCTTGATTTCTGAGGCGCCTCAAAAATAGACTCATCTCTATTTCACTTGTGTGTGCCTTGCGCCGCTATCACTCACTCACCCTTGATTTCTGAGGCGCCTCAAAAATAGACTCATCTCTATTTCACTTGTGTGTGCCTTGCGCCGCTATCACTCACTCACCCTTGATTTCTGAGGCGCCTCAAAAATAGACTCATCCCTATTTCACTTGTGTGTGCCTTGCGCCGCTATCACTCACTCACCCTTGATTTCTGAGGCGCCTCAAAAATAGACTCATCTCTATTTCACTTGTGTGTGCCTTGCGCCGCTATCACTCACTCACCCTTGATTTCTGAGGCGCCTCAAAAATAGACTCATCTCTATTTCACTTGTGTGTGCCTTGCGCCGCTATCACTCACTCACCCTTGATTTCTGAGGCGCCTCAAAAATAGACTCATCTCTATTTCACTTGTGTGTGCCTTGCGCCGCTATCACTCACTCACCCTTGATTTCTGAGGCGCCTCAAAAATAGACTCATCTCTATTTCACTTGTGTGTGCCTTGCGCCGCTATCACTCACTCACCCTTGATTTCTGAGGCGCCTCAAAAATAGACTCATCTCTATTTCACTTGTGTGTGCCTTGCGCCGCTATCACTCACTCACCCTTGATTTCTGAGGCGCCTCAAAAATAGACTCATCTCTATTTCACTTGTGTGTGCCTTGCGCCGCTATCACTCACTCACCCTTGATTTCTGAGGCGCCTCAAAAGTAGACTCATCTCTATTTCACTTGTGTGTGCCTTGCGCCGCTATCACTCACTCACCCTTGATTTCTGAGGCGCCTCAAAAATAGACTCATCTCTATTTCACTTGTGTGTGCCTTGCGCCGCTATCACTCACTCACCCTTGATTTCTGAGGCGCCTCAAAAATAGACTCATCTCTATTTCACTTGTGTGTGCCTTGCGCCGCTATCACTCACTCACCCTTGATTTCTGAGGCGCCTCAAAAATAGACTCATCTCAAAAATAAACTCATCTCACCCTTGATTTCTTCCCATCCCAGAATCTGAGCACCTCATTGGTCGAGGACACGGTGTTCCCCAACCAGCCAATCGTAGAGCTCCCTCTGGATCTCCAGAAGATCCTCTCAGCGCTCGCATCTCCTGCCGGATTAAGCTTTGAGTAAGTCGCTCTACACTCCCGTTGTTTATCTCATCTCTGGCCAACACTTGTTTTGGCTAGGGCTCTCTCTACTTCCCCAGAAGTGCGGCAACAGAGACGTGCAGAGGGCGGATACGGGAAAGTAAGGGGCGTGTGGGGGAGTGCAGAGCTAAGCCTATCGAATCACCCACCCCCCAACATTGTGTGAATTTAGACTACTTTTGAGGCGCCTCAAAAGCTCCCCCCAGAGCTGCAATGGAGAGAGGAGGGAAGAGAGGAGGGGGGCGAGAGGAGGGAAGGGGGGCGTGTGGCAGTAGGTTGAATCAAACTTATAAATCCCCGACCCCATCCCACACACCCCATAAATCCCCTGCAGTGTATAACAGAGTCGTGCCGAGGGCGGATACAGGGGGGCAAGGGGGGCGTGAGGTTTGGCTGTTATCACTCCCTCTCCACCCCCCTTGTTGTTCCATACAACCCCCCTAACTCCCCCCCACTCCTGCAGTGTGATAACGGAGACGTGCCGAGGGCGGATAGAGGAGGGCAAGGGCGGCGTGAGGGGGAGTGCAGATCTAACCCTATCTAATCATCCACCCCCCACCCCACACCCCCCCACACCCCACTCCTGCAGTGTGATACGGAGACGTGCCGAGGGAGGATAGAGGAGGGCAGGGGGGGCATGCGAGAGCGTGTGTCTGCTATCTAACCCCCACCCATGTTCCTCACACTGTGCAATTCCCTTGCAGTGTGATAAAGGAGACGTGCCGAGGGCGGATAGAGGAGGGCAAGGGCGGCGTGGGGGGGAGTGCTGAGCTAGCCCTATCTAATCATCCAACCCCCCCCACACACACACACACCCCTCCTCTGCAGTGTGATAACAGAGATGTGCCGAGGGCGGATAGAGGAGGGCTAAGGGGGAGTTGGGGGGGAGGGCGGAGCTATTTTTGAGGCGCCTCAGAGGGCGGACAGAGGGCGGACAGAGGGTGGACAGAGGGAGGGCGGAGAGAGGGAGGGCGGACAGAGGGCGGACAGAGGGTGGACAGAGGGAGGGCGGACAGAGGGAGGGCGGACAGAGGGCGGACAGAGGGTGGACAGAGGGTGGACAGAGGAGGGCAAGGGAGGCGCGAAGGAGTGGCTCAAGCATCCACTCTAATCCCCTCCTCACTACGCTACTCAATATACCCCCCCCATCTCCCCCCCTCCCCTGCAGTGTGATAACGGAGACGTGCCGAGGGCGGGTAGAGGAGGGCAAGGGGGGTGTAGGGGAGAGTCGCTCAAGCTTCTTCTCTAATTCCCGCTACTTGATACAACCCCTGTATCTCCCCCCCTCCCCTGCAGTGTGATAACAGAGACATGCCGAGGGCGGATAGAGGAGGGCAAGGGGGGCGTGGGGGAGTGTGTGTCTGTGCGAGGGGCCGACCTCGTTCAGCCAATCGTGCGCCGCCACATAGGCCGGATACTCCTCTCACAAGGTACGCCATAGACCGCCATATAGGTGCCATTGTGTCAATACGTGGCAGCAACTGGTTGATGACACCTGTGCGCCCCCACATAGGCCGGATACTCCTCTCACAAGGTACGCCATTCGATAACCAATTCAACTACAAGTGGCACATAGGCTGGACTTTTCTTTCTCCAGTCTTAGTCACGAAATCATAAGGGAAAAGAAAAGGAAAAAAAAAAAAAAAAAAAAATCCTAACCACTACCCACCCACCCCCCCCCCCCCCCCCCCCCTCCCCCACCTTCTGTGTTGGGTTTTTTAGAATTCTAAAAAACCTAGCACAGCCTGGCTTCCTCACCAAAGCCCCCCACCCACCCACCCACCCCCCGGTACTCTGTCTCCTTCCCACCAGGCTACCTGTTCATCATCACCGCCTTGTGCACAGAGGCGGGATGGCCAGCCATGAAATACACAGCTGCCATGTGCCCTTTCCTTGAGTGTTCCATTCTCTCTGTGTATTCTGAGTCGACTCAAAATACACCAGCATTCCTTGAGTGTTCCATTCTCTCTCTCCCATGTGCCCTTTCCCCCCGACCCAGGCTACCTCTACATCATCACTGCCTCGTGCACCGAATCCTGGTGGTGGTACTGCATTGCCACACAGGTCATACCGTACCAACCCTTGGCCCCTTCACCCTCTCCCTCCCCCAATCCAGGCTACCTCTACGTCATCACTGCCTCGTGCATTGAAGCCCGATGGTGCTGCATTGTCACATGGGTCCTGTCGTACCAACCCCTGGTCCCTCCACCCTCCCCCTTCCACCCTGCTCTCCTCTCATCCAGGCTACCTCTACGTCATCACTGCATCGTGCACCGAAGCCCGATGGCCCACCATGAATGCGCAGCTACTAGCATCCCTCGAGTCGTTCGCCTTCCTTTAAGAGAAACCCTTTCCAGTTGATTTTCTCCAACGTTTCCTATGCGTGGGCTGTGGCCCGTCCCGAGTTTTGAGGCGTCTCAAAACAACGTTCCCTATGAGTGGGCTGGGGCCCGTCCCGAGCACACGGCTACTGGCAGCCCTTGAGTTGTTTGCCCTCCTCTGAAACGACACCTTTGGGTAGTTGGTCTGTCTCCTCCAACCCACTCTCTGTGTTGTGTCTTGAGTTGTCGTGACCCATCACTACACTCAGTGGCACACGGCTGCTGGCAGGGCGGTGGGCTAGGAATTTAGTTTTGACAGATTCAGGCACATTGTTGTGCACCTACCTAGCCTTCCTATTTTCATACGTCTGCCGGAGGGTTTGAATTATTGGAAGTGCTCTGGGGTGCAGTGTCCGTTTGATACCCTCAGCAGGCTCTAGCCATCAACAACGTTCTACCCATCACCTGGCAGCTGCTAACAGCTGTCGTACATTTGTTTCACCGCTGCATATCTACCTACATTTGGTTATTTATGATGAAAGTTTTTTCATAAGAGCAGAACAATTCATACAGAGGGGCGAACGGAGTACAAAATTTTATGCTTGCCTTCGGCAAGTATACAAAATTCCACACTTAGCAATAACTCAACTATGATGTTAACATTTGCTTCTTTTTTATTTGCTCTAGAACTATAGCACGCGCCACAAATCCTGATCATACGCTGTAGGGTTGCGCGTATCCCCGTTACAAGCTCGAAAGCCCAGCCATTAACCTTTGTTGTTCGCACACGATGAAGTTCCACGCGCGCGAAGCTCGCCAGTAGGCTTCGCGAAACAGGGTTACAGGCTGGAGAGGCCAGCGAGGGATCTCAGTTGTTCGTAGACGATGAAGGTGATGGCCGTCATGGGGCCCAGGCGCGCGTAATTCGCGGCGCAGCCTTTGTACAGCCCGCGGATGCCCTCTGTCCGGAGAATCTGCATGGCGGGAGCGAGGAAGGTGGCGGGCGAGAGTGGAATGAGTATTGAGTGAGGGCAAGATCGGAGTGGGACGAGTTATGACGTCAATACTATACGAATGTGAGGATACTTGGGTGGGGCACACAGCGTGTGTGCAGAGTTCTTACAAAGCGGACAATCTAGAAGGAAGCATTCTGCATGCGATCGGTTCACTCACCGAGTAAGCGCAGTGCATTGATCCGCGGTAAATCACTCCCCCGCCGGCTGCCGGCGCAGCTGCGCCGGCCACGGGGGCAGCCGCGGGCGCGGGGCCAAGCGGGGGCAGTCCGCGCGCAGCAGGCAGCGGCGGCGGCCGCGCGGAAGGCGCGGGGGAGGCGGAGGCGGAAGAGGTGGAGTAGGAGAGCGCGGGTTGGAGGTTGGCGGAAGCGTTGTGGGGAGCGGAAAGGGCGGGGGAGAACGCGGACGAAGAGGTGGCGTTTGAGGGCGCGGGAATTGAGGAGGAAGCGGACGGCGCGGGGAGCGGGGCTCTGGGGGCGGAAGAAGAGGCGGAAGCGGCGGAAGCGGAGGAGGCGGCCTTCTTAACGGCCATCATGCGCGTTTTGACTGTGTCGAAGGGGGAGGAGGCGAGGGTGGAGACAGCACCAGCGAGCATGGACGCACTGGGGGGGGGAAGAAGGGGAGAGACAAGGGCGGGTAGGGGGACAAGAGCGCGATGACAAAGCGATTGGAAATGCTCAACGTCATTTAGGACAGGTGATCAAAGGGGAGGAAGGAGGTGAGGGTGGAGACAGCACCAGCGAGCATGGACGCACTGGGGTGTGAGGGGGAGGGACAGATAAACGGGGAAGGCGGAGGACGATTTAGAGACGGAAAGCATCGAGAGCGGCGGCGGCTACTGTAGTAGCTGTAGTAGGTTTAGGCGAGGGGTTTGAGAGCCGTACCTCAGGTGCAGTGTACATGCACGAAGGGTACATGTCTTGCTTGATACACGCATGGCCTTACCTCGGGTGCAGGGGAAGGCCGTCGGACACGTTCGCTCGCGCCTTCAGAAGCTGCTTGAGCACTGCGCACTGCGCCGCAGTCACCGCACTTAATAGAATCAAGAGCCTTACCTCAGGTGCAGGGGAAGCCCGTCAGACACGTTAGCGCGCGCCTTGAGCAGCTGCTTGCACTCGTCGTACACCGCGCACTGCGCCGCGGTGAGCGCCGCCGCGCGCCCCATGGACGGGCCCACGCCCTTCCACAGCGCGCCGACTCCCTCCGTCCGCGCGATCTCCAGAATCTGCCCCGTCGTCGACCGGCTGCTCCGCGCGGCAGCGTTTCTCACGGCGCCACTTGCGGCGCTGCTGCCGGCGGCGCCGGAGGCGGCCGTCTCCGAGATCATCTGTAGCCGGACCTTCGCTACATCTAGGGGATTCGACACGGCTGTAGCGAACGAGCCGGACATGATTCCCGCGAGGGCTTTATGCCCCACGTGCACCTGCGACTTCTCCTTAGGAGCGATCATGTTGCGACACGGCTCGTACAGGCCGAGGCGCAGGCAGCCGTAGGACAAGGCGCGGACGACGGCGGGCTCGACGCCGCGGTACAAGGCGCGAACGCCGCCCTCTTGGAGCAGCTTGCGCGTGGTGGCGACCATTGTCGTGGACGGGCCGCGTTGGCCGACGGCTGACATCTGCTGCTGCACTTTCACGACATCTGTAAGGAAGTGGAGGGAGAGGGGGAGAGAGTGAGGGAGTTGAGAGAGTGGGAGAGAAGAGTGAGTGATGGGAGGGAGAGACAACGGTACCCAGATTCCCGGGTGGTAAATTCACGATTTCATAGTTCTGTTTATTTCTATTTTATTTTTCTGTTTTTCTCATCAGTTCCTTGAGACTGTGTGGCCGCTGGTGGTTAGTGCATGGATTTTCCATACTGGGATAGATTCTTAGGACGTACCAACAGGGTGTGTGGTGGCGGTCGAAGTCGCGACGGCAGTGCCGCTGGAGGTTAGTCCATGGAGATTCCACTCCGGGATATATTCTTAGCACGTACCGACGGGGTGTGTGGTCGCTGTGGAAATCGCGACGGCCGTCCCACTGGTGGCGAAGGTTCCGAGCATCTCCTTGGTCTTCCTCCACGCGGGCGACGACTCTTGCGACGCCGACGATTTTGACGACACGGCCATGGCGACGAATTTCGATGCGGGAAAGTTGAAGTGTGTTGGGGTAGAGACGTCAGCCGATGACGGAGTTGCGAGGAGAGGGAGAGGGCACAAGTTGCGAGTATTGGACGTCAGGTGATGACGGAATCTGGAAGAAAGCAAAAACCGTCGTGAGTTGAGTGTGTCTTAAATATCACGGCTTGGACGAAGGGAGACGGAATTTGCGGCAAGAGCGCTCTACGACGATGCCTGAATAGATGCACGCACGTAAGCCCTGCCCGAGTCTACCTTGGGGCTGAAATCGACTCTCAGGTCAGGTGGGATTCGGACAGAAGGCGCACAACGGTAGCCGTACAGTTCTAGTCCTACTGAAGCATGTGCTAGGCTGTAACCCACTGTAATGGATGTGCGAGGCTGCGAGCGACGAAGCCGCAAAATGCCGTGTCACGAGACGAGAGTCTGACACACCCGGGACGGGCTTGTTCCGACCGACGCCCTCTCCGGCCCACAAGTCAAGACAGGGCAGGGCCCTCTCTCCCAACCGACAGCCTTTGGCAATACGCTGAACCTTGCAGTCACAAAGACGCGAGACCTAGAGAAGAAGTAGCTGTCTAGAATCAGTGTTTCAGTTCGGTCTGAGCATTATGGGAAAACGGTTGCGGAAGGAGATGCTTCTGTCAGCGGTTCCATCCGCGGCTGGACGAAGATACATAGAGGTTTGTTGCAACGACCGTACCGTACCTTCATGTACCGTACTGTGCAACTCTGGTTCAGGAAGGAGAATCCCTCTACCGTAATGTATCAGCTTGTACCGCAGTGTGCGACCTTTCGGGATCTCCTGCAGGCAAGTGTGTCACTTGGTGGGATGGCGTGAGTGACGGCTACTGCTGGGGGACGTTTTGCAGGGCAGGGGGGATGAATGAGGGCGACATCCCATTCTCGCGCACCCCGCGCCCCGCGGTGTCGGGAGGGCAGAGCCTCGCTGACAAGATGGCTCACCCGCCACGTGGCGCCATGCTGTTTGCGAAACTCGCAAATGCCATTTTCTGTCGTAAGTTCAGGGATTCGAGGCAACTGCGTTGTTCGCGAACGAAGTTGCGAAGGTCACCATGCTTCGCTGAACTCGAGAAGAGATTCCCCTTTCACCTAGACCGCACGATGAAAGGGTTCAGCAGTCTGAGAACGATGGCCACAGGCGCGGAAGATTCGGCAGAGAAAGGAAAAGCTGGGAGAGGGCAGGAAGGGACAACTCACCCAATCCGAACTCCGCCTCGTTGGCAGCCGTCCACCTGTTCGGAGCTTCTGGGGCTGTTGTCCAGCGAATAAGGCTGAAGATCGACGAGCCACATCTACGTCAAACACGTGGCGAGCGAGCTGCAGAAGGGTGTTTCGATGACTCAGCAAGTCAGTCAGCGGCGGCGATTAACAGTGAAGCCGATTCGTCCTGGACACGAGTGGTGGTGACGACGATGCGCCGCACGTGCACCAAGAACACCCTCGGCGGTTCGTCCCCATGAGTTGAATCTCTTGGCCCGCATCATGAAGCCAAATGGCTAAAATAACATAACAAGCGTACAGTAATCCTTCTAAATGAGCAATGCTTGCGCACTCATAAGAAGTTGACAAATGATGGAAGTGCATTTCGCATCTGGGCCAGGCAGGTGAGGGCACGCTCCAGAACCCTCTCCGGGGAGAGTGCCTTAGTTCCTTGAAGCTGTAAGCATGGGAGGTGGAATATATGAGAAAGAATGAGGTAGAGAAGCACTTGGCATGAAGACACATAAGAACAAAAACTTCCTGCATCTCACCTCTATTCGGCCTGATCTGAAGGCAAGGCTTTCACGCAGGACTTTTTGTTGCACGGCATCCCTCAGGATCTCAAAGGCTGGAAGCTTCATCGCAGTTTCCATCACAACAGTGGTGCCCTGATCCCGCTGCAGAATGCGGTAGATGCCGAGATCTGCTGCCATGCGCCGCACAAACAGATGCTTGAAGAGAAGCTGGGGAGGAAACGACACAGATAATGGGGCAATACAGGAAACACATGAGAATAACCCTCAACTTCAGGTCTCCGACTCTGCCCCCTTTGCAGAATGCGGTAGATGCCCAGATCTGCTGCCATGCGCTGGACAAACAGGTGCTTGACGAGCAGCTGGGGGGGGGGAGCCAAAGGGCGTAAATAAGACATCGCCAGGAAGAGCGAGTTAGGTGCGTGGTAGATGCCCAGATCTGCTGCCATGCGCCGCACGACGAGATGCTTGGATAGCAGCTGGGAGAAAGTGAGACAGATAATGGGCTATACAGGAAACACACGAGAATAACATAACCTTCAACTTCAGGTCATGGGCGCTGATCCCTTGGAAGCATCCGGTAGATACTCAGATCTGCTGCCATGCGCCTCACAATGAGTCTATTTTTGAGGCGCCTCAAAAATAGACTCCCTTGGCAGCATCCGGTAGATACTCAGATCTGCCGCCATGCGCCTCACAATGAGGTGTTTTGAAGAGCAGCTGGGGGAGAGGCAGAGAGCGTGACTAAGACAGATCCACGAAGAGAGAGTTCAATGCGTGGCAGATGCGCAGACCTGCTGCCATGGGCCGCACAATGAGGTGGCTGACGTGCAACTGGGGGGAGAGGAGTCTATTTTTGAGGCGCCTCAACAATAGATTTCTCAATGCGTGGCAGATGTGCAGACCTGCTGCCATGGGCCGCACAATGAGGTGGCTGACGAGGTGACTTTTGAGTCGACTCAAAAGTCACGACGCGCAACTAGGGGGAGAGGAATGAGGCGGAGAAGAACAAGGAGCACGCAACATTCGAGTTGATAACGACTGTGGAACACCCACGCACGCCGCACGCCCTCTGCTGAACCCAGATTGTACACTGCTCTCATCTCCCTGCAGGACCCCAGCAGTGCCGGTCCGGCATGCCCTCTGCTACCGCCTCCTCTGCCTCCTTAGGCAGACTGGCTCTTACTGCAGCCTCAACAACTCACAAGTACCACTGGATGCTCCTCCTCACACTCACCTCCACTGCTGCTGGCTCATCCCCATACTCTGCTCTCATCTCATCTCCCTGCAGAACCTCAGCGGTGCCGGCACGCCGTCTACTGCTGGTAACCCTCACCCTCACTCCTAGCACGCCCTCTACTGCTGGTAACCCTCACCCTCACTCCTATCACGCCCTCTGCTGCTGGTAACCCTCACCCTCACTCCTAGCACGCCCTCTACTGCTGGTAACCCTCACCCTCACTCCTAGCACGCCCTCTACTGCTGGTAACCCTCACCCTCACTCCTAGCACGCCCTCTACTGCTGGTAACCCTCACCCTCACTCCTAGCACGCCCTCTACTGCTGGTAACCCTCACCCTCACTCCTAGCACGCCCTCTACTGCTGGTAACCCTCACCCTCACTCCTAGCACGCCCTCTACTGCTGGTAACCCTCACCCTCACTCCTAGCACGCCCTCTACTGCTGGTAACCCTCACCCAAGCACACTCCGTTCGTCCCTGCACTCACCTCTTCTGCCACTGGATCACCCCCATACTCTATTTTTGAGGCGCCTCAAAAATAGACTCCTCTACTGCTGGTAACCCTCACCCAAGCACACTCCGTTCGTCCCTGCACTCACCTCTTCTGCCACTGGATCCTCCCCATACTCTACTTCCTTGCAAGGCTGGCTCTTACCGCAGGCTCTCACCTCACCTCTATTGCTGCTGCTTCTTGACTCACCTCTACTGCTGCAGGCTCGTCCCCATGCTCCGAGCTCATCTCCCTGCAGAAACCCAACAGTGCCGGCATGCCCTCTGCTGCTGGCAGCACTGCAGGCATAACCACGTGCACACTGTTCTTCCCTAGACTCACCTCTACTGCTGCAGGCTCGTCCCCATACTCTGCTCGCATCTCCCTGCAGAACCCCAACAGTGCCGGCATGCCCTCTGCTGCCGCCTCCTCTGCTTCCTTGGGCAGGCTGGCTCGTAACGAGGCTTCGGGCACGTAGGATGCAGGGATGGGGGGGAGCGGGGCGAGAGGCAGATCTAGCTGCAGGGGCAACGGGAATGGGGTGAGGTAATTGGAACATTGGAGAGAGGGTGTGGGGAAGGGTGTGAGTAGGGCGGGGGATGGGGAGAGGAGAGGGGGGGGTGGGGGAGGTGGAAGTGGGTGTGGGCAGGAGGTTGTGATGACGGCTGTGAGAGGCAAGGGGGGATATTCGAGGGAGGTGTCACATGCCTTATGAAACGCACTTGTAGAAGAAACTATAACGCGCTGCTTTACGAAGACGTGAGTGAGTGCACCTAGGCTGGAAACGAGGCAGCTAAAAAGAAGGAAAACTGCATATCTTACCCGGACTTCTTCGAATCGCACTCGAGGGAGGCTCTTCTGCTCCACCTGGAAAAATAAAGATCAGTAGAGAGCAGATGTACATAAATGAGAAATATAATCGGCGTTGAAATCGAATCCGACAGCACTAATTGAGGGTGCAGCCCACTCACCCTCGTGAGCGTCTCATGAAGCATCTCCATAAAGAGGAGTTACCCCACGTCCCCAACACTTCAGCCATTTTTACCAATGTTACTAAATCTTACTAAAGTAGTGTACTCCACTCACCCTCGCCAGCATCTCATTCATGCAGCATCTCCATGAAGAGGCAATACCCCACGCACGCCCCTAACATCCCCAAATAGTGATCCTTTGTACAAAAGCAATACAGCAAAATCGAAATATATCCTACAATAATCGACTGACCTTCGTGAGCGTCTCATGCAGCATCTCCATGAAGAGGTAGCACCCCACGCCTTCAACGGCTAGTGGGCTACGTTTGCAATCTCATGGAGCATCTCCATGAAGAGGTAGTACCCCACGCCTCTAACGGCTAGTGAGCTACGTTTGCAATCTCATGGAGCCTCTCCAGTGCTCACCACTCACTTTCGTCAACGTCTCATGCAGCAAAAGCGAAATATATCCTACAATAATCGACTGACCTTCGTCAACGTCTCATGAAGCATCTCCATAAAGAGGTAATGCTCCACGTCTCCAACGTCCCCAATTGGTGATCCGCTGTATGATGATAAAGCAATGGCATAACATGCGCTATCCTCCACTCACCTTCGTGAGCGTCTCATGCAGCATCTCCATAAAGAGGTAGTACCCCACGCCTCCAACGTCCCCGCTCTGCCTCTCCCCAAACACGTCCCCAATGCCACGGATGTCCATGTCTCTCTGCGCCAGCAGGTACCCCTCCCCCAGCCCGCTGTGCTGCTGCAGTGCCTTGAGCCGTTCCTGGTGGTTGGGGAAGCATGGGGGGGTCCAGGGAGAGGGAAGGGTGGGGAAACGAGGGTTCTATCTGTCCATGTCTCTCTGCGCCAGCAGGTATCCCTCCCCCAGCCCACTGTGTTGCTGCAACGCCTTCAGCCGCTCTTGTGAGTAACGGGGCGGGGAGACAGGGGGAGCGCACAGGGAATGGGATACCAGGGGGGAGAGTGGGGGGGTGGATTTTTGAGGCGCCTAAAAAATAGACTCCTCGGGTGGGGAGACAGGGGGAGCGCACAGGGAATGGGATACCAGGGGGGAGAGCGGGGGGTGGAGTTGGGGGGGAGGGGGAGGAAGGGAGCGAGTTTTGAGTCGACTCAAAAATCGACTCATTAGGAGCGCACAGGGAATGGGATGCAAAGGGGGAGAGTGGGGGGGTGGAGTTGGGGGGGAGGCGGAGGAAGGGAGCGAGTTTCCGCCCCCCTGTCTGTCTGTCGCTCTGCCTCTCCCCAAACACGTCCTCAAAGCCTCGGATGTCCATGTGTCTCTGTGCTAGTTAGCAAGTACCCCGCCCCTAGACTGCTGTGTTGCTGCAGTGCTTGAAGCCGTTCTTGGTGTGCAGGAAGCAGAGGGGGGTCCAGGGAGAGGGAGGGGGAAGGGGCGGGGGGGGGGGGGGGGGGACGGGAGGTTCTGTCCATGTCTCTCTCTGCTAGCAAGCACCCCTCCTGAAGCCGCTCCTGGTGTGAGGGAAGCATGGGGGGGTCCAGGGAGAGGGAGGGGGGGGAGGGGGGGAGGAGAGAATGGGAGGTTCTGTCCATGTGTCTCTGTGCTAGCAAGTACCCCTCCCCTAGACCGCTGTGTTGCTGCAGTGCCTTGAGACTCTCCTGTGGGAAGGGGAACGCATAGGGACTCCCCAGAAGCATGGGGCATGGTTGATGGGGCATGGGGCATGGGGCCAGAGGCATGGGGCATGAGGTATGGGGCATGGGGCATGGGGCATGGGGCATGGGGCATGGGGCATGGGGCATGGGGCATGGGGCATGGGGCATGGGGTATGGGGCATGGAGCATGGGGCATGGCCACCTATTGATGGGACTAAGGGTCAATGCACTCACCTGAGCGTCAGGCGTTAGGCAGTAAAGGGGAGGGTGGAGCAGGTATGCATGGGCCGTAACAGACATAAGGGGCATGACTGCCTATTAATGGGACTAAGGGTCAATGCTCTCACCTGAGCGTCAGGCGTTAGGCAACGCAGGGGAGGGTGGAGCAGGTATGCATGGGCCGTGTCAAACATACGGGGCGTGACTCGTGACTGTGTATTGATGGGACTAGGGCCAATGCACTCACCTGAGCTTCCGGCGTGAGGCAATGCAGGGGAGGGTGGAAGAGGTACGCATGGGCTGAGCTGTTGGACCGACCCACACGCCCTCGCAGCTGAGGGGACACGCAGAGGGTAAGGGGGAAGGGGGAGAGGGGATAGGGGGAAGGGGGAGAGGGGATAGGGGGAAGGGGGAGAGGGGATAGGGGGAAGGGGGAGAGGGGATAGGGGGAAGGGGGAGAGGGGATAGGGGGTATGGGAGAGGGGGGTGCAGTGAGCGAATCACAGCAAGGGCTGAGCCGTAGCACCGACCCACGCCCACGCAGCTGAGGGGATGTGGAGGGCTGAGGGTCCGGGTGGGGAGGGTGAGGGTCCGGGTGGGGAGGGCTGAGGGTCGGGGTGGGGAGGGCTGAGGGTCGGGGTGGGGAGGGCTGAGGGTCGGGGTGGGGAGGGCTGAGGGTCGGGGTGGGGAGGGCTGAGGATCGGGGTGGGGAGGGCTGAGGGTCGGGGTGGGGAGGGCTGAGGGTCGGGGTGGGGAGGGGGAGCGGACAGAGATGAAGAGAGAGAGTGTCTCAAGGCATTTCTATCAATTCACCCGCCGTGTGAAACTTATTTGTTCCTCCCCCCCCTCTTACCTGCGTGATAGGAGTCTGGTTTTGAGGCGCCTCAAAACTATACTTCTTTGTTCCTCCCCCCCCTCTTACCTGGTAAATCTGTGCGAGCCCAAACAGGTGCGTGTCTTCGATAATGATGGTGTTGACCGTCCATGCGAATGTCGATCCCACTCTCGATGATGCTCTCTTTTGCACAGAGAGAAAGAACCCTGCTGAACGCACAAACCGTGCTGGACTGCACTGAAAACCTTTGAATGTCCTTCATCCTCGCCTGGTAAATCTGGGGCAACCTGAACAGGTGCGTGTCTTCGATAATGATGGTGTTGACCGTGCGAGTGTCAATCCCGCTCTCATTGATGCTTGTGCACAGCAAGAGTCAAGGAAGGTGACGAAGCACCGCCCTGTACCGCACTGCAACCTGCTGCACCCCCTCTCACCTGGTAGATCTGCGCGAGCCCAAATAGGTGTGTGTCCTCGATAATGATGGTGTTGACCGTGCGAATGTCGATCCCACTCTCGATGATGCTTGTGCACAGAAGCACATCCACCTCGCCCTCGCCGAATCGCTCCATCGCCGCTTCGAGTTCCGTGGGGCGAAGCTGCACATGAGGAAACGGGAGAGGGAAAAGAGTAGGTCACCAGCCACCTCTAGGTGATGCTCATGCACAGAAGCACATCCACCTCTCCCTCGCCAAATCGTTCCATCGCCGCATCGAGTTCGGTGGGCCGAAGCTGAATGGGCCAGAAATGGTGAGGGGGTGGGGTGGGAGGGTTGGGTTGGGGGGAAGAAGGGACAAGCACGGGGCCTCCGCTCGATGGTGCTCATCGACACGTGCAGAGGGAAAGAGCTCCTTCAGTTGCCCACCTTGCTGTTAGTGCTACAGCCCACTGCCAGCTACAACCCACTGCCAGCTACAACCCACTGCCAGCTACAACCCACTGCCAGCTACAACCTACTGCCAGCTACAACCCACTGCCAGCTACAGCTCACCTTGCCACCCCCCCACCCCACATCCCCCACCCCATATCCCCCGCCCCACATCCCCCACCCCACATCCCCCACCCCACCCACCTTGCCGTGAGCCACATCAATGCGTGCTGAGGGGAAGAGCTCCTCCAGAATCATCTGGATTTCCTCTATGCCTGGTGCATGACACGTGGCATCAAGGGGTATGACGTGGCATGATGTGGAATGTGTGGGATGCGGTTTGATGTGGTTAGGGTGGGATGGGATGGGAGGCATGGGGATGTGGGGGTAGGTAGGGGCGAGTACGAGAGGAGCAAATGCTTTTGAGGTGTGATAATGATTTCGTTTTGAGACGTCTCATAACGAAAATACTATCACAGGGTGGTATGGGGAGTATGGGGGTAGGGGAGAGTAAGAGAGGAGCAAATGCTTTTAAAGCACCTCAAGAGAGCAGCAGGTAGGCTGACTGACCGGCTGTGTCACTAAACGGGACATTTTAGCAACTGCAATCGACCATCCATCCGTGCCGCACTGGAAATCGCACAACCGCGCTGAACCGCACAGCATTACACCACATTACACCACATTACACCATATTGGACTCAACCTCACTCAGGGGTACGGGGGTAGGGGGGTAGGGGTGAGAAAGACAGAGAGTAGCAAATGCTTTTGGGGCGCCTCAAGAGAATACACATAGAATACCTGCCCACCCCCTCTCCAGCATCCCACCTATCGCCCTCCTCATATCCTCTAGACTCCATCCAGTCAGATGGGTGCCTATAGGCTAACTTTACCAAATTACACCACACTGCACTCACCTTCCACCCGTGGCACCACATAGAACACCTGTCCGCCCCTATCCAGCTCCTCCCCAATAGCTCTCCTCACATCCTCTACATCGAATTCCAACAGGTGCGTGGCGATCGGCTGGCGCTCCGGAGGGGGGGTGGTGATGCGACTGTGGGGAGAGGGGCAACAAGAGATGGGAGGGACGGAGAAAGAGCAGAAGGGAGGAGAAACACAAGCAAAGAGTTCCAATTGGAGTATAGCTCTCCTCACATCCTCTACATCGAATTCCAACACTTGTGTGGTTATGAGCTGGCACTCGGGAGGAGGGGTGGTGATGCGACTGTGGGGAGGGGCCACGCGAAGGGGCATGGGGAGGGGCGCATCGAAAGGGGGCATGGGAGGGGGGCATGGGAGGGGGGCATGGGAGGGGGCATGGGAGGGGGGCGTGCGAAGGAGCATGGGGAGGGGCGCATCCGAAGGGGGCATGGGAGGGGAGCATGGATGGGGGGCGTGTGAAGGGGCATGGGGAAGGGCGCATCGGAAGGGGGCATGGGAGGGGGGCATGGGAGGGGGGCGCGCGAAGGGGCATGGGGAGGGGCGCGTTGGAAGGGGGCATGGGAGGGGGGTATGGGAGGGGGGCGTGCGAAGGGGTAGGGGAGGGGGGCGTGCGAAGGGGGCCATGTGAAGGGGCATGGGGAGGGGCATGGGATTGGGGCATAGGAGAGGAGAGGGGCATCATCCGCAACAAACTCCAAATTGTGTGGTGATTGGGAGTCGCCAACCAGGTGATTGGCCGTCGCCCATTGCCTCTCTAAATTCATGCACGGACACTAAGTGACTTTTGAGAATTCGCGCATGTGAATTCATGCATGGACACTTGGAACGCGCATGTGAATTCATGCACGGACACTTGGAATGCGCATGTGAATTCATGCACGGACACTTGGAACGCGCATGTGAATTCATGCACGGACACTTGGAACGCGCATGTGAATTCATGCACGGACACTTGGAACGCGCATGTGAATTCATGCACGGACACTTGGAACGCGCATGTGAATTCATGCACGGACACTTGGAACGCGCATGTGAATTCATGCACGGACACTTGGAACGCGCATGTGAATTCATGCACGGACACTTGGAACGCGCATGTGAATTCATGCACGGACACTTGGAACGCGCATGTGAATTCATGCACGGACACTTGGAACGCGCATGTGAATTCATGCACGGACACTTGGAACGCGCATGTGAATTCATGCACGGACACTTGGAACGCGCATGTGAATTCATGCACGGACACTTAGAACGCGCAAGGGACGGGAGTAGCTGAGAACACAAACACGTCAACACTGGTCATGCTTGAGTCGAAACAACGTGCGTGTGTGTGTGTGTGTGTGTGTGTGTGCGTGTGTGTGTGTGTGTGTGTGCGTGTGTGTGTGTGTGTGTGTGTGTGTGTGTGTGCGTGTGTACGTGTGTGTGTGTGTGTGTGTGTGTGTGTGTGTGTTAGGATCTCACCTCGCATCTCGGAGTCCGTGCACGGGCATGTACAGCGTGCGAGAAATGGGTGTGGCTCGCATTTTGTAAACACGTCAACACCGGTCAACACCGGTCAACACCGGTCAACACCGGTCATGCTTGAGTCAACTCAAGGTGCGTGTGGTGTGTGTGTGTGCTAGGATCTCACCTGGCGTCTCGGAATCCGTGCATGGACATGTACAGCGTGCGGGGGATGGGGGTAGCCAACAGTGAGAGCACATCAGCACTGGCCCAGAGTCATCTCAAGGCGCACCTGTATGCAAATAGGGGCACTCACCTGGCGTCTCGGAATCCGTGCATGGACATGTACAGCGTGCGAGGGATGGGGGTAGCTGAGAGGGTCAACACGTCAACACTGGTCTTGAGGCTGCTGATCCGCTCCTTCTGTCTCACGCCAAAGCGCTGATGGGGGGAGATGAAGTGGGGGAAGGAGGGGCATGCAGGGGGCGGGGAGGGGGGAAGGGGGGTTTGAGCGCTGATATATCAACACTGGTCTTGAGGCTGCTGATCCGCTCCTTCTGTCTCACCCCAAAGCCGTTGATAGCGGGGGCAGAAGGGGCAGAGGGGAGGGACAGGGGGTGGGACCGGGGGCGGGACAGGGGGCGGGGTAGGGGGTTGTGGGGGGGAGGATGGCGCCGAGTTTCCCGATGGGTATGGAACAAACTGTTATTGGCTGTGGTCAAACAATGGGACGATGCACTTTGATTTGAGGGGTGTCTCGCCTGCTCCTCGCCTATGAACGGGTTGTGGCAGTGGTAGACCACACACCTGTATATACGGATACGCACACATATGCACTGTAAATTTGTTGTTGTATTCGACTCACCTGCTCCTCGTCTATGACCAGCAGCCCCAGGTTGTGGTAGTGGTAGACCACCTGCGCCCCCAGAAGCTTAGCACGAAGCAAACCGTCCACTCAAAAGCAACCAGGAGCATTCATTCGACTCACCGGCTCCTCGTCTATGACCAGCAGCCCCAGATTGTGGTGTACAACCTGCGCCCCCAGAAGCTCTTCCTTCTGACCTGTGTATCTACATGACATAAAAGTAATACTGCACTATTATGCTCACCTGCTCCTCGTCTATCACCAGCAGCCCCAGGTTGTGGTAGACCACCTGCGACCCGAGCAGGGAGTGTGTCCCTGCCACCACATCCAGTGTGCCGTCTCTTATGCCCGCCAATACCTCCTTCTTCTCAGATTCTTTCTGCGAAACACGTGAGGGCGGGGGGAAAGGGAAGCAGAATGGCAGGGAGATGGCTTAGGAGAACCACTTCTAATGTGCCATCCCGAATGCCGGCCAGCACTTAGGGCCCAAGGAGGGAAGGGAAAGGAGTAGAGGGAGTGTTGAATTGATGGTGCAGACTGGGTGTGTGCCTGCCATTTTTGAGTCGACTCAAAAGTCATTTTTGAGTCGACTCAAAAGTCATTTTTGAGTCGACTCAGAAGGGAAAGGAGTACAGGGAGTGTTGAAACTGATGGGTTGTGTGCCTGCCAGCCAGCCACCATACTGCGTGCTCTCTCGTGAACCACCTGAAGTCCAGAAATCCATCTCAACCTTACTTTTGAGGCGCCTCAAAAATAGAATCCAGAAATCCATCTCAATCTACCTGGAATCGTGAAATGAGGGTTACTCTGACGCCATACTCCTTCAGCCGGGCGGAGATGACCTTGTAGTGCTGCTTACTGTGTTCGGTGCTGCTTGCTGTGCTTGGTGCCAATACCATCTGCCCCAACAACAACCGATCTCAGCCCACCTGGAATCGCGAGAGCAGCGCCACTCGAACGCCATACTCCTTCAGCCGGGCGGAGATGACCTTGTAGTGCTGCTTGGCCAGCACGGTGGTGGGGGCCAGCACCATGGCCTGAGGATGGGGGGAGGGAAGGGTGGGGTTGGGGCCAGTGAGTGGGAGAGGAGGAAGATGTGACCTTGTAGTGATGCTTGGCCAGCACAGTGACTTTTGAGTCGACTCAAAAGAGAGGGGGGAGATATGACCTTGTAGTGATGCGTGGCCAGCACAGTGGTACGTAGACATGGGCATGAGCCGAGCCTGGCTCGGCTCGGCTCGTTTGGGGTCGAGCCGGCTCGGCTCGCCTCAAGCCGGGTCCTCAGGATCCCCGGCTCGGCTCGTGAAAATTGGGTCGAGCCGGGGCCGGCTCGGCTCGGCTCGTCAGGGGGGCTTGTGTGGGCTGTCAATTGGGGCCACGTGGTTTGGGGTCTCTAGTCTGGGGGATTATCCAGATTGTTTAGCCGATCGTCTGGTTCTACATCTTACACAACTATCAGGAGGAGCTGCAGGTTTAAATAGGGCTGGCTGAGGTCGATAGACTAGGGCGGCAGGGTGAGGTTAGGGTTGGCAGACAAAATGGGCGCGGGGGGGTTTGTTGATCTGGAATTTGACAGTCGCGAAGGCCCTCTTTCCCTAGCCGCGAGCCGGCTGGCTCGAAAACGAGCCAGCTCGAACCGGCTCGACTCCGGCTCGCCTGATTTCGCGTGCGCGAGCGGAGCCGGCTCGGCTCGAGTCGAGCCGGGTACAAAAAAGAGAGGCTCGGCTCGTTTTGAAGGCGAGCCGAGCCGAGCCGAGCCAGGTGTGGCTCGGCTTGTGCCCATGTCTAGTGGTACGGGCCAGTACCATGCCATAAGGATGGGGGAGGTTAGCGTGCTGGACAGGACAGGTACGCTCAGCCTTGCTCTAAGGAATAAACTAAACCTGTTCTAAGAGGCACGTGTCCATCCCTCACCTGCCTCTTATCCAGCACTGCTCGGAAGATAGCTCTGACAGCAACCTCTGTCTTGCCGAAGCCCACATCGCCACACACCAGCCGGTCCATGGGCGTCTCCCTCTCGCACATGTCCCGCTCCACGTCTAAGAACGCCTGGATGAGGGAGATGAGGGAGATGGGGGAAAGGGGGGACGGGGACACAGAGAGTGGCCGATAAGGCAGCTCACGAGCAGCACGCAAGACGGCTCATACGACACACCAAACGGTCCATGGGCGTCTCCCTCTCGCACATGTCCCTTTCCACATCTCCCTCGTCTCCCTCCCACTGCCTGAGCCTCTTGACATACACGTCCATCATCCCCCCCACCATCCCCCTACCTTCGCCTGGTCTGGTTCCTGAGGCGCCTGAAGCTATCACCCCCAATACCAACCCACCTGCTCCTGATCTGGCGTTGGCTCGTAGGGGAACGACTCCCCAAAGCGCCTCATTTTCTCCTCGAACCTGGGGTCTATGCCACTGAAGCTAAGGCCTAAGCCAGCCCTCCCCCAGTCTCACCTGCTCCCGGTCTGCAGTCGGCTGGTAGGGGAACGACTCCCCAAACCGCCTCATTTCCTCCTCGAACCTAAGGCCGGCGCAGCTCATGATTAAAGCTAATCCACCCTACCCAGTTCCACCTGCTCCTGGTCCGGCGTCGGCTCGTAGGGGAACGACTCCCCAAACCGCCTCATTTCCTTGTCGAGTTTAGGGTACACCTGCCGCCGCTGCCTGAGCCTCTTCACACATACACGTCCATCATCGCCCCCACCACCCCCCTACCTTCGACTGGTCTGGTTCCTGAGGCGCCTAGAGGCTAAAGCTATCACCCCCAATACCAACCCACCTGCTCCTGATCTGGCGTCGGCGCGTAGGGAAACGACTCCCCAAAGCGCCTCATTTCCTCCTCGAACTTGGGGTACACCAGCCGGCGCTGCCGGAGCCTCTTGACGTACACATCCATCATCTCCACCACCATCCGCTCCACCGCCTCCTTCCCCTTCGCCTGCCGCCGCTCCCACGCGTTTGGGTCATGCATCTTGCTTAGTGGGGGGGAGCGACCGGGGGGGCCAGCACTGGTTATTGGAAGGGTGTCAGGGACAGGGGCGGGGAGGGATCAGGGTGGATTAGGGGTGGGCGGAAGCAGATACGGGAAAGAGTGGGAGAGGCTCGTTGGGAGGTGGGAGAGGAGGGGGGAGGCGGGAAAGAGAGGAGGAATGTCTGTCTTGTGGGAGTGCCTTTCGCCTGTGTTGATTGTTAAGGCCGCTACCTGAGCTACGTGTATTTTGAGTCGACTCAAAATACCCCGAAACCCTGAGTGCCTTTCACCTGTGTTGACTGAAAGGGCCGCTGCCTGAGCTTCGTCACATTCACGTCCATCATCTCGCCCACCACTCACATGCCTGGGCGGCAAACAGCAAACCACTCACATGCCACCTAGACAGCAAACCACTCACATGCCACCTAGACAGCAAACCACTCACATGCCACCTAGACAGCAAACCACTCACATGCCACCTAGACAGCAAACCACTCACATGCCACCTAGACAGCAAACCCATCCTACTTACTTGCCGAATCTGTAGAGCACTTGTTTCGCCTGTTTCGCACTCAGTTTCGCCGACCCATCCGCGAACTGCAGCAGTGGGTACTTCACCTTCTTCTGCTTCCTCAACGCTCACGCACCTTCACAACAAGCACCCACACACCTAGACAGCAAGCAAGCCACTCATATTCCGAGCCGGTACAGCACTTGCTTCGCCTGCTTCGCACTGAGCTTAGCTGTCCCATCCGCGAACTGCAGCAGCAGGTGGTGTTTGACCTTCCTCTGCCTCGTCCTCAACACTCACATGCCACCTAGACAGCAAACACATCCATTCTACTTACATGCCGAATCTGTAGAGCACTTGCTTCGCCTGTTTCGCACTCAGTTTCGCCGTGCCATCCGCGAACTGCAGCAGCAGGTACTTCACCTTCTTCTGCCTGCCCTGCGGCACCTCCAGCCGCGTCCCTGTGAACCTACATATACCCAGCTTCTTATGCACCAACACGTCTCCCGGCACCAGCGTCTTCACGTCAACCCGAAACCCGTTGCTCTCGCCGCTCTCCCCACTACCGCTACCGCTCGCTGTAGGCTGGCTGTCACTGCTGCTGCTCCCACCGCTCCTGCTGCTGCCCCTGCTGCGGTTACTGCCTGATACATTACCAGACGTCTCCCTCTCATCCCCGTCGCTGTCGCTCTCATCAGTTATTCGTGCGCCTGGAGCAGTTCTTACTGACCCGTTATTAGCCGACCCCTTACTACCTGTTCCGTTTTTAGCGTCCTCGCTACTTCTTCTCCCACTAGCAGGACCGCTATTGCTCAGTTTCGCCACGCGGCTTCTCAGGGCCGTCCAGTCCACGTCAGCATCCCTCCTTTGGCTCCCGATACCAGGCCTCCCGTTTCCGTCACTGCTTCCTCCTTTCTGATTCGTCCCGTCCGTCCGTCGAACAGGCTCCGACTTGAAGTCCCCCGTTACAAGCGTCGCTGAGCTACGAGCAGCCCCGTTTAGAGACTCCTCGTCAAAGGAACGAGCTCCATATTCCGTTTCCCCCTCTGCCTCCGGACTGTCGCCGCCGAACCTAGCGCGAGTTTTAGGCGCCAATCTTCTCATACCCGTTAGTAGCGGACTCCCTGGCCGTCGTTGCCTCAACCCTGTAGAATCCATCTTAAGCGTCTTTAGTCTACGCAGTCCCTGGAACGAAGAGAGCGCCGAACGGCAACCTCCTGACAAGGCACGTCGCGGAAACTTAAAAGCCCCCAGGGGATAAGGTTCTGGGTTTAGCTGCCATTTTTCTCTGGCATTAGAGACCGGACCCAGACTATTCCCGGATTTGGGGTTTAGAAGGCTGAAGTATCTAGATTCTAATTGGAGCCTCGAAAAGGGAGACATGATTTGCGCTTTGGGAGCCGAATATGCTGAATGACTTCTAGAAGCTGCATTTACTGGGTCTAGACAACGGTGACGTGGCAGCGTTTGTGAAAATCCCTGACAACGGAGAAAGGATTGAGGTGGTGGTCCAAGGGGAGCCGACCACAGACGTGGCACCAGCAACGCGCTGTCAGTGCCACGTAAGCAACTCATGATAACAAATACGCGTTTCGTGGGTAAGTAAGAGGATATTGGAAAAGTGACCGGGGTTATGACTATGTGACTCCAACTACGTCCACGCGTCTGACTGTGACGGAACGACAATGCCGACGAGTACGCCGCTTCCTCGGATCAGGACCCAGCAGATGCTGGAAAACTCGGCTCCAGGAAAGGCAACAAACGGCATGCATGCGGAACGGCGTTCCCCGTCGCGACACTATTCTAACAACGAGCCCGACGTAACGAAAAAAACAACCGGTGGTTAACGCGCTCACCCTCCTAAGCCTAGCCTGCTGCGTCTATTCTAGGCAAGCTTCAGGAATGGCCGTGGTTCAGGGATGGAGCAGCCTTGTATGTGCTTCAGGAATTTGATGATCCCAAGGTGGTCAAGTTGTTGATGTACCACTGTCAGGGAGAACAAGGATGATCTGGGGGGTGTATTGTACGGTCAGGTCATATCATGATCCCTCCCGCGATGATCTCGAAGAGTGCTGCTGTGGTACTTCATAAGCTTGGTGGCATTTGAGAAAACGGACACGCGTCAATCGCAGGTTGGCGTGGCAAAGCAACTGTCCTTTAAAAGCAGCTCCTCTGCATGACTAGTAAGTTCCTCTCCGCATATCCTAAATCTTATTTCTTATGGCTCAGGCGAAGCACAATGAACCATCCCCAAATCGATTAGAAATCTGGTTCTAGTATTTGCATACAAGGGTTCAGTCTTGGTTAGATCAACAAAAATTATGTGCCATGAGGTGTTCACAAACTAAATAGCTGTTCCTGCGCTTCAAATCCCCAGATGTTGCAGCCTAATTTGGCTGTTTTGCAACTAGCAAATTGGGACCCTTTGCAAGTTTACCTTCGAGTTAGGCAGGATAATCGGATTAGGTAACATATGTTAAATTATATATTATGTTATATAATTGGTAGGCTTGGTAGGTTATCGAACTCTACTGTAGAGGGTACAATCCCCTCCTTGTATCCCTCTCTCTTTCTAGTCTATTCCCTTTTCTCTCGTCAACTCTCGCCCCCTAGCTAAACCTCTCGCCACTTTCATGGCGTCCTAGACATGGCCCAAAATTGGTTTTAGGCCACTCTTAGGAATCAGGGTGAAAAAAAAAAATTACCCTGTCAGCCAAAGTAAACATTTATCCAAGCCTGATTTGCAAGGGTAAAAAAAAAAACGCTCGGACAATGTCAGGGTAGATAGAGTCACACCCTGTTAGCATCAACAAAGACGAAGCAAGCAAGCCTATTATATTAGATTTACAATTATCTAGCAGCTGCCTGCAAGACATTAAAAGCTATCCTAGATGCTCTGACATGATGTGAGCCTACATCAACCAACTCTAGTGCCACTGCCTAGCAAACTCTACTGCTTATACTTCTCTACTTACTATACTTTAGACATCTCCAACAGCAGTGGGCTCTACCAGTGGAATGGGCTCACTGGTGTCATGAGCAGGCTCAACAGGGGTGGGATTAGCCGAGCTCAAATCCTGGAGAGGGCGCCGGGGCTTCGCCCCGCGAAAGACAGCGACCACATTGAACCAGTCCATGGGATATTGAAGAAGTGAGCAACGCATAAGATCTCCTAGACAATCATCACCAATGCTTCCACGACCCCAGGTCTTGATCAAGTTTTGCTTGGAAAATCCCCGCTCACACTCCACAGTGCTGAGCGGGAGCACGGCAACTGCTTGCCAGAGTCGAAGAATGTTGGGGTAGCTCCTTTGCCAGTCGTTGTTGTCAAGCGTGAGGGTGAGGGCTTGCTGGAAATCATCGTCCTTGTGCTGGGACATCATCGTCGCGGTGAAAACCCAGAGCTCCCGCAGAGCCGCGTTGTAGTCAAAGCCTACTCATGCAAAGCAATCAAATGGGGGGGGGGGAGGGGATGGAGTCTCGTAAGAGCAAGGTAGCACTACTTGTTATTGCAATGGTTGGAATCACGCTGATTATTCACAAGGGAAGCAGGAAACATATGATGGCGCAAGACTCACCAGGGAGCTTGTTGTCGAACAGGTCGTCCATCTGCTTCAGGTGCTTCTTGCAACGAGCCAGCCGAACCTCATCGTCCAGGGGGTAGGACTTGGTTAAGAAGAGGCGGGATCCATCCACGTTCGCCAGGTCCCTGAAGCGACTGCGAATGTTGCTGACGCAGTCTATAGCAAACTTCCGGCACACGACGCTGCAAGAATCGATGTCGCTCCGTGTCGTGTGGCCGTCAAGCATCCTCTCATGCAACACGTATTCGAAGGCATGCGCGTTGCCTTCCGAATCCACGCCTTTCACGCACACGGTTCGCTTGTCCGGGGAGCCATGCTTCTCCAGGAACTCACACAGCCTCTCGCTGCCGCCATTGCCGAAGAAGAGGCCGCTGCCGCACTTGATATAGCGGTCCGCGATGCGGTTGCAAGTGTTCTCGACGAGCGATGCCACCACCGTGAGGTCGACCTGCAACATATAGGGAAAGGGAGGGTAACAAGCGAATGCGTCTGAAATAAGTATGTGAACGGTCGCAGACTAGTCGCAAACTAAGACGACAAGCAATACTCCATTAAATCTCATGCATAAGTGTTAGCGGAATGCTCACCTGACGCTGCTGGAAGCGCATGTTCAAGTGGTTCAGCTCGGCGAGAATATCGGCGAGGAAGAACAGCATAAACTGCACCTTGAAGGATGTGACCACCTCGTACCACCCCCCCGGATGCTCGCGGAGCAGAACGACAACAGCAGGAAGAATCTCCACGAAGCGAGAGACAGCTTCCCCACGCGCCAGCCAGCGAATGGCGTTGATGCCTTGGGCTTCCAAATTGGTGAGGCAGTACACGAGCTGGAAGTTCTTGAAGGAGTGGTGAACGACATTGCTGCGACCGACGAGGTCCGCGAAGGCCCGAATGAGCATGTCGATGATGTTCATCTCTGTGACGCTTTTGGCGGCGTCCTTGGCCGCTAAGGCCTCCCTGAACACTTAGGGCGGGAGTGACAGAGAGAGGGGAAAATGGCGAATCCTAAGTGCGGGTGATACAAACAAGGCAAACCTATTAGCAGGCATGTCTCGCGACTTACTTGTGAGCGATGCAATGGAAGGATACCAAATGCTCGATCCGCCGCCTGAGCCTCGTCACCACTCCTGACTGTGCGCCCGTCATCACGGACGCCCCATCCGTCGACATGCCGACGATGCGCTGAAGGTCGATGCCGACCGACTGAAGAAACTGGAGAAGGACTGCTGTCAATGAGGCCGCATCCGTCCGGTCGACAGTTAGCAGGGTAACGAATTCGGTGACGACGACATTTCCGCGGAAGAAGGTAGCATAGAGAATAAGATGCTTCCCATGAACTCGATCCGTACTCTCATCGATTGCAATGCCAAGAAATGGTGAAGACTTGATGTGCCTCAACTGTTCCTCGCGCAGGTAGCCAGAGATGGCCTTCGTCATCTGCTTGAAACCGTAACTGTAGGACGGGTGGGGGAGAGGCACATCGAGATAGAGTAAGGCCATGGTGTGATGTACTAAGAGGGAACACCTATACAATAGATGCACTTACACATAGGACATCAAGTGGACGTGCAGTGCGGAGCAACAACACACATGTCTTGCAGGGCGGGCAGTAGATATTGTACTCACTCTGTATAGTAGGTCCCATACGCCCCACCTTGGGGCAAATCCGGCAAACCTTCTGCAGCCAGGAAGAAACAGAGGGCGACGTAGAGGGCGATCGGGGCGTCGGCCTTGCAGACGAACATGGCAATATGGAGGCAGCGGATTAGGTGCTTTGTGGACGCGTCAGAATCCCGAAATCGTTCCAGCGTCTTCTGCTGGGCCTTCTCCATCTCTCGGTCCGCCTGAGCCTTTAACGCCTTCTTGTGCGCGCGGGTCCCTAGATGGATGCGGATACTGCCGACTTGGAGGTCTCGGGCGCCTTCACCCTTCTTCCCGTAGTTCGTATTGGAGAACGCATCCCCGTACTGCAAGCAAATTGCACACTTCAAGGAGGGACGACCGTTTTTCAAGCGAGTAAGACGCAGCCAGGGAAAACGGCGGGACCAATCATCAACAAACCGCCTCTTCATAACCTCATACTCGGCGTCAGCAGGGGGCAGGATCTCGGGTGATGGGGTCGGCTGAACAGGCGGAGACGACGGAGCTGCAGGCCTCTTTGGCGGCGGCGCCCAGGGAAGACGCCGCTGGGTCCACATAACGCTGGCCTTCCGCTTGGCGGCGTCGGCGTAACAATACGACGGAGTGCGACCCGCGGCGGACGAGGTGCCCTCTCCATGCTCTAAATCGAGGTCGATGTGCTCGGCATGTGACTCGGAGCGAGGGGAGATCGGCTCGAAAGGATACTGTACAGGCGGAGCGGTAAAGCGATGGGCATGGGAAGGACTAGACGGCGGGGATCGAACCACTCTAGGGGGCAGGAGGGGGAATACCCCGAGAACGCTAAGGCCGTTTCTAGGAGGGGGTTCCTCTGAGAGATCATCAACGATGCCCTCCATATGAAGAGGAAGAAATGGATGGAAGGTACCGCTGGAAGAGACGAGACATAACGGATGGAGGGAGAATTTTGGGGAGCTTTGAGCAAGGAGAGGTTAGTGCAGGAAGCACATCGACCTCGAGAGGTTTGATTGACGTGCAGCGCAGTCGACGCGGACCGCTCAGAGGGAGCTTTGGCTGTAAGCGCGAAGGGTGGCTGGCTGCATGCTGCAGTAGCAACCACATACGACTGCCACCAAGGGGAGGGGAAAGGGAGAGGCAGCGTGGGTGAGGGATGGTGGCACGACGAAAGCAGGATTGCTGCCAAGGGCACCAATCGGTGAGCGTCGCGCAGCCAGCACACATTGTATGCGGTGGAATATTCCCCAGTGCATGTGCGACGAGAGCGGGAAAGAGGTCATGAAAGTGCGAGTGGCACGGGACGTGGCTGTACTCATAATCTCGCACGAATCCTGCCCCTGAGGGACTCTGTATCAGGGTCTTTTCCAGAGCACCCTGACGCCTCAGGGTAGCAGATCCGCAACCCGGCTTTTTGAACGGGTAGAAAAAAAGGCACTCTTTTTCAATCAGAGTAAAAAAAATTCCAAGTCGGATATTTAAGAGTACCGTAAAAAATACACTGAAAAAACAGGGCAATCAGGGCATTTCACCCGGCTATTTTGGGCCCTGGTCCTAGAGTTCCTAGTTCAACAACATATTGAGAATAGGTACGAGTGGTGTTCTGCAACAATCATGAAGACTGGCTTATTGGCTCTACATGTCAGGTGCTGTTTCCGGCCGTCCGATAAGGGATGAGAGATTGGCGGATCTTGTGATCTAACAGAGCGAGTCGCCAGCACTCCGCCACAATCCAGCAAAATGCCTCGGCAGGATGCCCCTTGCGGGCAATGGCGCTTGACGCCCTTCTCAAAGACGGACCCCCACGAAGGCGAATTTCCCTAATCAATTGAAGAGCTCTAGCTTTTGCTGAAATTGGAGTGTTTCTTGTTCAGACTCAGCAGCAGCGTCACATTTTGTTTGCCATCTGCCCGCATAAGAAATATTTCGTGTTGACATGCAAGACACCGAGCTGTCCTCTCACAAATCTCACCTGCGAAGCCTCCTCTTGTTTCGCCACACCCAGATTACCACCATCTTCCCATTTCGTCCTTTCCGCGACCACTCGTTTCCCCTGTTCGCCCGCAGAAAAATGAAAGCTCCCGCGTCGCGTGCGACCCATTTCCAGGGTCTCTCCCCACTGTTCAAAATTTCGCCAGTCCTCTCTCCCTGAGATTTCTCTCACCCTATCCTCCCCTCCCCTCCCCTGACAGACCCCCTCCTGCTTTTCCAGCCTCGGTTTCTTCGAGCGCTCTTTTCCCTCCCTCCCACTCCACCCTGTTGGGGTTGGACTTTCAGGCCGTGTCACAAGACTGCACGTACAGGTTCATACCGTACTCGAACCTACTAAACGTAACTCAGAACTCTACGAAACGCTACGAAACGCACTCAACCTGTCAAATGGAACTGGATATGTAGTTTCAGGCTTGCCTGATTTTGCTTCAACTCTTATATCTGGACGGGCTCTCTCCCGTAGAACCCACCAAGCAGCCCTAATACGCTGATCCACGTCGCTTTCAACCTGAGGCTCCATCTTCTTCCTTCTTTGCTTCTCGTAAGGACAGATTCTTTCCGCCGTAGGTTGCTTCTAACTAGCTTTCTTTCGTCGTACGATTTGATTACCTGGTCGGTTTGAGTGGGTTTCCGCCTTCGTCCGCGTAACACGTTCTGGCATCGTGCTGCTTATTGTCAGAGTGTCGATTGCGGACGATACAGGAGCTCTCGTTCTTTCATCGATAGATCCAGGTACTAACGATTTCTTCACGATACGGACTCCCGGTCCTTTGTTTTTCATGAGATGTTTTTCTGTTACCAGTAACCCGTTTTCAGCGGTAGAGAAGAGCAGTTCGTTCAGGTAGAGAATGTAACTATTTCCCTTTCGTCCAGGACATCCTCCATTCGTTGCGAATCTCGAGCTCTTCTTAAATTTAGGATTTCCCTCGTTACGCTTACTTCATGTTTCCCAGTAGCTTATGTTTCACGAGAGCTTGAGCGCTTCGACACTCTGAGAATGTAATGGATGTTCCGTTATTCGCAATCCTTCCATCATGTGCGTGTCTAGAGATCCAGTTAACATTGGAAATTCCTTCGTTACGCCTTAGTTCGCATTTCTCACTCAAACAGATCAGTTTTTTTACTCCCGGTCCTTGATTTTCCTGAGTGTCGGTCCTTCCGCAAGTTCCGCGGGATGTGAGCCCTGGCTTCTAAGATTTTATATTCATGTTCATGTTGTTTCTTCTACGTGCGTCGATTCCTTGCCTCCTCCTTTTCCGTGCAGTTCTCGGAAGTTTAATGGGAAATGAGCGGCGTCGCGAAGTACTAGTCACTCGTGAACGCCGGCGACGACTGGTAATCTACGGACACGAGTAGCATGATGGATCCGAATTCGAATCGCACGACGACGGCGACGGCGACGACGACCGGTGCGGTTAAACAGCAGGACGGAACCGCGAAGGAGAACACGCAGAGCGGAAACGCGACGGCGAACGCGCAGAGCGGAAGCGCGAAGGGGAACGCGCAGAGCGGCGGAAACGCGAAGGAGGTCGTAGAGAGTGAACGCCAGGGGGGACGCGCGATGGAGAACGCACCGGGTGATGGGGACGCGAAGGAGGTCGGACGCGCTACGGAGATCGCGGGCGCTAAGGCGACGAATGTAGCAGAGGGCGGAAAGTGCGCGGAAATCGCTCTGCGCGGTGAGGCGAAGAAGAAATCGCGGAGCGCGACTGCGGGGAACGCGACGGCGCAAGCCGAAGGAGGCGCGAGCGCGAAGAACGACGCAAGCGACGGGAGCGGCGCGAGCGTTAGGTGCGACGCGAGCGTTACGGGAGAAGCGAGCGCGAAGGGCGACGCGAGCGTTAAGGGCGACGCGAGCGCCGCGGGGAACATACAGGGTGGGAGCGCGAAGGAAAGCGTGCAGAGCTCGAAGGCACGAGAGAAGGGTCAGGTCGTAGCTGCACAAGGTCAGATCGTGGCAGCAGGTCCGTCAGCCGCGCCTCCGCCTTCAACACTAGTCGAATCAGCACATGCGCCTGCTGCTGCTACGAAGCCTTTACCTTTGCCTTTACTTGTACCACCACCAGGGTCTGTATCTCCTGCGTCCGCACCTTCTCCTCCTCCCCCACCTGCCAATCATCCCCCAGCCACCAAACTCCCCTCACCTCCCAAGCCTTCCCGGGCTTCTGCCGCGAAACCCCCGCCTCTTCCCTTGCCTCCCAGCAAACCGCCGCTGGTATCAGCCAAGTCGCCGCCAGCAGCGCTTAAACCAAGTCCTACTGGTGCTTCATCGCCCAATGTTCCGACCACCAACTCGCCAGCTCTGCCTGCTAAGACCTCGTCGCCCCAGCCTCCGCCTCTTCCCTTGCCTCCTAGGCAACCGTCGCTGGTGTCAGCCAAGTCGCCGCCAGCAGCTGCACCCAAGCCATCGCCTCCCCTAGTTCCTCCTCCTAGCGGTACAGGGAAGGCAGCTTCAGCAGCAGCAACGCCAGCAACAGCGTCAGCAGCAAAGCCAGCAGCAGCGCCAGCAGGTACACCCAAGCCATCGCCCCCCCTTGCTCCTCCCAGCGGCACAGGGAAGGCAGCTCCAGCATCGGCGCCGGCAGCAGCACCCAAGCCATCATCCCCGCCTGCCCCCAGCACCACGGGCAAAGCAGCATGTTCAGCAGCGCCAGCAGGAGCACCACCAGCAGGAGCACCACCAGCGCCGTCAGCAGTAACAGCAAACCGCACGCCGGCCAGTGGTGCAGGTGCACAAGCAGCCGGCGCCAATCGTACAGGTGCAGCGACGTCTCCGAAAATCAGCCAGCCTCAGTCCACACACCCACCGCCTCTCCCTCTGCCTCCCCCTAAACCCGCCGCAACCTTCCCTAAACCTGCTGGGCCTGAGCCTGCTGCTTCTAATTCTGCTAGTCCTGCTCCCACTGCTCCTCCTTCTACCTCCGCTCCTGCTGCCCCACCTGCTGCCTCTCCTCCCCCTGCGCCCACTGCTTCCCCTTCCGCTGCAAAAACCCCCGCTGTTTCTCGCCCTCACCTGCTGTCCAAGCCTACCAGCCCTCCTCCTGCTGCTGTGCCCGGTAAATCTGCGCCTGCTGCTTCTCCTGCTGCTGCTCCTGCTGCCCCACCTGCTGCCTCTCCTCCCTCTGCTCCCGCTGCTTCCCCTTCTGCTGCAAAACCCCCTGCTAGCTCTCCCCCGGGTCTGCTATCCAAACCCCCCACTATTTCCCCCCCCGGTCCGCTGTCCAGACCAACCAGTCTCCCCCCGGGTCTGCTGTCCAAACCCACCAGCCCTCCACCTGGTCTGATGTCCAAACCCACCAGCCCTCCACCTGGTGTGATGTCCAAGCCTATCAGTCCCCCGCCTGCTACTGTGCTGGGTAGATCTGTGTCTTCTGCTGTTTCTACTGCTCCTAGCACTGCTGCTGGTGCAAGTAGTACTGTTGGAATAGCCTCTAGTGTTGATGCTGCTGCTGCTGCTGCTTCCAAACCTGCAGCTGCGGTTTCCAAACCTGCTACTCCTGTCCCCAAACCTGCCACTACGATATCCAAACCTGCCGCCTCGGTTGTGCCGACGCCTGCTGCTACTAAGCCTCTAGCTGCCGAGCCTGCCGTTGCTGGTGCGGCCAAGCCTCCAACAGCTGCTGGCGTGGGTGGTGGTGGCAAGGCCCCAACACCCCTGCCTACATCTTCCCCTTTTTCCTCCCCTGCAGCAGCAGCAGCAGCCAAATCACCCAGCCCTCCGACTACTACTGCCAAGCCTCCAACCACGCAGTCTGTGGGTGGCGGCAAGTTCCAAACGTCCCAGCCTGTTGCCTCTACCACTGCTGCTGCTGCCCACGCTTCTTCCCCTGCAGCAGCACCAGCAGCAGCAGCCAAATCACCCAGCCCTCCAACTACTACTGCCAAGCCTCCAACCACGCAGTCTGTGGGTGGCGGCAAGCTCCAAACGTCCCAGCCTGTTGCCTCTACCACTGCTGCTGCTGCCCACGCTTCTTCCCCTGCAGCAGCACCAGCAGCAGCAGCAGCAGCAGCAGCAGCAGCAGCCAAATCACCCGCCCCTCCGACTACTACTTCTGCCAAGGCCCCAACGCCCCCGCCTGTTACCTCTACCCCTGCAGCAGCAGCAGCAGCAAAATCACCAACCCCTCCACCTACTTCTGCCCCTCCAATTGCAAGTGCTTCTGCTGCTACCCTTGCTCCTGCCCCTACGCCTGCCCGTTTTTCTGCCCCTACTCCTGCCCGTGTTCTTGCCCCTGCTTTGGCTATTGCTGGTGTCCAGGCATCAACAGTCAAGGGGCCGCCGGGGAAACCGCAGCCTCCAGCTGTAGCAGGGAAGCTGCAGCCTTCAGCTGTAGCAGGGAAGCCGCAGCCTCCAGCTGTAGCAGGGAAGCCGCAGCCTCCAGCTGTAGCAGGGAAGCCGCAGCCTCCAGCTGTAGCAGGGAATCCGCAGCCTCCAGCTGTAGCAAGGAAGCCGCAGCCTCCAGCTGTAGCAGGGAAGCCGCAGCCTCCAGCTGTAGCAGGGAATCCGCAGCCTCCAGCTGTAGCAGGGAAGCCGCAGCCTTCAGCTGTAGCAGGGAAGCCGCAGCCTCCAGCTGTAGCAGGGAATCCAGCAGGGCAATCGACAGGGACGGCGAGTGGGAGGACTGCCCCAGCTGTAGCAGCCGCAGCAGCTGTAGCACCTGTGGCAGCAAGGACAAGCACACCGGCAGTAGCAGCCACAGCAGCTGCACCAGCTTTTGCGGCAAGGACAATCACACCAACTACAGCCGCACAGACTGCTACAGACGCACAGGCTGCTACAGCCGCACCTAAGACCCAACCAATGAAAGCAGCAGCAGCACCAGCAGCACTGCCAGCAGCAGCACCGGCAGCAGCAGGCAGAGTGCCCAAAGCAGCACTGTTGCAGGCTGCAGCTGCCAAGGCTGTAGCGCAAACATCACCAGCCGCAGCTCCTGAGGCTGTAGCGCAAACAGCAGTGCAGCAGAATGCAGGGGAAAAATCACCGGCTGTAGCAGGAACTCCCACAGGCCCCACGCAGCAGACTGCAGGGGGAAAGGCACCGGCTGTAGCAGTGCCAGAAGCACTGAAGCCAGTGACTGTATCGAAACCAGCACAAGCAGCAGTGACTAAGTCGAAGCAGCCACAGCCGCCCACAGCCAGCCAGCAATCCAAAGCCACAGGCCCCCAGCAAAGCAGAGGCACGTTAACGCAGCAAGCCCCAGCAGGCACCCAGCAGGGCAGGGGCACGTTTTCCGAGCAAGACAAAGCCACAGGTCCCCAGCAAAGCAGAGGCACGTTAATGCAGCAGCAGGCCCCTGCAGCAGCCATGCAGCAAGGCAGGGGCACGCCATCCCAGCAAGCCCCAGCAGGCACCCAGCAGGGCAGGAGCACGTTATCCGAGCAAGGCAAAGCTACAGCGTCCCAGCCAAGCAGAGGCACATTGACCCAGCAGGCTCCTGCAGCAGGCACCCAGCAAGGAAGGGGCACGTTATTTGAACAAGGCAAAGCTACAGCATCCCTGCACAGCAGGGGCACATTGACCCAGCAGGTACCTACAGCAGGCACCCAGCAGGGCAGGGGCACGTTATCGGAACAGAGCAAAGCCACAGCCCCCCTGCAAAACAGAGGCACATTGTCCCAGCAAGCCCCAGCAGCACCCACCCAGCAAGGAAGGGGCACGTTATCCGAGCAAGGCAAAGCCACAGCCCCCCTGCAAAGCAGAGGCACATCAATCCAGCATGCCCCTGCAGCCACCATTTCACAGCTGGTAGCTCAGAAGAAGCTGCTGCAGGCGCCCCTGGGCCGGGCTGCATCTGGTGCGGGTGGTACTGCTGCCAGTAGTGGTGCGGTTGTTATTGGTATTGGTGCTGGTGCTGGTAATAGTGGTGGTGGTGGTGGTGGTATTGCTGCTGGCGGCGCTCCCTCTGGTGCTGCTGTTGCTGGTGGTGTGCTGCAAGTGTTGAGGCAAGTGCAGGCGCAGAAGCAACAGGAGGCGCAGCAGGCTAAGGTCAGGCAGCAGGGGGGTCAGCAGCTTCAGCCCCAGCAGCAGCAGCAACAGCAGCAGAAGCAGCAGCAGCAGCAACAGCAACAGCAACAACCACAGGTACAACAGCAGAGGCAGCAACAGCAACAGCAAGCACAACAACAACAGGGGCAGCTACAGCAACGGCAACAACAGCTGCAGCAACAGCAGGAGCAACAGAGGCAGCAGCAGCACGCACAGCAACAGCGGCAGCAGCAGCAGCAACAAGCACAACTGTTGCAGCAGCAGCAGCAACAGCAACAGCAACAGCAACAGCAACAGCAACAGCAACAGCAACAGCAACAGCAACAGCAACAGCAACAGCAACAGCAACAGCAACAGCAACAGCAACAGCAACAGCAACAGCAACAGCAACAGCAACAGCAGCAGCAACAGCAACAGCAGCAGCAGCAGCAGCAGCAGCAGCAGCAGCAGCAGCAAGCACAACAGCCGAAACCAGTGCAGCAGCAACAACAGCAGGCGCAGGGAGCACAGAGTTTAAAGCAGGCTGTTCGGGCGAAGAAGGGGCAGGACCCAGACAAACCCGCCAGGGGCAGGGGTAGGCCTCGAAAGCACCCTATAAAGGAGAATCCTAAAAAGGAGAACCTTGTAAAGGAGAACCTGGTAAAGGAGGACCCTGTAAGGGCAGCCACAGGGGGTGGTCTTGTGGGAGCATTGGGAGCACAAGGGGTGAGGCAGGAGCAGCAGCAGCAAGAGCAGGGGGAGGGGGGGAAAGAGAACAGAGACGGAGGGAAGGAGAACGGGGAGGGAGGAGGAGGGACGGATAGGAGGGAGGGATGGAAGGAGGCACAATTGGTGAAGCCGCAGCAGCAGCAGCAGCAGCAGCAGCATCAGCATCAGCATCAGCAGCAGCAGCAGCATCAGCATCAGCATCAGCATCAGCAGCAGCAGCAGCTGCAGCAAGACGGGAGAGTCTCACAACGGAACGAGCAGCAGCAGGCAGGGGCAGGGAAGCCCATACAGTCCTGGCCTGAGGAACTCCAGCTCAACCTCCCCCAGTTCCGCCTCCCGCCCCTCCCCTCAGGGTTGACCCTCCCCCCAGGCTTCCGCCTTCCCCCAGGGCTTTTCTTCCCCCCTGGTTCTTCTCCCGCCCCCCTTGGTGCTCCTTCCGCTCCCCCTGGTGCCCCTTCCCCTCCCCCTGGTCCTCCCCCCCCTCACCCTGGAACTGCTTCCGTTCCCCCTAGCACTCCCCCTCCTCCTTCCGCCCAAAACCCCTTCAGCCTACCTCTCGACGCGGGCACGGCTGCTACTGTGCATCAAGCAGCGGTTACTGTAGCGGATCAGATCCCGAAGGATTCGATTCTGTGGGCGGCAGTGGCGGAGCAGAAAGTGGGCATTCTGGAGAAGGCGCTGGAGGAGACCAAGGAGCGAGCTGTGGCCATGATGGAGCGACTCAGGCTGCATGCCGAGGCAAAGGTAACAAGGGGGTGCATAGCAGTAGAGGGCGTGCTCATAGGGGGTGTGCTCATAGGGGGTGTGCTCATAGGGGGTGTGCTCATACGGGGCGTGCTCATACAGGATGTGCTCATAGAGGGTGTGCTCGTAGAGGGTGCGCTCATAGAGGGTGTTCTCATAGAGGGCGTGCTCATAGAGGGTGTGCTCATGGAGGGTGTTCTCATAGAGGGTGTGCTCATAGAGGAGCTACAGGCACCCTCTATCCCCTTAATCCGCTCTCTCTCCTGTACCTTTGCTCCCCTTGTCCCTCGGCCAGCACGAGATGGAGCGACCGCTGGAGGAGGAGAGGAAGCGAGTGGAGGAGCCACAGACATTCTCCCCTCATCCTTGCTCTCTGACCTCACTCCCCTCACTCCCCTCACTCCCCTCACTCCCCTCACTCCCCTCACTCCCCTCACTCCCCTCACTCCCCGCACTCCCCTTTCTCCCTTCGCTTTTGCTCCCCTTGCCTCTCTACCAGCACAGGGAGATGGAGCGGCAGGTGGAGGAGGAGAGGAAGCGAGTGGAGGAGCCACCGCCACTCTCTATTCCCTCATTACTCTCTCTCCCGTTCCTTTGCCCCCTTTGTCTCGATGCCAGCACAAGGAGATGGAGCGGCAGGTGGAGGAGGAGAGGCAGCGGGTGGAGGAGCTACAGGCGCGGCTCAAAGCAGCTGAGGCCAGGCGAAATGGCAGAGCTGTCCCTTCCGCACCTCCCCCTGTACCGCCCTTCAATGCTTCTCATGCCGCACCTGCAGCTGCTGCCACACCTGTAAGCCCGAGCCAGGGCCCGTTGAAGGGTTTTCCTTCCACGTCCAGCCTAAGTGCGGGCGATGGCGCTGTTGCTGGTGGTGGTGGTGCTTCTGCTGCTGGCGCTGGTGGTGGTGGTGGTGCTGCTGCTGGTTCTGCTGCTGGTCTGGCGCTTCGTTTGCCTCCAGGCTACACCCTCACTGCATCGCGCTCGTTCACACACACCACAGCAGCACTGGGCGCCAACATCCTTCCAGCAGGGTATGATCACCCTTCCAGCGCCCCAGGGGAGCAAGCACAAGCAGCCCTGGTAGCAGCAGCAGGAGGATCAGCAGGAGCAGGAGGAGCAGGAGGAGCAGCAGCAGGAGGAGCAGCAGGTGGAGCAGCAGGAGGAGCGGCAACTGGTAATCTCCTGCACACCCCTCCCCTGCGCTCCCTTAGCTCTGGCCTCCTGGGAGTAAGCCTTGGGCTCACCAGCCCAAAGGTTGGGGGCAGGGGACGGGAGGTGGTGGGAGGGGAGGGGTCGGGAGCACCAGGAGGAGGAGCAGGAGGAGCAGGGGGAGGGGTTGGCGGTGCTGGTGGTGCTGGCGAAACGCCTCCTGTTACCCCCCTCCTGGGTCCGTCTGGTGGGAGGGACGGGATGGGAGGTGCAGGGTTGGGAGGAGGGCTGGGGTTGGGAGCAGCAGGCTTGGGAGGGCTAGGGTTGGGGTCGGCAGGGCTCGGAGGAGGGGGAGTGAGGGCGATTTCCCTCTCTCCTGCAGTGGGCTTTGGCCTTCATCACCTGCTGTCTCCTCGATGCACTCCAGATACCGCTGCCGCTGCTGCTGCTGCTGCCGCTGCTGCTGCTGCTGCCGCTGCTGCTGGTGCTGGTGCTGGTGCTGGTGCTGGTGCTGGTGCTGGTGCTGCTGGTAGCGCAGCTGGTGCGGCAGCAGGAGGGGGTGGGGTTGGGTCCCACCCACCAGGGGAGGAGGGGGTGGTGGAAGTGGCAGTGGGAGCATTAGACCCCTCCCTGGTCGGTCCCTTGGCGTTAGGAAGGTTCTTTACCACCAACTACAGCGTTCCTCTGCCCAGCGTGACTATACCCGCACCGAGCTTTCCTGTACCGAGTGTGCCGGTAGCAAGTGTGCCTGTAGCGGGCGTGAGTGTACCGAGTGTGGCTGCTCCTAGTGCTGCTGCCCCGATTGCTGCTCCACTAGGTGCTGCTCCTCCTCCTCCTGCCTTGCAACCTGGCCCCCATATTTCCACCACTGAAACCACACCCCCAGGTGCATCTGCTGCTCCTCCTAGTGCTACCCCAAGTGCTCCTCCTCTCGCCACCCCCCCTGCCCCCCCCCATATTGCCACCACCACTGAAAGCACGCCCCCAGCTGCTTCTTCTGCTGCTCGTCCCGCTGCTGCCCCTGCGCCTGCCATTCCTCCCCCTGCCGCTTCTGCTTCTGCTTCACCCACTCCTTTCCCTCTAGAGGAAAGGCACGACCCAGGGGTAGGGGCAAGCCTTGCAAGCAGCAGCAAGGGCAAGGGCGGGGAAAAGGGCTTGTATCAGATGGATCAGGTGCCTGCAAGCATTGGAAGGGATGGGGAGAGCGTGAAAGACGGGCAGGAGAAGGAGAAGGGGGCTCAAGGGGCGGCAGATGGGGCGACAATTCGTGCAAGGGAGGGGAGTTTCTGGGCGCTGCTTTCTCGCCCTGCTGCTGGTGCTGCTGCTGGTGCTGCTGGTGGCGGTGGTGTTGCTGGTGCTGGTGCTGGGGCTGGTATTGGTACTGGCAGTGGTGTTGCTGGTGCTGGTGCTGGGGCTGGTATTGGTACTGGCAGTGGTGTTGCTGGTGTTGGTGCTGCTGTTGGGGCTGGTGTTGGTGCTTCTGCGCCTTCTCCTCTTCCACTACCCGCTACAAGTGGCCCAGTTGACGCTGCTGCTGATGCAAAAGGTGCAAGTGGCTCTCTTCCTCTTCCGCTGACTGTTCTTTCCCCAACCGCATCTGCCACTGCGGCTGCTGCTGCTGCTGCTGCAGGTGCTGCTGCTGCTTCCCATGGTCCTTCAGCCACGGCCTCAGTGCCTGTAGCACCAGCAGTAGCTAGAGCACCAGCAGCAGCACCTGCAGCTAGACCTGCAGAAGCAGCAGCGCCGCCCGCACAAGCAGCAGCAGCAGCAGCAGCAGCAGCAGCTACTGCAGCCATTGCAGGGAGGAAACTGGCAAAGCAGGGCTCTGCTAAGGAGAAAGGGATCGAGTTGAAGGGAGCAAAAGGGCTGCCAGGGAAGGCAAAAGCTGCAGGGAGCGTTGCAGGAAAGAGCAAGGTGGGGCTCGGGATGGGGGGGGGGGGGGAAGGGAGAGGAGGCAAAGGGTGTGGAGGGCGCGAAGGGTGAGGAGGAGGCAAAGGGAGGAGCAGTCAAGAAAGTGGCTAGAGCAGCAAAGGGGGAAAAGAAGGGGGAGAAGACCCCGAAGGGAGAGAAGAAGGCTGTTAAGGCTCCGAAGGAGGTTAAGGGAAAGGCTGGTGGTGCTGCTGCTGGTGCTGCTGCTGGTGGTGTTGCTAACGTTGGTGCGGAGGATCCTAGTGTTGGTGTTGCTGGTGCCGTGACTGCAGCAGGGACTGCTGGGGGTACTGCCACTCCTGCTATTCCTCCTTCTGCTGCTGCTGCTGCTGCTGCTGCTGCTGCTGCTGCTGCTGCTGCTGCTGGCAGTGCCCCCACAGCAGCAGCAGCTGGCGTGTTGGGAGAAAAGGAAGACAACGACTCAGAACACACCGAGACAGCAGAGAAAGGGGGGGAGGGCGGGGAGGAGCGAGGGGAGGAGGTGGTCAGTGGGAGGGTTGCAGAAGCAGCAGCAGCTGGGGCTGGGGCTGCTGACGCTCGAATGGCTGGTGAGTCTGCTGCTGCTGCTCCTGCAGGAGCAGCGGCTGGAGCATCAGGGTCAGGTAAGGAGAAAAGCAAAGCGGGAAAAAGAGGGAGCTTAGGCTTGGGAGACAAGGGCAGCCTGGGGAAAGGGAAAGCAGGCTCGGGCAAAGCAGGCTCGGGGAAAGCTGCTGGTGGTGCTGCTCCTGCTTCTGCTGGTGACGGTGCTGCTGCTGCTGCTGCTGCTCCAGCTGCTGCTGCTGCTGCTGCTGCTCCAGCTGGTGCTGCTGCTGGTGCTGCCAAGGGGGTTATGAAAAGAGCAAAACCGGCGGGGCAGGAGGGGGCAAGAGCAGTGGAAAGTGCAGGGGAGGGTGAGCAGGAGGGGGGGGCGGAGGGGAAGAAGGAAAAAGTGGCGACTAAGAGAAAGGCTGCCGGTTTGGATGATGGAGGAGTTAAGAGGAAAAAGGCTAAGGTGGCAGAGGGGGAAGAGGGGGGAAGTGGGAAGGGGGGAGAGCTGGATGGGGGGGCCACGCTGGTGAAAGAGAAACTGAAGAAGCAGGGGAAAGCGACAGTCGGAAAAGGGGGGAGCAAGGGATTGCTGCAAGAGTCGGGAGAGGCTCCGGGCAGGCCGAAAAAGGAGCAGAAGCAAAACGAAGAGTCAGGAGAGGCGTCCAGCAGGCCAAAGAAGAAGGAGCCGAGGGCAAGAAAGGCTGGTGGGGCCAGAGCAGGGGCAGGTGTTGCAGACATAATGGGGATTAACGGGGGAGAGGTTACAGCTGGTACTGAAGCAGCTAACAAAGGGGACAAGGAAGGTGCAGCAGGGGCAGAGGGGAATGGGCTGCTAGGAGTAGGGGAGGCGCAATTAGGGGAGGCTCGTGGGGCAGCGTCCAGTCTGGAGCTGCTTCTTCTAGGAGTAGACGCCGTTAGCAGGCAGGAGATGGAAGAGAAGAATTCCGAGAAGTCTCTAAAGTCACAAACGTCTCTGAAGCTAGCCGCCGCCAGAAAAGGGCAGGCAGAGGAGGGGGGGGATCCGGAGTTGGCTCAAAAAATACCCGAGGGGGAGGGGGAGGGGAAGGAGGAGGATCCAGAGTTGACTCTTATAATACCCGAGGGGAAGAAGGAGGGGGGGGAGGTTCCGAAGTTGGCTGAAAGAATACCTGAGGAGGAAGGGGAGGAGAAGGAGGAGGAGAAGGAAAAGGAGAAGGGGAGGCAGAGGAAGCAGGCAGTGAAGAGAAAGAGAATTGATCTGGTGGAAAATGTAATGGAGAGGACGTCGGTTAGTGAGGAAACAGCACCAGCAGCGGGGGCAGGAGGAGCAGCAGCAGCAGCAGCAGCAGCAGCAGCAGCAGCAGCAGCAGCAGCAGGGGCAGGAGCAGGGGCTGCAACGGTGGTGTCTCCTAGTGGAGGGGGGAGAGGAGGGAAGGGAGGGAAGATAAGAATAGGAGCGAAAAGGGAGAAGAAGTTGGGAGGAGGAGCAGTGGCAGGAGGGAAGGGGAAACTTGGAGCAGCCACTGGGTTGGAGCGGAAGGAGAGTGAAGGTAAAGCTCAAGTCGAAAAGAAGGGTGTGAAGAAGGGAGGGCAAGAGGGAGAGAAGGAGGGAGGGAAGGAGGGACTGCAAAGGAAGAGCCCTCTTGTAAGCCCGAGAATTGACACCGAGCCTAAGGGGAGTGTAAGGAAAACCGCTCCTCCTGCTGCTGCTGCTGCTGCTGCTCCTGCTGCTACTTCTGCTGATGGTGATGGGAATGGTGCCAGTAGTCTTGGCAAGGGAGGTAAGAATATTGCCCAGATATTAAACAGGGCTTTGCTCTTGGCGCGAGATGAGCGCGAGAGGGAGAAGAAAGGCAGAGAGCAGCAGAAGCAGCAGCAGCAGCAGAAACAGCAGCAGCAGCAGAAGCAGCAGCAGCAGCAAGGGGAAGCTCGGGCAGATGAGAGGAGCGAAGTGGAGCAAGAAGACGATGAGGAGAACTTGGGTCAAGAGGGCAGAGGGGACGGAAGAGGGGGCGGAAAGAAGGTCAAGGGGAAAGGCAGTGTTGCAGCCACTGCAGATGGCCTGGGTAGAGCAGCAGGGAGGCAAGAGGGCAAAGGAACAACAGTGGGGGGGCAAAGACCCAGCACCAGTGTCGCTCCCAAAGGCCCGACGTCTAGTCTCGGTGGTCGGGGGTTGGTTCTCAAAGCTCCTAGGCCTTCAGGCGGGGGTCGTGGGGTCGCCATTAGAAGGTTAGGGCCAGGAGGTCGGTGGTCTGGGAGATGGAACGCGCGTGCTATCATTGCAGGGCGATCGGGGGGCGGCGTGAGGGACGCAGATAGGGAGGAGGAGCAGACGGATAGGGAAGAGTACTCGGATAAGGAGGAGGTCTTGGATAAGGAGGGGGGGGAGCCTGCAGTGCTGGCAAGGGCTGGAGGAAAAGCAGTGGCAGGAATGAGCGACAGGGAAAGGGAGGATGGGGAGGGCGAGAGGGGGGATGGAAAGGGAAAAGAGGAGGTGGAGGGGAGAGAGGAGCGGGAGGGGGCGGAGGGGGACGAGGGGGATGGGGATGGGGAATGGGAGGAGGCAGTGGTGGTGTTGGATGAGGAGGAGGAGGAAGAGGAGGAGGGGAGTGAGAGAGAGGAGAGTGAGAGAGATGAGAGTGAGAGACAGGTGGTGGGAAGAGGGAAGAAGAGGAAGGCAGTCGAGGGTAAGCAGAGGGGAGGAAGAGGAGCAGTGAAAGGAACGACGACCAGGGCACGAGGGAGAGCAGGAGGGCGAGTAGGGGGGCGTGCGGGTGGGAAGAGAGCAGAGGGGAAGGTGGGAAGGGAGGCAAAGAGGAGGAAAATGGAGGAGGAGGAAGAGGAGGAGGGAGGGGAAGGGGAGGAGGTGGGTGATGGCAAGGAAATAAAGAAGGTGGGCAAGCAAGGCAAGGGGAAGAAGAAAAAGGGGAGTGGCGGGCGGGGTGAGAGGAGAGGCGGCAGCGTGAGACAGAAGCGGAAACAAGCAGCAACAGCAGCAGAGGAAGAAGAAATTGACGCGGTTCCTATCTCGAGGCCAAGTGACAATGCTGCTGACGACGATGATGATGATTTGGAGCTAAGGGAGTTGGGCCGAGCGAAAGCAAGCGGCGCGGAGGGCGGTAAAGCAACTGACGAGGACGACTCGGATGATTTTGAGCGGAGGGAGCTGGGCAGAGGCGCGGTAGGGGTGGGGGTGGGGGCAGGAGAAGGGGACCTAGGCTTGCACTGGGAGGGGGCGCACTCGTGGGACGGGAGGGATCGGTCCTGGAGTGGGGGAGCAGAGGGAGGGCCTGGGAGTGGGGCTGCTAGTTCGGCTGGTGCTGCTGGTGGGGGGGGTGGAGGGGAGATTGCAGCAGGTAAGAGGGAGGGGGGGACAAGAGGAGCTGGACGCAGGAAGACAAAACCACCGAGCGCGCTGGATACAACAGCAGCTGCTGCTGCTGGTGATGCTGCTAAGAGAAAGGAGGGGGCTCCAGAGGCCAAGACGCCAACACGGCACAGCAAGAGACTTGGAGTTCGACAGGTACGTGAGAGACACTCTTGTAGCCTGTGCCGTGTGGCACTTTTGTACACTGTACCATGTCTCCACGTGATTAGCTTCTACTTGGAAGGAGGGGGCTCCAGAGGCCAAGACGCCAACACGGCACAGCAAGAGACTTGGAGTTCGACAGGTATGTGAGAGATACTCTTGTAGCGTGTGCCATGTGGCGCTCTTGTACATTGTACCATGCCTCCACGTGATTTGCATCTGCTTGGAGGGAGAGTGCGCAAGAGGGTCGAGCACCACAGCAAGAGACTTGGAGTTCGACAGGTATGTGAGTTAGACTCTTGTAGTTTGTGCCATGTTCTGCACTTGTGCCATGCTCCATCTGCTGTTATGGCTTTTGCGCTGACTTTGCTCTTTTTGTACCGAATCCCACTCTTGTATCATGTACCATATCCCACTCTTGCACCTTTTTCCGTGCCGCACACTGGTAACTGTTACCATGTCCCTACATGACTGTCTAACCTGATGCGCTTCTTCGTCCTATCCCACACGCTCCCCTTTCTTATTTGCTCAGTCAATTGGCAAGCGGTGGTACGACGACTAAAGCCTTCTGTGGTGTAGCGGTCCTATCCTAAGCTTGGTGGTTCTAATTTCTTACCATAGCTCGTGGGAAAAGGGACATGGTTTGTTTCCTCTTGGGATCACTTTAAAGCCAAAACAAATGGCCATGGCTTAATGAAATAGTTGGCCCCATCTTGATCATTGTGTGTGTCTGTGGATAATAATGGCATTGTATCAAGCTTTTTAATGATCTTGCAATTTTCCTGTATTTGTAGGCTCAAATGTGTTCGAGTGCCAACAAATGAGGCATGCATATTTGTATGAGAGCGTGTTCCTACCAGCCTCTTCCCAAGCAACCTTTTCCCAGACTCGCATGCTACAGTGTCGCAAATTTTGACACGAAATGTTTCAGTGCAATTCGGCGAAGTGCGAAGTGAGATTCGGCTTCCCGAGATACAGGGGCGTGTTTTAAAACCTCTTTTCATACGAGCAGATTTTCAGACAAGCGCGAATCTGCACAGTAAAATTTTGATGCGAGCTGGTTTTATGTGGTTGAGAGCGACGGAACGCAAACATGAAACGGGAGTATTCCGAAAAGTGATCCTGGGAACACGCTCTCAAGGTCGCGCGTGAGTCTGGGAAGAGGTTGCCTGGGAAGAAGCTCGTAGGAACACGCTCTGAGTGGGTGCTGTAACGAAAAACAATTTCCTTAGCGACTCCTCCTACCACCGCATGCATCTGTCGTGACACTGGGATAACCCTGTCGATCCTCTCTCTCTCTCTCTCTCTCTCTCTCTCTCTCTCTCTCTCTCTCTCTCTCTCTCTCTCTCTCTCTCTCTCTCTCTATCTCTCTCTCTCTCTCTCTCGCTCGCTCTCTCTCTCTCTCTCTCTCTCTCTCTCTCTCTCTCTCTCTCTCTCTCTCTCTCTCTCTCTCTCTCTCTCTCTCTCTCTCTCTCTCTCTCTTGGGGATGCTTTCCTCGGGGAAGGTGGATATATGGAGCCTAACCCTCATGATGACATCCCTTCTTGTCCCAGTGGTTAGGATTGGTGACTTAATGACATGGTATCAGAGCCATCTGTGGTTCAATTCCTGGTGTACACGCTATCCCAACGGGGGGGTGTGTCGTGGCACTGGGATAACCCTGTCGATCCTCTCTCTCTCTCTCTAGGGAGGGTACAGGGGAGGCTTTCCTCGGGGAAGGTGGATATATGGAGCCTAACCCTCGTGATGACATCCCTTCTCGTCCCAGTGGTTAAGACTGATGACTCTATGACAGCATCTCTGAACTTCGGAAGTCCAAGCTCGGCCCCCCAACTCAAGTCCCGAACTGTATTTGAGACCTCCAAGCCTGCACGTGGCGTCGCGTCCGACAATTTCGAGCTCCGAGGCACCTGAACCACCTCGCGGAGGTTTCTGTTAGATTGTCGAGAGAATGATGAACTAAGGGAAAATGTCGAGGTTACAAAGGTAGGATTGTAGCCTCTAAGAACTAACCTAACTAAGGCTATAACAAATATAAACTAGCTAGCCTAAATAGATATATTTGTTGACACACCCCCTAGCTGAGATAGTGGCAATTCATAACAAAGAAAAGTACACCAGGGCAGCACTACTAGCCTGACCTCTGGTGAGGGTAATAAGAAAACTCAGGGCAGCACTACTAGTCTAACCACTAAGATAAGAGGCCACAAGGCCAGTCAGCAAGTGTAGCAAGACAAGCGGGTATAGAACAACAAGTACAAGCAGGTACAGTATGACTCAGGATACAAGAGGTGGTGCTGCTATTGAGGCTAGACCAAGTTGAGTACATAACCGTTGATGGTCACGAGGCGCAAGTGCCTTGGTGAAGATATCAGCGGTGTTGGCCTCTGAGGTCAACTGTACTACATGAACCTGACAGTGCTGCTGCAACTCACGCAGGATGAAGTACCGCAGCTGGGTGTGCTTCGCACTGCCCTTTAATCGAGCCTCCTGGCACAAGAGGATCATGGCCATGTTGTCAGCAAACAGGACCGGGGCAGACCTAGGCTACTCACCTTAGCCAGTTAGCAAGATCGTCAGCCAGTGGAGCTCTTGAGAGGCCATGGCCCCAGCATAGATCTCTGCCCCACAACTGGACTGAGCTACCGACGACGACCTGGTGGACCTCCACGAGATTGCACCAGCATCAAGACTAAAGAAGTAGCCGTGAGACGACCTGAGCGTCTCCAAGTCGTTGCCCCACGACGTGTTTATGTGTCAAGTGAGCACCACTGGCTCCAGTCCTCCTAGCACAAGCCGCAGTACCCTCTTGGCAGCCGACCAGTGGACTGGTCGGTGCCTGCCTGTCATGACAAAGCGAGCCAGGAGATTGAGAGGGTACGCTAGATCTGTTGAGTGCAGGTCATCAGGTACATGAGGCACCCCACCAGCTCTGCGTATGGACCACTAGCCTTAGTCGGCTCAGCCGGAACAGGAGCAGCGAGCTTGTGATCCAAAGGCAGGGGGGTGGGCTGTGCTGAGGAGAACTGGAGACTGAATCTCTAGAGGATCTGCTGCACCATATGGGATTGAGAGAGTGTGATCGTGCAAGCGGCACGGTCATGAGAGATCTCCAAGCCCAGATAGCGCCTCAGCTCACCCAAGTCTGTAGAGGTGTGTCTCCTAAGCAACTTGGCCTTCACTGAGGCCAGTGCAACTCCGTCAGGAGTAGCAAAGATAAGATCGTCTACGTACACTAGGATGTAGAGCGGTATCTGACCCGTGCGAACAAAGAGAGAGGATTCAGCAGAGGATGGAAAGAACTGCAGCTCAGCAAGAGTGGTGCGAAGCGTGTCGTACCACTTACGGAGTGCCTAACGAAGGTCGTAGTCAAGACGGCGCAAGCTCCACTCGGTCCTAGGTGGGAAGGACCCAGAAAAGCCTAGAGGGCGCCAGAGGTAGATCTACTCATGCAGACTGCCCTTGCAAAAACGCTGTGGAGAAGTCGAGTGAGTGAAGCTCGTAGTCATGCTGCGCGGCTATGTGAAGAAGGACCCAAAGTGTAGTCATCTTCGGTGTCGGGGAGAAGGTTTGGAAGAAGTCCACACCCTCACGCTGACTGAAGCCTCTAGCCACGTAACGCGTGTCGAACTTCGGCGGCTCTCCAGATGCGCGCTTCACCCTGTAGATCCACAAGCCATCGACTACGTTCACCCCATGCGTGGGAACTGCGTCGACGTAAGTGCCTGTGGATCTTTAGGATGCCATCTCAACCTCCATGGCCTGTATCCACTAGGCTGCCAAGGGACCCGACACCACCTCAGTGTAAGAGCGTGGAACAGGGATGTCGAGAGCGTCTGGGTCACCCTCTGGGGTACAACCATGGAGCAAAGATGGGGAACAGCGGTAGCAAGGTAGGCCAACTCGTACTGCCTGTCCTTTAGCACGTCACTGCCAAGGGCAGGTGCACCCCCGACGGACGGAGGATGGGCAGTTGCAGAGACCAAAGCGGCAGCGTAGTCAAGGCGGTGGCTAGCAACAAAGTTAGCGACTGTAGTGACAAGAGCAGAGACAGACTCAGGAGGAGCAGTAGGGTCAGTGACAAGCGACGCGAGCATGCGCGAGAGGACAGGAGGAGTAGTGCAAGCATTGTCGGAGCGAGGAGGGGGGGACGACGGGAGGGACGACGGGGGAGGCAACAAGAGGATTGTGAGAGGAGGAGCACGCGAACGAAGGACCATAGGGTTGACAAAAGGACGGGGAGAGACAGGACGAGCACCATAGGGGCGACGGGCCCTGTGGGGAAGAACTGGGGACTGGGGACGAGGGGGAACGGGGGACAAGTCAGGGGACGGAGGGGAGCAGGGGGGAAAACGAGTCGGAGAGGAGTCTGGACGAGGAAACAACTGGTCGTAAATAGGGTCACGCACCGAAGGGGGAACGGGCGGGAACCTGGAGCAAAACCAAGGAGACGAAGGGCAAACTGTGGCTGCTCTTGCTGCGGCGGCAATGCTTGCTGCTGCAGTTGTTGCTGCTACTGCGGCTGCTGCTGCGGCTGCGACTACTCCCTGTCCTCTCCAGGACCTCCAGCGGCACCGCGGCTGCCACCGGCACGCCGCGAAACAGCGCCTTCAAGACTAGCACCCTCGGACGCACCACCCACAGAACCCGCACCCCCAGAACTCGCACCCCCAGAACCAGCATCCCCAGAGTAAGCACCCCCAGAAATCGCACCCCCAGAACTCGCACCCCCAGAACCAGCACTCCCAACACCAACTCCACCAACACCAGCACCCCCAACACCAACACAGCCAACACCAGCACCCCCTGAACCAGCACCCGCATAGCCCATTGCTCCCTGCTACTACTGCGGCTGTTGAGTCTGCTGCGGCGATGGCTGCTGCTGCTGAGGCAAGGGAGGAGGCGGCTGAGGGGCCTGGGGTACCGAAGTTGGGAAAGGTGCCACAGGGATAGTAGGCGCACCCCTAGCAGCTGGGCCCCCAGAGTCAGCCGACTCCCCCACTGGCGCAACCGAGGGGAACTGAGTGGCGTGAGAGATACCAGACTGGGCCGGGCGGGGCGGGAGGGGTGCGGCAGGCAAGGCAAGGACAAGGAAGAGAGGAGGAGGAGGCACAAAAGCACTGCAGTGCAGGAAGCGCCGGTAGTAGGGGAGCGTCTTGTCGAAGGTAACGGCACGAGAGCGGTAAAAGCGGTGGTGTGAAGGGTGGTAGAACAGCCAGTCAGAGGCGTTAAGCTGAAACCCCTCGAAGACACAAGGAAGGGTGAGGGCTGAGAGCTTTTCTGCGCGAGTGTCGCGGACGTGAGCAAGGCTGCCTCAGACGTGGAACGCAGACGCATCACCAGGAGACCTGGTCCAGATGAGGGTCGGCGAAACCTGTGGCCGCTAGGAGCGTGGCCACAGTTTAAGCTGGTGAACAGTGTAGCGCACAGCGAACGACCACAGAAAATGGGGTGCACTGGCATGGACCATGGAGGTGCGCGCTACCTCCATGATCAGGCCGATGCATTGCTCAGTGAGCTCATTCTAATGTGGGGAGTCCGACAGTGTGTACGTCTGGCCGATGCCCTCCGCACGACAGAACCGTCCTAGAGTTCCAGAGGCAAACTCGCCACCATGGTCAGAGTGTAAGCGACCTACAGGCAGGCGGTGGTGGGTGCAAACAGTAAGAAGCCACGGGAGGAGAACGGTAGGCACGTCGGCCTTCCGCTCCAACGGGAACACTATGGTGAAGCGAGAGAAGTCGTCAATGACGACTAGAAAGTAACGCTCC